GGATGATATACCACGACACAACCATTTCCTTACTTTTCTGTCTTTGAGGGTCAGCCTCATACCAAATAAAACAAGATGCCAATTACAGTGGGTTCGTTGCATGAAGTGATGTAAGGTAAGGTAAGGTAAGGTAAGCTGTCCTGTATCGGACGGGAAGCGACGGAGTATCGGGGTCCTCTATCGCGGGGCCTCTCGGCGGAGTTGAGCGGCGGGGAAAAAGAGGGACGGCACGGATCAACCTGCCACGTTCTAGATTGGATGCGAGAAATCCATCACGGCGGAAATCTAAGGTTAAGGGGCCTGGGACCTTCGGATAGCTTAGGTAAGGCAAATACCTTACCAGGTAGGTAGCAGTGTCCACGTACGCTACGTACCCCACGAGCCACTGAAAGCAAAGGAAGAGTGGCCACATCAGGCCAAAAGAGCCAAAAGAGGCCCCTGTTCCATCAGCTCTGAGGCCTATGAGTGGCCTTCTCCAGGTACCCAGCTTCCCAATTCGCCATCGCGAAGAAAAAAAGTGACAGATAACCACCATCTGGCTTTTTTTTTGACGTCCGCCGCCTTCGGCTGGATTCTGCTTTCCGCCGCTCACTTCTCCGCCGCCAACGACGCGAGACCCCACAGTAAGGAAGTAGTAGCAGCAGTACCACCAGTGCCCTGATTCTGCCACGGGTCACCTTTTACATCTTCACATCGCAACATCTCTTTGTTGTGCTCCATCTGCATCAACCAGGAGAACCACCGTCGATGCAACAAGGGGCATAGCATCATCCGACAAACAAACCGCTCTCTTTCATTTTGTCCGCCGTTCTGTCGCCTGATCCACGCTATTGCGCGCAATCGCCCACCATGGCGCCCCTCGTGGACAACCCTCAGATCAAGGTGGCCGAGCTGTGGAAGCCTTTACCGACATACTTCCACGCCTACGTCTGGCCCTTTGCCATCATCTGGCCCATCTTCCTCCGCTACTACCTTACCGCCGAGCTCTACGAGAAGCACATCGCATCTGAGGAATGGACCTTTGTGTGGATCGGCTCCATCGTCACCCTTCAGTCCCTCGCCTGGCTGAGCACTCACTGGAGTGTCAACCTCCAAGCTACCTTTACTGCCACCCGCGCCAAGTCAATTGATGAGGCCGAGCTCGTCAAGATCATTCCTGTCGCCAACGCCGGCTCTGCCGAAATCTGCAAAATCATCCGCGACAAGGTAAGCCCCCTCCTCCTCCTTTTCTGCTCTCCGCAGCCTGACTGACCTTTGCTCTTCCACTTGTGCAGGTTGGCGGCAAGATCAACACCACCTTCTTGTTCCAGAAGCGCCGCTTCATCTACTTCCCCGAGGACAAGTCCTTCCGAACCCTCGCCTACGATATCGATGCCGAGCCAAAGCCCAAAATCGGACGCTACCAGCAGTCCAAGGGCATCACCACCGAAGCCGAGCTGAAGAGAATCGAAGAGCACTATGGCGCCAACGCCTTCGACATCCCCGTTCCTACCTTTACCGAGCTCTTCAAGGAGCACGCCGTCGCACCCTTCTTCGTCTTCCAGGTCTTCTGTGTTGGTCTGTGGATGCTCGACGAGTACTGGTACTATTCGCTCTTCACCCTCTTCATGCTTGTCGCTTTCGAGAGCACCGTCGTTTGGCAGCGCCAGCGTACACTCAACGAGTTCCGTGGCATGAGCATCAAGCCTTATGATGTCTACGTGTACCGCCTGGGCAAATGGACTGAAGTCCTGAGCGACAAGCTTCTGCCTGGCGATCTCGTCTCCGTAGGACGCACCAAAGAAGATAGCGGTGTCGCCTGCGATATGCTGCTTGTCGAAGGAACCGCCATTGTCAACGAGGCCATGCTTTCTGGTGAGAGCACTCCTCTCCTGAAGGATTCCGTACAGCTTCGCCCCAGCGACGCCCCCATCGAGCCCGAAGGCCTTGACAAGAACGCTTTCTTGTGGGGTGGTACCAAGGTTTTGCAAATCACCCACGGCAACCCCGATGAAGAGAAGCCCAAGCTGGCATCCGGCGTCCCTCCTCCTCCTGACAATGGCGCCATGGCTATCGTCCAAAAGACCGGCTTCGAGACCTCCCAGGGCAGCCTTGTCCGCACCATGATCTACTCCACAGAGCGTGTTTCCGCCAACAACGTGGAGGCTCTGCTCTTCATCTTGTTCCTCCTCATCTTCGCCATCGCCGCTTCCTGGTACGTCTGGGACGAGGGTGTCAAGAAGGACCGCAAGCGCTCCAAGCTTCTGCTTGACTGCGTCTTGATTGTCACCAGCGTCGTTCCTCCCGAACTGCCCATGGAACTCAGTCTTGCCGTGAACACCAGTTTGGCAGCGCTGGCCAAGCTTGCCATCTTCTGCACCGAGCCCTTCCGTATTCCTTACGCTGGCCGCATTGATATCGCCTGCTTCGACAAGACTGGTACCCTCACCGGCGAGGACCTGGTCGTTGAGGGTATTGCTGGCCTGGGACTCGGTCAGGAGGGCACAAGCACCCCTCGCGAGGCCGACGGTGCGCACTCAACCATGACCCCCGTCAACGAAATCCGTCTGGACACCACTTTGGTTCTCGCTACTGCCCATGCGCTCGTCAAGCTTGACGAGGGTGAAGTCGTTGGCGACCCAATGGAGAAGGCTACTTTGACTTCTCTCGGCTGGACTCTTGGTAGAAACGACACCCTTGCCAGCAAGCCCACCACGGCTGCTACTACTGGTGTTAGCGGAACTGTTCAGATCAAGCGCCGTTTCCAATTCTCCTCCGCCCTCAAGAGACAGAGTACTGTTGCCACTGTCAACGGTGCTGACAAGGCTGGCAACCGGATCCGTGGCACTTTTGTCGCTGTCAAGGGCGCTCCTGAGACCATCATGAAGAGACTCTCCATTATCCCTGCCGACTACGAAGAGACCTACAAGTACTTCACCCGACGCGGCTCCCGTGTTCTTGCACTCGCCTACAAGCAGCTTACTGTCGATAACGAGCTCGGAGGTAGCAAGATCAACGACCTCAAGCGCGACAACGTCGAATCTGGACTCACTTTTGCCGGTTTCCTGGTTCTCTCTTGCCCTCTCAAGGATGATGCGAAGCAAGCTGTCCAGATGCTCAACGAGAGCAGTCACCGTGTCGTCATGATCACCGGTGACAACCCTCTTACCGCTGTCTATGTTGCCCGCGACGTGGAGATTGTTGACCGTGAGGTTCTGATTCTTGACGCGCCCGAGGACAACGAGGGCGGCGACAAGCTTGTCTGGCGCAGTGTTGATGAGAAGACTATCATCCCTGCCGACCCCTCTAAGCCTCTTGACCCCAAGATTCTTGAGAACAACGATCTCTGTGTTACCGGTTACGCTCTGGCTAAGTTCAAGGACCAAGTCGGCTGGCGCCAGATTCTCCGTCACGCCTGGGTTTACGCGCGCGTGTCGCCCAAGCAGAAGGAGGACATTCTCGTTGGTCTCCGAGACATGGGTTACTACACATTGATGGCTGGTGACGGAACCAACGACGTCGGTGCCCTCAAGCAGGCCCACATCGGTATCGCTCTCCTCAACGGCACTATGGACGACTTGACTCGCATCGCTGAGCACTCCCGCAACACCAAGATGAAGGAGATTTACCAGAAGCAGGTTGACCTCATGAAGAGATTCAACCAGCCCGCACCCCCTGTTCCCGTCATGATCGCCCACCTGTACCCTCCTGGCACTAGCAACCCCCACTTCACCAAAGCTGTCGAGCGTGAGGCCCAGAAGAAGAACATCACCCCCGAGGAATGGCTCAAGGCCAACGGCGTCAGCGCCATCGAGACCGTCACTTCCCCTGGTGCTAAGCAGCTTCTTAACAACAACGACCCTAACGCTGCTCGTCAGGCCAAGGCTGCCGCCAACGCTGCTAGCTTTGCCGACAAGATGACATCTAGCCTGATGGAGACCGAGATGGGTGACGATGAGCCTCCTACGCTGAAGCTTGGTGATGCCTCTGTCGCCGCTCCTTTTACTAGCAAGCTGCGCAACGTTATTGCCGTTCCCAACATTATTCGCCAGGGCCGCTGCACACTCGTCGCGACCATTCAGACATACAAGATTCTTGCTCTCAACTGCCTCATTAGCGCGTACAGTTTGAGTGTGTTGTACCTCGAGGGTATCAAGTTCGGTGACGGACAGTACACCATCAGCGGTATCCTGATGAGCGTGTGCTTCTTGTCCATCTCTCGTGCTCGCGTTGTCGAGGGCCTCTCCAAGGAGCGACCTCAGCCCAACATCTTCAACTTTTACATCATTGGTTCGATTCTTGGACAATTCGCCGTCCACGTTGTTACTCTCATCTACATTGCCCGATTCTGTGACAGACTGGAGCCGTAAGTTTATCCTAGAAACTACGCCTGAAAAGCAAACACTAACAATGCAACAGCCGCTCCGGTGACGTTGATCTTGAGGCCGAATTCGCGCCCAGTCTCCTCAACAGCGCTGTCTACCTGCTTCAGCTCATCCAGCAGATTAGCACCTTCGCCATCAACTACCAGGGACGTCCTTTCCGTGAGGGTCTTCGCGAGAACAAGGGCATGTTCTACGGCATTGTCGGTGTTTCTGCCCTGGCCTTCTCCTGCTCCATGGAGTTCATCCCCGAGATCAATGAGCAGATGAAGCTGGTCCCCTTTAGCGATGAGTTTAAGATGACCATGACGGGCATCATGGTTATCGACTACGCTGCCTGTTGGGTCATTGAGGTTGTTCTCAAGAACCTCTTTTCTGACTTCCGCCCCCGCGACATTGCTGCTCGCAGACCCGAGCAGCTGGAGCGTGAGCGTGTCCGCAAGGCGGCAGAGCAGAAGATCAAGGACGAAGAAGAGGAGAAGAAGGCGCAGGAGAAGGTGGCCGAGTTCGAGCGCAAGGTGGAGGAGCGCCGCCAACAGCTCGAGGCGTGGAGAACGGGCCGACAGAGGCAGTAGATAGATGTGTCGGTTTCTAGACTAATTGTGTAACCAAAACAAGTTAGAGACGCAAAATGCGTGTGGAGAGATGTATGATAGAAAATGAGCATCATGATATGTGCATACAATAGTTTATCGTAGTCTGAGACTTGAAGAAGCTGCGTCTTGAAATCCTATACTCCGTACAACCGTTCTTTGCGCAGGTAACCAAGACTTTTGTTTGCTACACAAGAACCATCAACAGGATGTAGTTCGTAAGAATTTGTCAGGTGTTATTCGCAGGTAAATCCTAAAAACTATCTACGATGCACGTCTTTCAACAGGAAGCAATTTTAGGGATGTGGTATCACGGAATTTTAAGGAACGAAGTTTGAAGTCAAGCGTGTTTGAAATTTATGGTACAGAGGCAGACGCAAAGTCGATGCCACGAGTAGGTAAAGCACGACTTTTAGTGTGCGCTTCTGTGTCTACCCGTCATCCTTTTCTTTCTTTGCCAGTCGGATTAGACTGGGGGAAAAAAAGAGTAGTGGAGGATGTGATTTTGTTTTGTTTTTCAACTCTGCTCAACCTGTTTGTGTAGGTTTCCATCTACTACAACACGTCCCCTAGTTTTACATCAAAAGTGACACACGGAGAAGTGTTGCACTTATTTGGGGGGGTTGGAGGCGACAAAGGAAACACCCTTGGCAATGTTCTTCTTGAGGTCGGCGAAGCAGGCCTCGAGGAGCTTCTCCTCGGCGGCGTCAACCTTGCCGAGGGGAAGGATCTTCTCGACACCGTTGGGGCCGAGCTCGACCTTTGAGGAGAAGAAGTCGATGCCCTGGTCCTTGTAGAGAGGGGAGTCGACGAAGGTGGGCTCGACGATGCCCTTCTCGCCCTGGGAGGCGCGGAGGAGGGACTCGGCCATGCGGGCACCGGCGAAAGCCATGGAGAGGGTGGCGGAGCCGGCGCCGTCCTTGGCCTTGACGACCTCGTCACCGCCGAACTGGACGCGGTTGACGAGCTCGGCGTTGGAGGAGAGGTCGGGGTGGTTGGACTGGGAGAAGAGGGGGACGATGGTGACGCCCGAGTGGCCGCCGACGACGGTGATGTTCTCGTCCTTGGGGTCGGTGGACTTGATCTCGGAGACGAAGCGGGAGGCGCGGACGACGTCGAGGGTGGTGACGCCGAAGAGGCGCTTGGGGTTGTAGACGCCGTGGGCCTTGAAGACCTCGGAGACGATGGGGACGGTGGAGTTGACGGGGTTGGAGATGACGAGGATGTTTGCGTCGGGGCAGGACTCGGCGCAGGCCTTGGCGAGGTCGCGGACGATGGAGGCGTTTGTGTTGAAGAGGTCGTCGCGGGTCATGCCGGGCTTGCGGGGGACGCCGGCGGGGATGAGGACGACCTCGGCGCCCTTGAGGGCGCTGGCGAGGCCGGTGGCGGTGGGGTCGTAGCCCTTGACGACGGACTTTGTGTTGACGTGGGAGATGTCGGCGGCGACACCTGGACAAGAGTCAATTGGGTGTTGCTGGAGAGGAAGATGGTGATGGAGATGGATGTGGACTTACCAGGGCCTCCGCGGATATCGTACAGAGCGAGCTCAGTGACTCTGGGGTTGAGCTTCATGAGCAGGGAGAGGGGCTGGCCAATACCACCGGCGGCACCGAGAACGGTGACCTTGGAGAGCTATAGGCATGGTGTCAGCTGAATGGTCTTTTGGGTGATTCCATTGTATGTGATGATGGATTTGTGTTTGTTGACGTTGGATCATGACGAACGAAGCTTCGTAGCTTGTGTCTCCCTTCAGTTCCGTGCCCCGAGGTCGGCTTTTCGGAGCTATGGAGAAGAAAGAGAGAGAGAGCTCTGCGTTGATGCGCAGCCAACTAGGAATTGGGAGTTAAAGGATGACTTACGCTTCTCGCCGAGGCGGAGAACATGCGGCGCTGGACGAAAGACATGATTGCGACGAGGAGGGGGGGGATGTGTAGTAGGTAGATGGTACACAGTTGAGATGGATGAGGGAAGAAAAAAAAGAGCAGAGGTGTAAAAATTTATGAGGCGCGCGAAATAAGTTGGCACACACCTCTCACACAGCAACAGCGCAGCAGCGGAGGACAACAGGACACTCAACAGACAGAGAGCACACGCACCACACGGGAGCCACAGACAGTGGATTGACGGGGGCCCGGGAATGGCAGCAGCCTATAGCACTACTCTCAGAAAGGGCCCACCATCCACTGTTTTCCCCCCGTCATTCCCGGCCTTTCTTTCCACACCTTGTCAGCACCTCCATTTCTCGGCTTCGCTCTTGCCTCTACCTTGCTTAGCTTAGCTGTGGATGTTATTACTATGTTCCAACACTCCAGTGCTGCTGACTGACTGGGACTTGCTTTCCTGAGGCTACAAGGTGTGCGAGTGATGGATCACGATGCGACCGCCAGCCCAAAAAAAACAAGCAGGAAAGAAACCCCACGCCAATTCCAATTCGGGTCTAGCGTCACGGCCACCCGGAAGACTACGGGGAAACGCCGGAGAGGATACGTACTCCACACATCTCTCTGGTGCATTCTGTAGCATCCTTTTTCCCTTCCTTTTCTTCCTTCTCAGCTTCCCATCGCCGAGCTTGGTCCCCGACCATCCACTCCCGATTCCACTGCTACCACTCAACCCCGGAACGCGAGACGCAGTCGACTCTGCCGCACCCGTTAGACGCCTTCGGATGGATGGACGGACGGTCTCAGCATGGCACATGCTTATCTACCCTATGATTACCCTGCTGTAACCCATCTGTCGTAGTCTATATGATAGATGATGTATCCCGCATCAATACCTACATCCCTCGACCCGAGGTTACGGTAGAGCCTGCTGAAGTGTAATTCCTTCTCAATCACCACCAATGTATACACCCTATGGAAGCCTACCAACGGACGCAATGGGTGGACGGGATCTACGTAGAATGGCCTCACCCTCGGTCCCGCATCCCTGGGATCCCCTACCATCCGTCGGAGAACGTGTTACACTGTCCATGAGAACCGCCTTGCTTCATGTGACATCTTCTCAGACAGCCTTACTCGACATATGCATGTCTTCCTTGGCTCTGCCTACGAAGGATACCGAGGTGGTACTCCACACACTACCTATGCATACTCGGTACCGTTGGGGAAGCCAGAACACGCCATCTCACTGGTGCGCATGTTGCCTTATGTTTCTGCGTCGACGACAAGGTGCTCAGAAACTCTGAAAACACCGCAACCGGCGCCGACTCATGACCTCATGACCATGACCCGCCAGTCTTGTTGTACTCCGTACGGCCCGCGCCATGTAGCCGGCTTCCACCCGGCTCCGACTGGCACCTCCCGGTCTGTGACATCCGGTGATCTCATGTTTGAACTGCCGTAACCTATGATAATAGGTCATGTAAAGAAAGTCTACACCTGTAAATTTGCATTTCACTACTTGGGATAGACAGTAAGTATGGTTCAATATGAGATTTTCTTTGGATTGAAAGGAAGGTCCTTTCAATTGCGTCAAGCTGTACAGTATCACAAAACGGGATTCAAATCTAAGCAGACTGGCAAAATAACGATAGCCTGATGAGATTCTCTCATGAGATTTTTGTCTGCATGTTCGAGTCTGGAATTAGACTTAGTCAGCGTCCAAGGGTTCATTCTTACACGCAAGACTGAATGCTTTCCACAAGTAAGCTTCCATGAATAGGTACGTAGGTTATGCTTTCCAGTTGACCTGAGAATTTTCGAATTCGAATCTAGCAGCATTCCTATCACTGAGTAGGATTGTAACCTACAATAATCATATCAGGACATGAGATGCAGCTAATAACTAGACCCTCCATCTCATCACCAGAGTGAGATATGTTCTCAGCACGCCGAGTGACTCTTCGGCGATCCAGCGGGGGTTGCCGGCCGGCCACAGCGCTGACCCCACCCTAACTTTGACGGTCGCGGGGAGCTGTGGCGCTAGCTTCTACAAACATCAGCTAAAGAAAGACCCCGCCACTTTTGTCAATTTCATCATCATTCTCAATTCTCAACTGTTGCGACAAAACTATCCCCCTTCCCACGCCCAAAGAAGTCCCACCACAGTTCTATAAACCAATTCTTCCTCAACAAAGACACATCCAAAGAAGAGACATCGAGCTCTCACCATGTCTCTGGCGCAGCTCTCTCGCCTGCTGCCCCTCCCTGAGGACGAGCTGAAGCAGATGCTCGACTACGCAAACACGCTGTCGAAATCCGAAGCCGCAAACCACTTCAACGACCTACTGGGCGACTCACCGCAGGCCGTCGAGTTCATTTCCTCGTTTAATTCACGACGACAAGAGAAGAAGACCCCAAGCCCAGCGCCGCAAACCAGTTCGATCAGCTCAAGTACCCCGGAGCCTGCTCCAAAGACGTCGCGGGGACCCAAGAAGAAGAAGGCAAACATACACACACCGGCCGCAAGACAAATCGACGCTGCACCTCCCCCGGGAGCAAGCTACAATAAGAAGTCACAGGAGGATGAGTGGTACGGAGGGAAGAAGCCAGCTCCGGCGGCGGAGAGCAGCGGCAGCAACAGCATTAGCACTGCCTTCCCGCAACTTGGGGCCCCGTCGTCGGGTTCTAAGCAACCACCAAAGAGTGCTACTCCTCCCCCGCAGCAGCAAAGAACGGCCGGAGGCTATCTGATATCCGACGTCAAGGCCAAGCCCAAGTCGAACCCTGTATCACGATCCTCTACCCCCAAGCCCACGACGAAACCTACAAAGATATCGATTGCCGGAGGTACGCCAATGGCGGGTGCATCAACGGCCCTCAACGATCTAGACGCGGCCATCCGGACCTTGGAGTTAACGACAAACCCAACAATGGGCGATGACCCGAAAACGAGGAGGTGCAATTGCGTGGCCACCCGGCACCCACTGCAGACGGCAGCACCCAACTGCCAGTCGTGCGGCAAGGTCATTTGCGTCAAGGAGGGCCTTGGGCCATGCACATTCTGCGGCACGCCTCTGCTGTCGTCGGAGGACGTACAAGGGATGATTAGGGAGCTCAAGGCCGAGCGAGGAAAGGAGCGCATGGCTGTGGATAGAGATGCTCACAAGCGTGCCGAGGTCAGCAAGAAGCCGGTGCCGTTCAGCCAGAATAAGATGTCCGAGGCGGAGGCCAAGGCCAAGGAGCACCGGGACAAGCTTTTGAACTTTCAAGCGCAGAACGCGCGGCGAACGACGGTCAGAGACGAGGCGGCAGACTTTGATGTCAGCGGGGCCATGGCCGGCAGCGGAGGCAATATCTGGTCGACGCCCGAGGAGCGGGCCAGGGAGCTCAAGAGGCAGCAAAAGATTCTCCGCGAGATCGAGTGGAACGCGAAGCCCGAGTATGAGAAGCGACGGCAGGTTGTCAGCATTGACGTGGTGGGTGGCAAGGTAGTCAGGAAGATGGCGGCTGTGGAGCGGCCGACAACGCCGGACGAAGAGGATATTGTTATGGACGAAGTTGAAGACGAGAACTACAGCCTCACCAGTCAACGGCAGGGTGGACAGGGTGGTGCTGGCGGCGGCGGAGCCTTTAGCCAGAACCCTTTACTGGGAGGACTGATCAAACCGGTGTGGGATGCCAAGGGAAAGGGAGCGCAGCTGGAGGGCCGCAAGGACAGAAAGACGCAGTGGAGGAGGGTGCAGGATGACTTTGGGGACAACGAAGCGGTGATTTTGGATGGCGGGGCGCATGGATACTCGGCTACGGGTGACGAGCCAGCGTGCGGTTGAGTTCACGGTTCAATGACTTGTCGTGTATTGGAGTGGAGAGTACGGAGTATTAGAGGACCCTCAACATGTGGTCAACTGGATGATTGGGTTAGAGTCTCTTATAGATGAGACATGAACACATAAGTAAGCATTCCTCGGGGAGTTGGTGGTTTTGGACAAAGCATTGTGTAGCGGTGACGGAGGTAGACTCGGGTGTTTGCATGTAAGGCATGATTGGGGGTCATCTTATATGAGACTTAGACTACGGATACCTTGGTATATCTACCTTATTCAAAGATGGAGATGCGTATGCTCGGTTCACATTTGGGCTTGGGCAGCAATACTTGATCTTCAGGGGTATCCGTTCGGTGGCCCAATCACAGACAATGAAGAGGCCTGGAACAGCAGGTCGGTCTTTGAAGAAGAGCAAACATTGTGTACGGAGTACCTAAAGGATGGATGCAGATATTCAGGGAAGTGTGGTGGTGAGGTACCCGGATGGAGAGGGACGGGAGGACCTGAGGTGGTGGTGGTGATGGTGGAAGGTACTTTGGTACAACGTCATGTGACTTCGTGTCTTTGACCTGCTGAGTCAGGCCGAGCGGGAAGCCGGGCGTGTCGCAGTCGCTCGATTTTTGCCGCCACCGCTGTCCATGTCGCCTCGGCCGGGGTGTCTCTTTGTTCTGGCAGGAGCGGCCTCGACTGGCACCAGGTACCTGCCTGCCTTACTGACTGCTGAATTCTGACATTAGCGACCATTGCATCACACACATTCGTTCTTTTCGTCTTCATCATCTTTTGGGTTTTTTTGAGTACGGAGTATCATATTCACTGTTCGCATCCTCTTGCGTGACCACCGAACTGGGGTCCCCGTCTGTTTAGCGAAACGAGCCCCAAGAGCGTTAGGTCAGGACGACTGGGAGGGGGGAATTCGCCATTGTTACAGTGGAGAAGCCGCTGCAAGACACAGCCGAGAGACACTGGAGTTTCTCCCCCCAAGGGCCAGAACAACGAGAACAAGAGTCAACAATCCACGGAAACACACACACCCACACATCAAACGGGACACACCTGGGCAGAAAAAAACAACATACGGGGACTTTTCATTGTGAAGGAGAACAACCGACGGGAAGGCAAGCCAGGTGGGCGAAAATAACGCGACGCAGACCGCGTAAACCGCCCTTTTCCTCCACCACCACCACCACCCCAGCCCAGCCCAGTTATCGCTCCTTTTGCTCCTCCCAGGCTCCCCGTCCCGTCTTCCATCCCCCCCGCCCGTCAATCAATTCCCTCCCCAGCTAATTACCTATCGTCTAACTACGGTCTTGGGTGCCCGCGACCGTTAGCAGATGCCTCGACAGCGGACATCACCACCTGTGTGACCTGTCTAGTGTCGTCCGCGTACCTCACCTACCTACCTGTGCAAACTGTACCACAGCCCACCACCACCACCACACTCGACTGCACCGCACTGTTCCTCCACCACACCGCACACCCGATCCTCGTCGCAACCCTCACCCGTCACCTCGGTCACTCCTACACCTCCGACCACCAAATCTCCCTCTCCTCTCCTCTCGCCGGCCTTGTTGCCGTATATCGTCTTTATCGGTGTTTGAATACACCCTTCAACATACTCGGTCCCTGCATCCGCCCGCCTCTCGAAGCCTCCATCATCACACTTCAGTCGGGCGCATCACCAGTCTGTCCGCCATGGACTCTGCCTCCATCCCGCCCCGGCTGGGCCACATACACGAATCCGACCGACAACATTTCAAAATGCACTCTCCCGCGACCCTTCAAGACACGGGATTGCTGCCGGATAAAGCCGCTCGTCGTGCTCTGCAGCCCTTGACTCGACCCCAGGCCGTCGCCTTCCCCGACGCGCTCCCCAACGACAAAGCCGCATCTTCCTTGGGCGACGCGACTGCGAATCACCACCACAACCTCCACAGCCACACCCACGCTCACCTTCATGCACAAGGCCAACAACCCCGGCCCAGCTACCAGCAGCCCTCGCAATCCTTCACAACATCAAATCACCTTCCTCGCATAGCCGATCAACAACCTCTCAAGACCACTTCAATCGCTACTTCCTCCGTACCTTCTCAGGTTACTCCATCCACCCACCAGCGACCGCTCCCCTCCTCTGACTCGCAGACCTCGAGCCTGTCTGCCGAACCCGCCAACGTCTTCACGCCGCCCGCCAGTCAGGGTGACATGCCCGGAGGAAGCCTCAACGGTCACGATTCCAGCCAAGAGTCACAATTACTTCAGTTATCCCATATTGCCGCCGCCCAGGACAAGTTGGCCGAGGACAATGTCATGGCAACTGCCCGGAAGCGAATGGCCGACGGTGCCCTTAAGGAAAACACCTCTCCCGTTCGAATGGGCCATTCGAGGAACACGAGCACCGTCAGCATGGCCTCTACTACAGCCAGCAGTATCGGTGATGTAAGTCGGCACGCGACACTAGAACAAAGATATCATGGCTGACCCAGTATGTATAGTGGTCCAGCGACCTCAAGACGCGCCTCTCGTACGCAATGCTCAAGGTCAATCACGGCTGGCAATCACACTCCATTGATGAGGTCGAATCCATGGCGTCCCAGGCCGCCTCGCCCACCTCGAGCCATTCCACCTTGCACGGCCGTCAAGAGCTGTCTGCAAGTCCTCGCGCCAACATGGCCCGTTATCAACCCGTGAGCGCTGCCACCACGGCAAGCTCCGGCCCCAGCCCTGCAACCTACGAGTCCTTCTGGAAGGAGGGCCCAAGATCCACGCATACCTCTGCCTCTCCTCCCGCTCCCGTCCAGAATCCAAACGTCCCTACACTTGCACCGCCTGCTCCGATTCAACCGTCAAGGCCAATGGGAGGTCACAACCCCCGCCGTAATTCAAATCCTCGCTACACTCCGACTCTTCTCTCCCACTCACACAGCGCGTCACCGCATACGCCTTCTCAACCAAACAATAATGCGACGCCAAATCAGAGGTTAGGCCGGACTCCACTCATCGACCCGATCCTCTTCTCACCTCATCAAAACGTTAGAGAGCAGGACGCCATCGAATCACTACTCTTCATGAGCAGTCCCGGAAACTCGGCCAACATGAAGCACAACTACTCGTCATCAGCAGCCTCAAACCTGCCTGGTCGCCATGCTCTACCCAGCTCACAACCCCGTAAAAGCCTGCCCTCGCAACGGCCCCTGCCGCAGAAACGGGTGGGTTTCGAGAAGAGCCCCGGAGGCATGACGGCAGTGAGCGACATGGACATTGACATGGACTCACCTCAATCACGAGGGCCAATGAGGAGGCGAATCAACGGAAGTGCCAGCTTCTCCGGAGGGGCCATTGGCAGCACGCTGCGTCCACAATTGTCTTTACCAGCGGCCCTTGGAAGCACCTCACGACCTCGGCCGCGCTTAGCGGACGCGGACATTGAGCGGATGATTGATCAAGCAGCGCAAGCCGGCGACAGCTCTGACGACGATGACGGCGAAATTCAGATTCCAGGGAGAAATCGGCCAGAAGGGGCCGTAGGAGTATGAGTGCCGTGTTTTGTCCTATTATTTTTGTTTTCTTCGCATGGATGATCACCTGGGGGATCTGCATTGCTTTTGTTTGGACTGCATATACACACGTGTTTTGGCGCCGGAAGAACCAAGGTTGCAAGGTTCCCGGGAGAAACGTGACGATGACGACGAATTTCTTTTTTGCTTCTTTTGGGACACATATATACACCTGCTCGTTGGATACTGTTCGCCCGAGGCCGGGTTCTCAGTATTACACGGGCATTTAGCTGACTGGTTTTGCCCGTCTTCCACACCAGGGAGGGGGCTTCATTTAGGGAGCATAAGGGAGGCCTTGCACCTCTGACGGAGTTTTGAATCTCGGAATTTCTCTTTTCAGGATATTATTATATGCATTGCATGGCTGAGGCCACGAGTAGCATCACAGACGCATAGGATAGTGACTCTTTGGTCACCGTGCAAAATGAAAGCAAATTATTGGTCTGTACAAGTTTGAATTTACACGCGTCGTGAGACGCCTAAAGGTATCTGAGTAGGCCAGCGAGGCCATCGATATCGGCTTCCCTGAATATTCCCATGTCAAAACGTCCACCTCTTGCTTCTCTCTAATGCACTAGCCGTGCAGGTATATAGTAGTAGACAGTAACATCATTACGAGTAAAACCACCCCAAAAAACGCCAGTCGTAATCAAATAGTCATCAACGCATCCGAGTCTCTCTACCAGCCTCCGTGGTGGCCATGATGTCCGTGGTGACCGTGGTGACCACCCCCGTGATGAGGAGGCCCGCCGTGGTGTCCATGCTTCTCACGTCCCATCAGCGAACCGACCAGACCGCCGAAGCCACCGGAAGAGTGGTGGCTTCCGCCGTGGTGCGGCGGACCATGGTGCGGCGGACCGTAGTGGTGGCCTCCGTAGGGTGGCGGGGGAGGTCCGCCGTGGTGGTGGTGGTGATGACCTCCGTAGTGATGGGGAGGCGGGGGCGGAGGAGGCGGCGGGTGGTGGTGTCCGTGATGCCCGTGGTGTCCGTGGCTGTGGCTGCTGCTGGAGTGATGACTTCCACTCAACCTGTGCTCCAGCTTATTCGCGACCACTGCGCCGCCCAGAGCACCCGCCACGGCGCCGAGCTTGCCCCCGAGGAACTTCTTTCCCGCGTACCCTCCCGCCGCGCCGCCGCCGATGGTGGAGACGAGGCCGCGTTCGCCTTCTTGGCCAGTGCCGAGTTGGGCGTCGTAGCCTGGTGGACCGGTGGATCGGGAGCGGTGGTGGGAGGAGGAGCCGGGAAGGCCGAGAGAGGAGAAGGAGGAGTGAGGGCGTTCCGAGTTTGCGGAGCGGGGGCGGTAGCCTGCGCTGTCTATGAGGGGGCCTGCGGAGAGGTGGCGGGAGGAGGAGCCTGGTGTGTGGGTGTTTTGGCGGGTGCCGCCGTAGTAGTCTTGTGCTGACATTTGAGTTTGAGTTTGTTGTGTTGATGTTGTTGTGTTGATGATGTTGTGGTGAGGGTGTGTAAGTGGTCTTGTATTCGCTTCTCGAGGTTTGGGTATAAGTGGCGAGTTTGTTGATGAGCAAGATATTAATGAAAGTAAATGGGGACAGAGACTGGGGGACACCAGCCTTAAGTAAACCGGTCGTCTGAACAGGTTCACAGGGGAACCAGTCCAAGCTGGGGGGAGTGATCAAGGCATGACTGTGACTTGGAGAGAAACCTAAGCTTCGCGACGAGGATGGATCCCGGGAGCGGCGCAAGGTCGCGCTGGGGCGGAGTTTTCGGGCTTGGATGTGGTGGTAGGTAGGGAATTGCGTAAGGCGGCGGCCCCTCTTTTTGGTGTCACTTTACATTCAAGAGGTACATACACACTACGCAGTACACACTCGCTCCCGCGTCCATCCCTTCACGGACGCTCCACATGGTCGCCGGGGCTCAGCGCCCAACAGGTTGATATTACACGTAATTCACGATGGGCAGGTCATTCTTCTCCGCGGGGATGATTCGACACGCGTTTGATGTGTTTGTGCCTTGGCTGTATCGTCTGGCCGCGCTAGTGGGCGAGACAGATGGTCATTATGCCGAGTCTTTGGATACCGTCACGGGATTCTCATGGAATGTACTTGTGCACCACGTTCTGCAGAGATGTATCTCTGTATGGAGTATGAGGGATGGGGTATATTTGTGTGGGACGGAACGTCTGATGTGTGAGAGAGAAGATCGTATGCTCGTCATTGTTTGCCCTGACATTATGCCTGGTGCCTTGACCTTACTCTCAGTCTGTTTTGTTCGGATATACAGGTACAGACGGGAAGAGACGCAAGGTAGCGTTCCATCTGCAAACACACCTTAATTTTTGCTTATTCGCGGGTTGTGGATTACCGGACCTGCAGGCGGCAGATTGCGAATGCACGGCAGATTCCCACAAGGCGCATGCTAAGAATATCGAATCGGTGCTGGGCGAAGTCGGCGGGGGAGATGCGAGATTGCCGGCTGGGGTCTAAGGGTCGATAGGGCAAGGTGAGAGTAAATGTGAGCACTGAAAATAAGGACTGAGGACTGAAAGTGAGCCTGAGAGTGAGAGTGAAAGTGAGAGTGAAAAGTAGAGGTGAGTGAGTTCGGGGGAGGCGGTGCGCTAGGCCCCATCAGGTGGCTCCACTTTCTCTTTCGGGATGGACCATGTCACCCTCCGTCCCGTGCTTCGGGTCTTCGGCGTTAGGGGTCCCAGTCGGCGAGTCCGGAGAGCCACCGCGATTGCGTCCTCACCTTTACTATCGTCAACCACCGCCTCTCTCTACTCTATAGGCTACAATTCACAGCAGTCGCCTTCATCAACAACGTCATTCTGAGGCTCCGTGAGGGCTTCAACTACCTCCGCAATCGGTCTCGTCATCTTCTACGGTTCACCTCTGCTGCTGACTGCACCACCCTCGGCTACACTCGCATCTTGACATGAGATTATCCCCAGGCACAAAACTTACGTGGGGATAACCTTCATCCCAGCTCAGCCTCACAGACACCTCAGACCGCGCCCACTGCCTCGCAGACGCAATTCAACCCCGAGTCACTTTTGTTTTGGAAATCTTCAGATCACATCACGTTTTGAATGCAATACCTTATTATTTCCGGTCCTCGCGCTTCTCCACGGCTATAACAACTTCACACTACAAATCTACAGATCTCTGTAGACTGGCCGTACTCTAACAGCCAAGACGGCAGACACGGCTCCATAGCAGCAAGGTTCGCCTGTTCGTCGCCGACTCATGAGAAGCATGAGGCCAGTACCATCCTAATCTGCCCAGATTGAGGCCCACCCCGCTTTCTTCTAGAACATGTCGAAACATTTTCTAGGTTCTCGAAAAGATGCCCGAGCCTCACTCGCGCCGCGCTGGAGCTTGGAGCAGGGATGGGACTCCAAAGTCTGAACCCGCGCCACAGTCCCCACATCGGCATCTCGGAGACTTCGCCCACATTCCCGAACGCGAGACGGCGAGAGCCCACTGCCGTGGCGGAACCTCGACCGCTCCGCCGCGTGTTCGCTTCCGCCAAGCCACTATTCCCGTGTCACCCGGCCCGACGTGGTTCGAACTGCGCCTGGTATGTCAGTAGACTTGGAACCTCATCACGCCTCACGTGAACATCCCGCCGGCCGGGCCTCAATTCAAGGTACTGGAGTTTTTGTTGCAACATTATCGTCTCATTACATCGTTCGATATGCTAGAAACCTAATACAATTCTAGGACACGACCAGGCTTCCCTCCAACGCCAGGTTTCTGCTCGACGCTCCAACCTTGACGGTAAACGTACCCGCCGGCACAACCCAGTTCTGGCTTGCGACATCCCAGTAGCTCAGGTCTTTCCTTCTAAGGTTGAACGTTGCTACTGCTGATTCGCCCTCGCCGAGCCTTAACTTCTCGAATCCGCGGAGCTGCTTCGGCGGAGACAGGGGCGCGCCGGCCGGGAGGGTGAGGTACAGCTGCGCGATCTCGGCGCCGGCGATGGATCCCGTGTTCTTGATGGTCGCCGTTACGGTGGCAACGACTTCGAAGAGATCGGCGCGGCCACCGGGGACCACTTGGCCGACGGCCGGGCCGGCTGTAGCTGTGGATGTGACGCTGATGTCCGAGTAGGTAAAGTTGGTGTATGCTGCATATTTCATTAGCATGGCCTTCCAAGTGAAGCGTCAATCCTCCCCTAGAGCACAAAAGACTTACACAATCCGAAACCAAACTCGTAACGCGGCTCAATGCCAGCCCGGTCAAAGTGGCGATAGTCGATAAAGATGCCCTCGGCAAAGTTATCCTCGAGCGTCTTGGACACCGCAGTGCCGTAGTCGGCGACACTCTTGCCAATCGTATACGGCAGCTTTCCGTTGGGGTTCGTCGCGCCCCAGAGGATGTCAACCAGCGCATTGCCAGTCTCCTGCGACCCGAGCCCAGCCCATACAATGGCCTTGACGCCGGGCTGCGCGAGGATCGTCTCGAGAATGATGGGCCCGACGCTGTGCACCACGACCACGACGTTATCGTTGACTGCCGCCGCGGCCTTGACGAGCTCGTTGCCGTTGTGCCACGGGTCCAGCGTGTTGCGGTCGCCAATGTTGCCATCGACGGTGATGTAGCCCTCGCCCGAGTCCGACGTGATGAAGACAAACGCGGCATCGGCGCCGGCGGCCGCGGTAGCGCCCTGCTGCGCGTCGTCGGTGCTGCTGGCAGATACCTCCGTGCCGTCCTGCTGCGCGCGCTCCCGGATCGCGTCGAGGGGGGCGACGAGGTAGGGGTAGTCTACCGTTCCGGAACCCCACCCCATGCCGAGGGTGCCGTTGTTGCAGCTGCGGTCGTAGCAGGCGTTGATGCCGGCCGGGTTATTCACGGTCGAGGACCCGATGACGGCGATTTTTTTAGGCGCCTTGAGCGGGAGGATGGCGCCGTCGTTCTTGAGCAGCACGATGCCGTCCCGCGCCGTGGCGCGCACGTTGTCCTTGTGCGTGCCCTGGACGTTGGCCGCGAGGTTGACGGGCGGGTACTCGCCCTGGTCCTGGCCGAGGAGGTACCACGCCGCGAGGATCCGGCGGACTTTATCCTCGATGGTGGTCAGCGAGACGGTGCCGTTCTCCACGACCGTCTTGAGCTGCGGGCCCCACCACACGGAGCTGGGGTCGTTGTTGTAGTTTGCGCCCGGCATCATCATGTCCAGCCCGGCCTCGGCGCCGCTGACGGTGCCCGTGGTCGCGTACCAATCCGTCATGACGTACCCGGGGAAACCCAGCTCTTCTTTGAGGAGCTTGGTCATGACGGCGTCATTTTCGCAGGCCCAGGTGCCGTTGATTTTGTTGTAGGAGCACATTACCGAGGCGACGTTGGCGTGGACGGCCTCGGCGAAGGGCCAAAGGTAGAGCTCGTGCATTTCCCTGTCGCCGACGTTGCTGCTGATTGTCTCGCGGTTGAGTTCTTGCTCGTTGACAATGTAGTGCTTTGCCGTTGCTTGGACACCAGAAGACTGCATGCCCTCGATAGTCTCTCTGGTTGCGATGCCCATGAGATACGGGTCTGGGCCGAAGCCCTCCCAGTTTCTACCGGCATTTGGTGTCTGTTTCAGGTTTTCGACAGTCAGCCATATTTCTTTGAATCTCAAGTGCGACAGTTCACGGAATCCGAGAACCTACTTTACCCAAAGCACCACACGCAGGACCAAGCATAACATGAACACCGACGCCCCTCGCCTCAGCAGCTTTGAACGCGCCCCTCTGCCGAATCAGCTCGACGTCCCACGTCGCCGCCGCCTGGATACCGGGCACGAAGGCCGTCACGCTGCTGGCGTAGCGGACGCCGAGGGGCCCGTCTTGGAGACAGAGCGAGGGGTAGTTGATGGAGGACGCGGGCGAGGTGTTACCGACGCAGAGGCCCTTGCCCCAGCCGATACCCGAGACGATGCCAATCTTTTCGTCGAGGGAGAGCTTGGCAATGGCGGCTTCGGCTTTGGCGTAGGCTGCGTTCCATTCCGGGGTGCGGACGGGGCTGCCGCCTCCCGTGGAGTTTTGCGCGCTGGCGAGGCAAGCCGCTGCGGCGAGGAATGCGATCTTGGGGAGATGCATCTTGAGAAAGGAGCGTTTAGGTCTGTGGGACGGATGGTAAGAGAAGCGAAGGTGTGTGGCCGCCGGGGGTCTTCGCCTTTATATGTCCCCGGAGGCCTGAAGCTCATGAGCTTTTTGGGAGCTTCCCTCCCCGCTTGAGGGGCAGTGACGATCCACACCGTTCAGTAAACCAGAGAGGTCTAGCCAAGCTGCCGAGGACATGGGGAAGAGGACAGAGGTCGTCATTCCTGCAGGGTCAATCTGCGTGAATTGGGCTCGGTATGTCCCTGTGATCTCATGTCCCGCGGCAAGGACATGTATGGTTCCGTGGCCCAGTGGTTGGCATAGTATAAATTGCCAATTGGCCCCCTTCATGTCTTGGCCCTGTGCGTCTACATTAAGGGGGCAACTTTAGAGTTGAGCCGTTCTCCATACTTTTGAGTCGGCATGTTCGGTAGTAGTATCCAGCGGCTTGGTATTGATCATCCCTTCCCAAGATCCATGGTTGGTGATTATTATTCAGTATAGGTAGTATTCGTTGACCACATGTTTTGTGCGTTCATCCCATAAAAGTAACCATGGATATGTGCCGCTAGAGAACTGTGGCCACATCGCGGCGGCTGCTCCCCTCCGGTTTGGAGAAATGGGAGAAGATCGTCCCGGAACAGAATGTCGGACTGCGTTGGTCTCTCAGGTGACATTGACATTGCCGTAGGGTTGCATTCGATCTCTTGGAAGCCGGGGCATGAGGTGATGTACATGATGGGCACATGCAAATGAGGGGAAAACTCCAACTGATCCACGGTCTTCTCAGTCTTGCTTAAAAGTATTCCCGCGAATGGACACCCGTTCACAAGACGTCGGGCCGTCTGCCGCAAGACCCAATTGCAATAGAGCGGTTATTTGCTATTGTTCTGAATTGCCGTACACCATCAATGATTATTCGCTCGAAAGCGAGTTCGGGCCATAGCCGGTTGAATGTCGTGGCCCCCTGAACGCAATTAAATGACGTTGTGAATCTTAACTTATTAAATGCCGGCCCGCTTGCAACCCCGCGTTGGGATGCCCGCTCGGCGGTCGCTTTTTGGGGACCCCGGGGGTAAGGGAACGGCGGTGGGCGGAAATTTGAAGCTCCCCTCATTTTCTTTACCTTTGGAGAGCAAGAAAGGATGAACTCTTCCGCATACTCATGTTGGCATCTCTGACGCAATGCCAATGGTGTGTCGACTGCTTCGTAGCGAAGTGCCTCCTCATTCAGGTCCTGTTGTGTTACGCTGATGTTGTTTAAACTTGGCTGGTAGTTACACACAAGCTAGACTGCATACAATAGAAAATACACAACATACTTTAGGTTCACAAGAAACGCGCAACTGGTTGGCTCCAACTCGGAGAAGTTCTCCCAGACTCTTAGGCGTCTGCATCGGGAACGCAAAGATGAACACCAGCATTTAAGGTTGTGCGCAAGCTCGGCCGAGGACTGCTAATAGTGTCTAAAATGACACTTTCACGCGCATACCTAATTCTCTTAACCTTACCTCCTACACAGCGGAGCAAAGAGGAGAAGATAAAGCTAATCGAATAGGAGTTCTTCCATGAAACAACTGCCAGTGAACCTAATTCACTGCCCCTGAACCATATGTCGACCGTGGTGAGTTAATTGTGCATAAACTTTTGGGGATGAACATGGATGGGTGATGCACCAAACGTACTGAGCCGAACTGTGCTCAAGGACTGAATTGAGTAAATAGTAACACTCAATCCCGCCTAAGTACACAAAAACTGTCTCCAAAGAGTAAAAACTAGATGGAAAATGCAAGAAATAGCAAAAAAATATGTGAAGATGCGGCCAGTGTGGATTGAACACACGACCTTCAGATTAAGTGATTGAAGTTAACTTCAGTCTGACGCTCTCCCAACTGAGCTATGTCCGCCACAATCTTCGATGACGATCTCGGCTGCTTATCGTCCTGAGTAGGTCGCGTGCGAGCTCGCGTGCGATAAAGTCGAATCTCCCGTCTCGCTGATGTTGAAGAAATCACGGAAGGTTCTTGCAATAAGACTTCTCAATCGCCATGGAATTTAATAAGATGACCAACGCAAACAACCAAAGAGTTGCAAGTTGCCCTCTCACCTCTGTAGCCGATTCGAGTCATATAGGCGCCCCACCGCTTAGCGACACTCTCGCGGAAACGATCACTAGGATAAAATTGTTCAGAGTCATAACTTTACTGGAATTCGCAGCGTTAAGGATGGAACTAGGTTGTACGGGTAGTCTCAACAGATCCGGCTCCTTTACGAGTTCCCGAAAATCTAAAGGTGCTCAATTCAAAGAGCAGCTGCTCTCTAATCCGCCAACTATCGGGTGGTTTCGTACTTCAACCGCCGTGCCTCCGTGTTCGTAGACCGATTGAGCCCGCCGGAATCTGACATGCTCGTCAACATGTAGTTTCAAGATGCACGAGAGGATCGCGATCCTACACATGTTACAAATCAATTCACCATTAGGAACGGTAAACCTGCCATCTGCTCATCCCTAGCCTCGAGACATAAAGGTGACTCAGCCAAACAATGTTCGGTTAGACTCGGTCGGCGCATGATAGCTCGCAGTCGTTCCGCCCTTCACTAAGCCTTAAATTCCGTTAGACCCGTCCTCTGTCTGTAGTCCGCGCCCTGCGGACAACATGCAGGAGTATCAAGCGAGTGCTTCAGCGGGTCACCTGCGGGCTAACACTCCGATGGACCCATGCTCCGGGATGCGGAGGTGGACGCGGCTCGGCTCCCGCTCCTGTTTGGACTTAATCTTTTGTCTTGCATGGGGTTGATAGATAAACCATCAACCTCTTGTGAGTCAATGGCATCTTGAGGTACGACTCACATTCGAAAGTAATATTGGTATAAATAACATTGGATAGGACATTGTTAAAAAGTCAATTGATTCAGAACATCTTCATCTTTGTTCAATTCGTTCTCATTCAGTGAGAGCCTTATCATTGGAGAGGTTTCGGCATCACGTTACCGATATATCATCACCGATATATCATCACCGACAATACCATCTCCTCTCATCATCTAGAACCTCATTCATCATGGGTGAGCTCGCGGAAGAAACAAGCAAGCTCCAACTCGGCTCCACGCCGTTTGGCAAGCCAATGTTGAAAGAATTCCTCCACGACCCAGCTTATCACAACATGAACAATGGTATGGCATTCCCAACTCAACCGCATTTCATGTCCCGTTCACTAACAAAAATAAAACCCAGGCTCATTCGGCACCATTCCACGCCACATTCAAAAAGTCCTCCGTTCCTACCAAGACGAAACCGAGGCCCGCCCAGATCCCTTCATCCGCTGGACCTACCACGACCACCTCCGCGAGTCCCGCAAAGCGGTAGCAGAAATCATAAAGACCCCTCTCGACAGCACCGTCTTCGTCCCCAACGCCACGACGGGCGTCAACACGGTCCTCCGCAACCTGTCCTGGGAGGCCGACGGCCTCGACGAGATCCTCTACTTCTCCACAATCTACGGCGGCTGCGCAAAGACGATCGACTACATCGTCGACACCCGCTACGGCCGCGTCTCGGAGCGCGGCATCCCGTTGACGTACCCGATGGAAGACGCCGACGTCGTAGCCCTCTTCCGCTCCGCCGTCGCGCAATCCCGCGCCGAGGGAAAACGCCCCAAGATCTGCCTGTTCGACGTCGTCACCAGCTTGCCGGGCATCTGCTTCCCCTGGGTCGCCATGACGGCCGCCTGCCGCGAGTTGGGGGTGATGAGCCTCGTCGACGGCGCGCAGGGGATCGGGATGGTGCACCTCGACGTCGCGGCCGCCGATCCGGACTTCTTCGTGTCCAACTGCCACAAGTGGCTGCACGTCCCGCGCGGGTGCGCCGTCTTCTACGTGCCGGAGCGGAATCAGCACCTCGTGGCGTCGACGGTGCCGACGTCGCACGGGTACGTGCCGCGGTCCGGACAGGTTCGGTTTAATCCGCTGCCGAAGAGCAAGGACTCGCAGTTTGTGACGAATTTCGGGTTCAACGGGACGTTTGATAATAGCCCGAACATGTGTGTCAAACACTCGATCGAGTGGCGTAAGAGCCTTGGTGGAGAGGACAAGATTCTGGATTACCTCCAGACACTGGCCAAAAATGGCGGCAAGAAGATTGCTGCGATCCTCGGGACGTTTATCCTGGACAACAAGACGGAGACGTTGACAAAGTGCGCCATGATCAACGTTGCGTTGCCGATGGTGAGCGGTCCTGATGCAGAGTCTGTCTCGGTGGGTTCTGATGGCACGGTCACCGTTCCCGAGGCTGAGTCCGGAGCTGTGGGCGCCTGGCTTGTATCCAAGTTGATGGGTGAGTACCAGACTTTCCTGCCTATCTACAGGCACGATGGTCGTTGGTGGGTCAGGGTGAGTGCGCAGATTTTCCTCGACGAGTCCGACTTTGAGTGGACCGGCAATATGTTGAAGAGTCTGTGTGAGCGCGTGGGCAAACAAGAGTACAATACGGAGGAAAGCAAATAGAGTGTGAAGAGGCGCGGAGACGTTGAAGGAAAAAAACAATGTTTTTATATCACAATGCCATTCATTTACTATGCCGGCTAGAGAGCTCAGAGGATATCTAAGCTAGAATGAGGTTCACCATGTAGTCCCGCAAAACATCCCTTAGGTAGGGGAATATAAGACAAAAAAAGATTTCTCTGTAGTCGATCGTCTCAGAAGACGCCCATGACCATGGCGATTAACACGGCTTGGAGGACGACCATTAACCCTCCCTTGGCAGCCGTCAACCTCTGACTGCCGGACGTCGAGCCGGCGTTGTTCATGTTGTTCTCCCTGGACATCAAAAAAAGTGAATCCTAATGCCAAAAGAAGTAAAGTGTATTCACACGTGTGTCAATGCTTACGCCGCTGCGCCAGCGCCAGTCGCGGGTGCTGCCGCCTGTTGGCTGTTGACGACGTGCTCGGCCATGCCGAGGGACATGTTTCCACCGTTGAAGGCAACGAATTGCGACTTGAACATGATGTCTCCGTAGATCTGAAGCTTAGAGGTGGTTGCCTGGAGGCCACCGAAGCAGGCTGGAGGGTGTTAGTTGATGCTATAGACAGGCCATGGGATTTTGTTTGACTTACTCTGAGCGTCAACCTGGGCAAAGTTGATGTCGGCACCCTTGACACGGGCCATGTAAACACCGCCGATATCCATCATGAGATCGGGAAGCTGGGCGTTGCAGGGGAAGGTGATGCCGCCGACCTGCTGGTCCTGCTTGGCACCCTGGACCTGCTGGTAGTAGGCCTGGACCATGGGAGGGTTGGCGAGGATGAGAGTGGTACCGGTGTCGGCAATGGCCTGAGCACCGGCGGTACCCTGCTGGACCTGACCGCCGGCAACCTGGAACTTCTCACTGCTGAACTGCCAGAAACCGCTGGTGGTGTTGACGGGGATCCAGGCCATCTGGCCGGTGAACTTGGAGCTGTCGATGCGGCCAAACTCGTAGGCGCCGACGGTCTTCTTGCGGAGATCGGCGGTGAAGACGGGCTCGGCAAGGCTGGGCATGACGTTGTCGAAGAAGGTCTTCTGGGCCGTGGGCTTGACGGTGTTCAGCTTGGAGAAAGCAAGACCGAGAAGACCGTTGTTGGCGGTGTCCTGGACGAACTGCTGGGAGACGGCGGTGGCCATCTCGACTGCCTGCTCCTGAACGACGGCGCCGCCAATGTCGACGACGTCAGTTCCGACGACACCCTGAGCTCCGGAGCCATCACCGTAGCGGATAGAGAACTGCTGTCCGGAGAGCATCTTGGCGTTCGTGCTCTTGGTAGGGTCGTACAGCTGGTGACCGGTCTGGGATGTGGCGTCGAGCATGGAGGTGAAGACCCACAGATCGGAAGAACCACTGTCAAAGTCGACGTTGACCTCCTGGCCACCAATCTTGATGGGCGAAACGTACTCGACGTCGTTGCGGATCGGGGTGGCGGTGACGAGACCGGTTCCGGGTTGTCCAGCGGCGGCGGTCTGGTTCGTGGCGCCGGCGGCGAGAGACTTGAAGCCCTCGGCCTTGACGGGCTCGGGGCTGGGGTTCTGGGCCGCCATGGCGTCCATGGCATCCTGCAGGCCCTGCGGGATGGGCATGCTGTACTTGCGGTACGCCTTGATCAGCTGTCTCGGACCATTGTGACCGGCGAAGTTGTCGTTGGGCACTCTGGGGACGAGGAAGTGTCCTCGCTTTTGGATATTAGCGCGCTTCTCGACCGGGGAGGCGTCGGCAAAGGTCGACAGGAGGCCGTAAAGGACCAGCGACCGCAATGAAGTTGACTCCATGTTGATTGTGATGTAAAAAGGACGTCCGTCACCAGGCAGACAACTCTATGAACAGAGAGAGGATATAAAAACAGGCCACACCAGGCGGCTCTTTTGCTTGTTAATGAGAAGGACGAGGAGCTGTCTCCAGGGAGCCCTCAAAAGTGTAAAAAAAAAGGGGGAATTAAACAAGAGTCGTCGTGAATGAACGGAAACTGGTGACGGGGGGCGGGAGAAAGGAATAGAGGATGGCCAAGAAGAGAAGAGTAACCCAGGTCGGAAAAGAAGAAGAAGACGGTGGTGGACAAGGCCGAGTTAATGTTCAAAGTAGGAAAGTCAAGAGATGGCGACTGGCCCGGCTCAGAGAGCGAGGATTATACATGTTGCAAAAAATGGGACGACGACGTCGTGCGCTTGTTGCTTGGAGGCTCCAGGCGAGCCAAGTCTCAAGTTGTGATGCCCTGGTCACAGATTGTCCCGCTCAGCAAGGGGGCGTGCGCGTCCATGTCAAGCCGGGCCAACCCTGTGATGGACGGATCTGGCGTCGAACCGGTCGAACCACTGCAGAGGTTCTGACTGAGAGCGAAGGCGAGGTAGGAGAAGGAGGGCGAAGCCTGGAGGAGGAGGACCAGGGGAGGGTGTGTGCGCTTCCGCCTGGGATCGGGGTTCCCTCCCGTCAGTCAGGACCCAAGACATGAGTTGCGGCAACGAGGTGGATCTGGTAGCATGTTTGGAATTCTGCGAATACGTCGAGGAGAAGATCGGTCACAAGCAGGGGAGTCCCCTTACCCCACAGTTGACCAGGCCGTGATCCAGAGCAGGGATACTGGTCGATCGGTGCCGGGAGGCTAGCGCAGGGGATGGGGGAGAGGGGGGGGGGGGCAAGGAGAAGGGGGAATGTTGAGCTGTGGGTGTGGACGTGGATGGTGTGCATCTGTCTCTGCGTGACCGTTCTGACCTTTCCCATGCTCGCTTTCTGTTCGCAACTATGCGGAAGCCCGTTGAGGTAGGTCTGAGTGAGAGCCAAGAAATATCGTGCTTCGGATGTAAAGTCTCATGAGCCATGGAAACTGGCGAGCCGTTGATCTGAGGTCTCAATTAGCTTATTTCGACCCATTTAAGCGTGGTTGATTTGGCAGGTTGACAATGCGATATGATCCCGGTCTCTCTCTAATCACCATACCGGTAGATAGACAAGCAGTAGCAGCAACACCACCACCATCTCAGTCTGGTAAGGCACATGTACGTTTGGCGCCCGGCAGCGATGAGAAAAGCAGAAACGGTAAGGCGGAGGGCGCTGTCAGATCTCCCCTAGCGCCGACGCTCTTTCTCTGCCATAACTTACAAGGCTTACGTGCCGTAAGCTACTGCGAGAAAGACACAAGCTCGCCGCAGCCAAGCGTATGCTAGTCCTCGGGCGATGTTCTCGGGACCAGCTAGCCGGGCTGTCGCATTTAGAGCAGTCCTGGTGCAGATGGCCAGACAAGTTGTTCGTCACCCCCTTCTCCACTGGACGGCGATGGTGAGCCGAAGTTGGTCCCGTTGATCCAGAAGTCTAGGTCAAGTAAGCGTGGCTAAGCATTTAGACGACGTAGCAGGTAGATGTGGTGGCCCACGCATGTTCCCCACAGGCCTTATTCCAATTATCAAGTTGGATGCTGGATGCTGGATGCCGGCAAGCTGTCGAGTTGGGGCGGCTTCTCATCAGACAAAACACTGACAAAGAGGATGGCGAATATCCGACGATGGGCCAGAGAAAGAGCAGTGAAGTCAAGCAGCCAGCCAGCCTCAGGTGAGGAATGAGTAGGGTATAGACTGGATGCTGCTGCTGCTGCTGCTGCTATTCTTGGCCCCAAGCGTCAAACGGGTAATCCTTCCACGCCCTCGAGAACGAACCGGGTGTCTAGCCCTACCTAGTCGGTTGGAAACGAAAGGCAAAAAACAGAGAGGGAGTTTTCTTTGACCGACAGGAAGAAAACAGCATCATCCCCTCTTGGATTCAACTTCAAGGGGGGGAGGGGTCTCTCTCGCAGGGGAGGGGGGATCGAGCGCGGGAGAGCGGCGAAGGATGGGCGAGCGAGGATTCGACGGTGCATTCGACAGAGAAAGGAGGAGGACAGTATCCCGGGTGAATCTCGTCATTGGACCCCTCTGGTAAGTCAGCGTTCGCAGTTGTTTCCGCTTGGCGTTTCAGCGATCCCCATGGTTGCTCTCCCGTCGCCAGCTAAGCCTCGCGGCGCTTGGCGCAGTAGCGATGTGTCTGCAATGTGACTGCTGGGCAAAGCAAGACTTTTTGCCAAGGGCGATCTGGTCCACGGCCTCCACGGTCTACATGGCCTCCATGTTGCGGCCTGCTTAGCGAGCTAAGCTTTGGGATGTTGCGGAAGAGGGATACCGAACATAATTAGGTCGAGGGACTCTTCCCTATCGGATGAAGGAGAAACAAGTGCCATTGCTGAAGCCAAAACTGTCATTGTTTGCGGACCTCGGGCACGCCCCGGGGATAGGCAGGCACAGGCACAGGCACAGTCGCTGTCAGACCGTCAGGTTGACCATAGGCCGCATTCCTTAGTCTATCGTTCTCGCGTGTGCGTGTGGCACCTAGACAGACAGACAGCTGAATGACGGAGCCGCCTCCCGCCGCATAGCTTGGAACGAGGTCCTGTTCGACTAGGCCTCATCTCCCTTGATTAGATTCTAGTTTCTCTCTGACCATGGTCTCTGCGAAGAAAGAACCCCTTGGCCTTGCGATGACTTAGTTCAGGAGAAGGCGGTTTGGGGTTTGGGATCTTTGAAAACGCTGGCGAAGAGACAGGGCAATATCGGCAAGGTCGCTGACGTATCCACGGGTAAACGGCGCGGTCAACATCGTTTCTGACCAACGCGTGGTCCGGGTTGGAGTCAGCGAAGAGAGACAACGGAGACAACGGAGACAACGAGGCCCAATCGGTCGATGGTGGCCAGAGGTGTCCAGGCCAGACCAAGTTTTCAGTTGGCGGCTGTTGATGCTGGCTGGCAAGCTGTAGCCATGTTGCCAGCCAGGCATGGAGACCGACCGACCGCAAGAGACTCGAGAGAAGACAACAAATGATGATGGGTGGACTCGGAGAAGCCCCAGTCCCTCCTCCCCTCCCCTCCCCTCTGGATCCCCTCTGGAGTCTCAACTTCTCGTGAAGGCTCCCTCGTTCTCCTGGGGGTCCTCGTGGATGGACGTTGAGTCCAGTCTTTCTGTCGAGTGAGTGGACAGGCTGACAGGGCCTGAAACGGTCCACTGGAGATTCTGAGACAGAGTTGTGCGGCGGGATCCCAGCAGTAAAACTCCGAGCGGCCAAATGTTCCGAGCGGTCCATGTGCCCCGGGCGTAGCGAGGGGTCCATACACTGTCGGGTAGGTAGCGCCAAGTAGTGTAGCGCTTAACCCAGGCTGCAAGGTACGGGTACGCTACTTCGTACGTGCAGCAGCAGGTGTGAGTACTCGCAGCGTATCATTTGGCATGTTATTGTTAGTGCGGCGGCGAGCCGGTGAGAGCGTTCAACGTCGACGTCCATTCATCCATCCATCCATCCATCCATCCATCCCAAAGGCAACAAGGACATGGCTTGGGCTGGAGGCCTTATGAGAGAGTAAGTCGACCTTAGCAGCTCCCGGAAAGGCGAAGTGTCGGTGTCGCAGAACATGAGGCCTCGTTGCACGATTTGCAATACTGTTTGTCCTGTAGAGAAACGAATGTGACCGCCTTGCTGGCGCTGAGCGTCAAGTCATACCCGTAGATCCGTTTCCACTTCATGTTTTGCGACGACGGCTGACGCACTTCGCCTCGAATATTCGACGTTGCAGCCAGGCAGATCACCGCATCGTATCCCCAGGGACCTTACCAGATGGACCCCGAGACCGAAGTGTAAAGAGGCGAGAGAGAGAGAGAGAGAGAGTGAGAGTGAGAGAGAGCTCTAGAGGGATGAATGGATAGATCCCATCCCGGTAGCATATCATGTGCATCCATCCTATAAAGGCATTTGCTATGCGCTGAATGTACACAATGTGTGAAAATGGCATGATGACCATGGGGCGAGACAGGCAACCTTGAACTTGGGCTTGAAGCTAGGTACGCCGTTCAATTTGCGAGAAAACGGGACCCTGCCCTGCGGCCGGTACAAAGTTGAGATCAACTATAATCGGTCTGCTGCCGTGAGTCGAGAGTGGACTGCCCTAGGTAATGCCCATCATCTGAACCGGCGCAGGGCCACGGGAGACGTGGAAGAAAGTTGTCATGTCGGAGGAAGCAACTCTAAAAGCCAACCTAAAATGAAAAAAACGGTTGGACAAAGTAGTCTCTGTAGACACCTTGGACTAAAAAAGGTTGCTTTTTGCTCGGGTTTAGGCTCGGCGTAAAGATGGTTTGACGATAGTTAATGAATATGGGCGTGCAGTGCGGTGGTTGCGAGAGTAAATTGCCCGGCCTGAATGCGAACGGCTTAATTGGCAATCTCTGCATTGATTGCTGCCATCAGCGTCGAAAAGTCTGCGAGACGGGCGACTCGGACACCGTCCTTGGCGACTTGGCAAGGTGAGTAACTTTGAGGAGTAGTGTAATCGCCGGTACATAGAGGTGTCAGAGTCGGGTGGTTCAGAGTCAGCCAGAGTCAGCAACTCGCAGCACACACGGGTTGTTGGCTATTGCCCGGGGGCCACCACATCCGCTTACACCATCTTTCGTGTTCGGGAGTGCCACAGTAGTGATGGGTGCGCCCTTTGCAGCCCGAGGATCTAAAGGTCATTGTCTAAAGAAGGGAGGAACATGTGAGGCGGAGATGATGTTAAAGAAATGAGATGTGTTGGTATGTGACGTGATGACGGCAAACTCGCGATGAGGTCAGCGCCTGGGTTGAGGAGTCGAACAACCTTGAACTAACGAGTCGGAAATCTAATTTCAAGGTACTTTGCAGACCATCTCGGGGATTGCGATCCATTTCGGTACACTAGTCAGGGGAGCGTAGGCAAAAGAAAGCTTGATCTTGCATATGTTGGCTAAATAAAGTGGGAGGGAGTGAAGAAACGGGCTTGCAGGACCGCCCACGTTAAGGCGCAAAGTATGTCTGAATAGAGCTTTTGGAGGGGGAAACAAATGTACAGCGTACACAGTCAAAGAACAGACACAGCGACTCCATTAGACAAGCTTGGAGGATCACTTGCGAAGAAGTCTTGGTGTTTCTGCCAAGCCGGATGATGGCCGTGGCGGTGGTGGAGGTGGCTTGCCGTTTGAACTGGGGAAGACGAGCAGAGAACAAGTTGCTGCCTTACAGACAAGGCTTATGGAAAGGAAAACAGCGCTACGCCGAGATGGGTGAAATGACTAAGCACAGGCTGACCGGGACTAAAATGAAGATGCATGACTCCACGTGATCTGAGATGGTCAGTGCAGAAGCTGAGGTGGAGGCTAGTGTAAAGTCCGGCTGGCACGGGGATGGAAGATCATGGCTATCCACGTGCCGTCATGACTAATCATTCGGGAGCCGTGTTTCCTTTGGAAAGGAACCACCCGTGGGCACCTGACTGGCTGTCTGGAACTGTCTGGACCCCGACTCCGTCCCTCCAGCTCCTCTGAGCATAATCACAGCGAGCTAGTCCTGAAATGGATTAGAGCAAAGGGATGAGTCTGGTCCGGACCAATACCGGGGGACTCTCGTGGCTCCTGTCACCATTGGTAAAGGTACGGTACCACGCCCGGCTGCCGTCTGCGAGAGGAGAACGTGACTTTGCGCCCGACTCGCTCCCAATCAACCAAGTCACTTACTATCTATCAATGCCCCGCTTCGACTCTTCTCTCCGTTGAACTGTTGCTCGCATTATCCATCTGTATCTCGCCGGGTTCGTTCACGGTTCAGCTCCAGCCGCCAGCCAGCCTCGTGCATTTACCGCAAAGAGGTGAGCGCAGCCGCAAACCCGTACGGATACCCGCCCTCCACCACGCCCCAGGCTCCGCGACTCGCTCTCTCCTAGACTCCCAGACTCCCAGAGTCTTCCTCCCACGTCCCAACGCACGTAACAAACTGGAACGGGGCCCACGGCAGACAGTTGGTTCTTCCCCACGCCCAAACCCAACGTTCGTTCGCTTCCCAGTCTCGTGCAACGCAAACTCGACGAACCTCCGTCTGGGTCTGGGTCTCTCTCTCGGTCACACGCCCACCCGACAACTCTCACCCAACCAAACCAAACCAAACCAAACCTACCTACCACCAAACCCGCCCGCACCGCACCGCACCGCACCGTACAGGCTGCGCTACACGCCCCCCAATCCGTCCATCCATCCATTCATCCAAGGACCTTTGCGCGCGCCCTCTGTCTACTAATTTTTTTTTTGCTGCTCCCCTCCCGCCGCCACCGTCAGATCCAAACATCACGGCCCTGGCTGCCCGTTCCATCTCCGAACCCGGCCCATATTGGATCGCGACTCCCGTATACGAAAAGTAGGGGTCCAAGACATTACCGCCGCATAACGACCCTTATTGCCGCCACTAACCATCACCACCACCGCCGCCCATCTGTCCCCAACTGTCTGCCTGACCCCCCCCCCCCCTTCGACGCTTCGACGCTTGGGGGATACCCTTATCCTCCTTCGTCCTGCTCGGCCACTGCCATCCCTCCTCCTCGTCCTCCGCTCTCCGCTCTCCGTCCTCTAACCTCCCCGTTCCGTCTGCTCTCGTCGTCGACAAAAAGGACTCAATGTCAGACGATGAGTTCGGCGGCCCGGATGGCCCACCCGGCAGCGCCGGCGGAGACCGCGACAAGCGTGCACCGCGCTTCAGCTGGACGCCCGCCTACGAGGCCACCTTCTTCCGATCCCTTTGCGACTCGGTCCAGCTAGGCTTGCGCGAGAACCACTCCTTCAAGGCCGACGCCTGGGATCGCGCCGCCACCGCCCTTCGCGAGAAGCACGGCGCATATCCCACAAAGAGCCATCTCGTCAACAAGTCGGATAATGCGCGCAAGAAATTTCGTCTCTGGCGTGGCCTTCGCGAGGACCCCGAGTTCCTCTACAACCCGACCACCCGTACCGTCACCGCTTCTGAGGAGGCCTGGAAGGCGCATATCGAGGTACGTTGGTCGGGACGCGCGCGCGCGCGTATATTTTATGTATCACAGTCGTATCGGGCTTTTGTCGCTGACCCTTTCTCCGCAGAAAGAGCCGTTATCGCGCGCGTTGCGTGGTCGGCCGTTCGACCATGAATCGTTCATGGAAATTTTGTATCCTGACGTCGTCGGTTCCGGAGGTGCTCCCAAACGTATTATGAAGCCGAAGCGAAAGGGTCCCGATGTGATTCAAGGGTCTGAAGACCCGGATATGCCGGGCACCGCAGTCCTCGATCTTCAGGTTGAGCCGCCTTACGGGACCCCTTCACAAACGGGCATTAACCACCAAGTACAGCCTCGCGGCTCCGTAAGCCAGTCTCCCGTAGCACAAGTCCAACAACCCATGATACCCCAACAGCAACAGCAACATCAACCCCAGCAGCAGCAACAACAACAAATACAACAGCAGCAGCAACAGCACCAGCAACCACAGCAGCAACAACAACGGCCCACCTCCACCGCGATTCCGCCTAGGACGCATATCGCAGGCACGAGCGCTTTGACGCCCCCCGAGGAAACTGCCACAGGACGCAAGAGATTTCCCCAGCAGGTGTCGACATCCGACACCGGCGGCAAAGCCCCAACGGCGCCCATGGGGCCACCGGCGCAACCGGCAGAGAAGCGTCGACGTGTGTCGGGATACACGAACCCGGCGCAAGCATCAGGGTCAGGCGTATCAAACAGCCACAACCACGGCCACGGCAACGACGCGTCGACGGCAAACATGGTCTCCGCCGGCAAGCAGCTGATGGAGGACGGACTGATCAAGATCGCCGACGCTCTCCGCGGCCGGAGCCCGCCACGGTGGCCCGAGCAGGCGATTGACATCTTCTTCCGCGACTTCTCCGACGAAGACATGGACCTCCAGCTTAAGATTGCGGAGAAGGCTCTCGCGGATGACAACAAGGCCATGATCTTTTGCAAGATGTCGCCTGCGCTACGCAAGCACTGGGTCAAGCGCCTGAGAGAGTTGCACAACAACAGCCGCAACACGTAATGCCCTGTCGCTATGTGGTCTTGGGCAGCAGGCGCAAGAGGAGGAAGTGTAGGATTCGGGGTCGAGTACGGAGCGGCGTTTCGATCGATCGATGTAAGAAAGGCTTTATCGTGTGCGTGTGTGTGCGTATGTGCGTGTGGGCAAAGCGGGCAACGGCTAAAGGCAAGGCTTAGGTTGGCTTCAAACGGTTGAACAGAAGACTGGGTTGCGAAGGGCGTTTTGCTACAAAGGTGTCCGGGTCTGGGAAGGGTTCACAACGGGGTTGGAGGAGTTAGCAACCAAACGGCATAGCGACTTTGGGGGTGGGGTTGATGTTGAGCTTTGGCTAAACCTACCTTTTGTTTTTTCTTTCTCTTCGTCTTCCTTCTTATTTCTTCGTCTTCTCTCTCTTTTTTTCCCTGTATGATTTCTACGATCACCACCATACCATACCAGAAACTAACTCATGTGGAGGTTTAAACCGGAGGCGGAATAGCAGACCGGGCGGACGGACGGTCGGTCTCCTTTCTTAGTATATTCAATATTATTGTTGATATTGCCATCTGGTGTGCGGTATACCCTGGGTATCAGACTGAAGCTTATATTGGAATGTCGTGTTGGAATCTTATGAATGTTGGAATCGCGGTGTGGTGTCGTGAGGTCATCTACGGTCAGCCAAAAGGAGAAAGATGTTCGAGCACTTTAGAGAGAGCAAGTGTGTTTTGGAGGAGATTGTGTGTGTGCATTTCCATATTCGCCCCAAACGCCCAGTACATACATTACAGCCAAGAGCCGTTTATCCGACGTCGTTCGTTCGTAAAGACGCCATTACACGCCAACAAGCCAGCATCCGTGCAAACATGCCAAATAGAGAAGAGTAGTTTCCCAAGCTAGGTTAGGTAGTAGTAGAAGAAGAAAAGAAAATCAAAGCCGCCGTCGTCCCCGACGCGCACTTGTCACTCTATTTCTTGCCCTTGGTCTTGTACAGGTAGCTGTGGGGAAGAAAACAGTCAGTATGCATGCGCATAGCTTGTGGTCACTAGGAACGAGGAGTGAATGCTTACCTTCCAAAGATACCCTCTCCAAGACCAACAACACCAAGGATGCCCAAGCCCAGGCCGACGCTCTGCCACGACAGACGGCCGCGCTCGTAGAGACCCCAGGCCTTGTATCCGAGGAAGGCGCTGAGGCCGACAACACCGACGAGATTGGAGACGACGAGGGCACTGGCGGTGCCGTCGGAGAGGGAGGAGAACTGGCGCTTGAGCCACGAGTCGGCCTTACGGGCCTTGGAGGCCGCCTGCTTCTTAGCGAGGTCGGCCTCGGCGCGGGCCTTCTCTTCGCGGTCGACGCGGTCGGCCTGGGTTTCTGTCTGGATCTCCTGCTCGAGGAAGTCGTGGGGGACGGTGTGCACGCTCGGCATGTCGACGTCGACGAGGGAGGAGGTGGAGGCGGTGGAATCGACGGAGATTTCGGGGGGAGGGGGAGCAGCGGCCTGAAGGGAGGGAATGTTAGTAACGATACGTAGAGGGCTGAATGAGATCACGCGATCAAATGCAAGGAAGAAGAACGTACCTCCTCAGGAGTCTGCTTGGGGCCCTTGGCGGCCATGTCTGCGTAGGAAGCCACTGTGAGGTGTTGTCAGTATCGCATGCGCAACTTGTCGAGTATGACGCAACTTTGTTTACTTACTTGTGAGGGATGAGAGCTGTGGTTGGAAGAGAAGCTTTGAGCTTTGATGTAGGGCAGGGTAGGTAGGTGTAGGAGGCGGTTGGGGGTATCAAAGAGGGAGGGAGAGATGCAAAATGTGCGAGGTGTAAAAAGGTGTGTGGCAGATCGACAGGATGACGCGCGGGATGGATGAACGGGTAGGAGTTCCTTTTAAGAAGATGCAGTCATGTGAAATGGGGGAAAGGAGGAAGTCGGGAGAAGCCTGAGGATGGGAGGGAATTTTGAGGGAATGGTTCCGTCAGGTGGTTTGACGGGAAAGGATGGCGCACCCCCGCGAGCGCTTTCCTTGATCTTGGTTGGCGCGTAGTGGCCTGGAGACCAATGACGTATGACGTATGCGGCTCGGGAGCTTGGGACAACCTGATCGGCCGGCCAATCACAACCCTGACAGATTTCCGCTGTGGGGGCACCTTAGTTAGGTATCTGGTTCCTCTGCACCTGCCGGGGGAAAAAGTCGGGTCCTGCCGTCACAATGTTGGCCAGGAACAATGTCATGCACCGGGGCATCCTCGGATGGGTCCTGAGGTAGTAAGGTACCTTAGCCGTCGGTGTGTCATTAGGTACCTTAATGCATCTGGCCATGTTATTCATGCTCGTGGAGACAGTGAGAGTCATATTTTGTGTTGTTGGTTGAAGCTATTCCCACTATAATTATGATCAAGAATCAAAAGGAAGATAAACGAGATTCTTGGGTAGTCTCTCAGAGAAGTGTATGTCTATTGCTCTTTTTCTTTTGCTTCCGTACTGGTACACTGTGTACACGATTATGGTACATGAAATATGCCTGATTTTTCCCCCTTCATGGTTTCATTAGCCACGCTCTACGCTCCGCAGCCCGCAGCTGCGGCTTCGCAGCCAAGCGTTCGCTCCTTCTCTGCCACCTTTTACTCTCCGGTCCTGACGATAGCTATTTGTGTGTAAATTGGTACAGAAAGCAAGAAACTCTCTTGTTCTTAGATGTTGTTCGCCGCAGTGGCATCGACGGCCTTGTTGTTGGGCTGGGTAAGATCAACAGGCTCGGGCGAGGGAGCCGCAGGGGCCTTGGGCTTCTCCTGCTTCTCGGCCGGCGCGGGCTTCGTCTTCTCCGCCTTGGGTTCGGGCTTGACCTCGGCCTCAGGGGTCTTCTCTGGGGTGTCGGCCTTGGTCTCCTTGGTCTCTTTCTTGATCTCCTTGTTGTCCTCCTTCTTCTCCTCAACGGCCTTGGTGGGCGGCGCAATCGCGGCATCGGCATTGGCGTCGAGGGCGGGCGCGGCGGCGGCGGCTTCGGCTTCATCGGCGCCCTCGTCATCGGCCAGCTCGTCGCCGTAGACCTCGGGGTATTTCCTGAAGCACGTCTGCATTCCCCTGCAATTCCAGTTAACACTCCTCATACCACGACTTGGGCCGCATCATCTCCAAAACGTACTGGAACTTCTCAATACAGTCCATGCCCTTGGGCTCCTCCTTGGAGTAGACGAAGCAGCTGAACGCAGCCTTAAACTCCTCTCCGCAGGGACCGTCAGCCATGCCGCCCAGGCACGGGCAGTCCCAGTTGATCTCGCCCGTCTCAGGGTTGAAGGCACCCTGCTGATCCGCCTCGGCCTCCAATGCCTCGGGAGAGCCGGGGGCGGGTGCCGGGCTTCCCTCGGCGGCCTCACCCTCGAGCGCAGCCTTGGTCTGCTCGCTGGCTTCTGTCGGTACGGGGGCGGCGGTGGCGGCGGGCTTGGCCTCCTCGGCCTTTACGATGGCACGCTTGCGCTTCTCTTCAACAATGGCATCGACGGTGGTAAGATCGGACTCGGAGAATTGGGACGGGGCGGCGATCGTTTTGGCTGTTGAGCAACACATAGTTAGAGACGATCACGTTCTTCTAAGCATCTTCTCCTTGATCGGTGCGGGAGACATACGGATGGGCTCCTCGGCAAAGACTGGACTTGTGTTGTACCAGTAAAGAGCACCGGCGGCCAGACCCCATCTCACTGCCGCACCCTTCCACGTCCTCGGCTTGTCGGCGGGTGCTGTTGAGGCGAATCGTCTAGGAGCTGCGCGAATTGCCGACTGTCGGGTGGCGCTCAGGGCGCGGGGCGCCGAACGCATGCCGCTGCGATACATTGTGTGTGGTTATGTATTGTATGTAGAAAAGCTGAACCAAAGGAAAAAGGGACTGGGGGGGCAATTGCCAAAGACAAACGACAAAGGGGAATTAGAGAGATGGACGGAGGGCGCGGGTTTGGACAGCTTGTGAGCTTTCCACACGTTACTGGTTGGTAATCCCGGGTGGAAAAGAAAATTGAAGCTTCGATGGGCGGGTTTTGCCGGAGTTTTGGCGGCGCATTATCGCTTGATTGCGCTGGCTCACGCCCTGCCATGCCCGCCACGCCCATCCGATGCAGCCTGCAAGGTCCGGCCGATCGGACGGTCCAAAGAATCCAATTAAAATCTGAGAGAGTCGACGCTTCATTGGCTGCTGATGCCGTGCACCACTTTCTGCGAGATATTCCTTTTTAGGCCGGTGACACTGATGACTGCCTACGCCTGCGTAAGGAACGCATCATGGACAACTCAACCTGGGATAAAGTACCTGATGCAAGTTGGTGATACAGTATTATGATTCTCTCTCAAATTCTCAACTGTGCTACTTGAGCGATAATCAAGTTCAAGTCTGACACGTCTGCACTTTTCTTAGGAGGTCACTTGTATTTAGAGACATCCTTGTCTTTCTGGCCATCTGATCCTCTGACTGAGGTAGTTTCGTGCTAAGATAGAGCGAGAGACTGAACAAGGCTCTTCAATATGTCGCCAAGTTTCGAGTGGCGGCCGATAGGTCTCCTCCGCGACAAGAAACCAGAACAACCAAGCACTGTCGACTTTTCCCTCATCGTACTCAACCAACCTGTGAGACAGACGCCAGTTTTTGACTCACTATGGACAAATGGTACAACCTCCTCGCACTCGTTCGACCCGACCCCATGCTGACTCCTCATAAAGCCCTCACACGAGTTGCTGCAGATGGCGGGGCAAACAGGCTACACGATCTGAACAAAGCAGCTGAGGCTCAATCCCACCCTCCATACGTGAGTGCCTGCATCTCTCATCATCACGATGACCCTGTCTGACTCATACAGAACAACCTCGACGTTATCATCGGGGACTTGGACTCACTCCTCCCCTCCGTCAAGGACTACTACACAACGCTAGAAAAGCCAGCCCAAGTCATACATGATCCCGACCAGTACTCAACAGACTTCGCCAAGGCCGTCTCATGGATCCGATCAAACCACGGCCCCAAGACTGACATCGTGGCTCTCGGTGGACTAGGTGGCCGCGTCGATCAGGGTCTCAGCCAGGTGCACCATCTGTACCTCTTCCAGCCGGGCCCGGACTATGCCCAGGGCAAGCTGTACCTCGTCTCCGGCCAGAGCCTGACCTTCCTCCTCAAGCCCGGTTACCACAGCATCTGGGTCCGCGAAGACGGCGAGGACGTCTTTGGCAAGCACGTCGGCATTATCCCCATCGGCGGGACCAGCTACATCACCACCAAGGGCCTCGAATGGGACGTGGAGAAATGGGAGACCAAGTTTGGGGGCCACATAAGCACCAGCAACCACGTGCTGCCCGAGACAAGGGTGGTCGAGATCGAGACAACCGAAACGGTGCTTTTCACCATTGCTCTTGTGGGCACTGAGTAACCAAAAAAGAGGTCAAACGAAAAAAAAGTCGACCGTCGCTTGTTATACAGGGAGAGCTCCATGATGACCCAAATTCTGCACGGCGCATATACTGCAGCCTACTCCACAACGCCTTTCGCCCTGCATGTTGCCTAGCGTCGGTTTTTCGTCTCTGGCGGCGCGACTCCAAATGTGATGTGCGTTTACCGTAAGAAATGTATGCACGCCCAGCAGAAGAGGAAGAAGATGATGACACCGGCCCAAAAGATCCACTTGTCTTCCTTGGCGCGGCGCTCAATCATGCGAATGGTGTCGCCGGAGATGCCCAGCGTGTTACCGACAGAGTAGAGCCTCTTCTGGGTGTTCTTGAGCATTTCGCGCTGCGTTCCAAGATCGCCTAGCACGGCTTGCCCGCGGGCAATGTATTCGTCCAAGGCTGAGTTGGTGCTGGCAAAGAAGTTCTGCTCTCGCAGGGCGTGTTGTTCTCTTGTGACATCGTTTCCGCCCATGCTCAGCCCACCGCTGCCGGCCTGACCTGTCGAAGCCCCTCGGCTGTGGAATTGGGACGACTTATTCACGTTGGCGTAGGGGTTTTCGGGGGTGGCTGTGACATAAGCTCGACGGCCCAGCAGCTCGCCTCGATTGTTGTTGTGGGCGGCTTCTTCGCGAGCCTTCTTGAGAGAGTCGACCTGAGAGCGGAAATCGGAGAGGTCATCGCGGAACCGTTTCACTCGTTCGTAGGCTTCTTCTTGTTTCTTGGGTACGAGCTCCTGACGAGCTAGTTGGTTGTATTCGTCGACGGTCTTGGAAAAGGAGGCGAGAGATGCGGACACATTGCCAATTTCGGCGGGAGTCATGGCAGCTGGTTGCGCAGCTGAGGAGGACAGCTTTTCGAGGTCGTTGCGGATGGCCTTGCTCTGGCGCAGGGCCGAGTTGTATTGGACGTTCTGCAGGTTGTTAGTACGGCGCATCTGAGATTTAAGGTTAGGAGGGAGTCTGCGCGACTGACCATTCTGGGCTGATATGCGACGGGGCACCGAGTCTGAAGATGTGTAGGGTAATTCTCGAGACGGGAGCAGTCAAGAGGGTAGATATTGAAAGCGCGTCCCTTGTATGAATGCAGGGTCTTGAGGTCTAAGGTAAGGGACTGCCTGAAGCCCGACGGAGCTCTGGACACTTCATACTGGAGCTCCCTCCCAAAAGTACAAAGGTACCTCCAAGTCTCCAGGTGGCTTCTCCAAGAAAACACGTTACCGCCTTCCCAATCAGTAATGGAGATGCACGTACCGTGTGTACGTACAGTGTCTAGTTTCCCCGAAGACGGTCCGCCCCATCCCCGGAGGTGCCTTCCTCCCTGGCTCCGTCCTCCTCCCTCTTGGCGTTCCGTGTAAGTTTAAGTGCAACTCAAAACCTTCAACTTCACCTCAATATTCCATCGCACTCATCATATCATGTAGTATCTCAATGAACATGGACACGTTCTTATGACTAAACTGTTCTTCTTCTGCTACTATCAAACGAACAGGATAACCATGATTGAGTGCATTTGCCGAGAGCGGCCCGCTCAGCACTCCGTTCGAGGGCTTCGGTCGAGGTCCGCGATAATTAAGTCACGCGGTGATGTGATTATCGCCGGGATCTTACGCTTTTTTCTACTTGGGCTGAAAAAGACCCACGGGGCACAGATTGACTACCTAAGACAGAGAGATACCGAAGTCTTATTGTCCGCTAGCCTGATACTGTCGCAACTCCAGCCGACGCTCACTCTTCGAGACACGCCGACTCGGCACCGAGTATGCATTCTGACAACGATGTCGTATTAGTTCCACCGAACGAGCGGTGATCGATTACATCTGCGCCCCAAATACCCCCAAATGGCCCCAAAGCCCCCAAAATGCCCGATTGTGCCCCAATGACTGCCTAGTCAAGTACTTAGCCGCAGACGGACTTTTTTTTATCATAAGTCCTGATCTCGGCAATAACATGTATATATCAATACATTTGCCCCAATGACTGGCATTCTTCTTACTGCACTTCTCATCATCAGGCTCTGTATCAAGGCTGGCCAAGACTGGGATCCAACATCATCGCCAAAAATGTCTCGACCAACGAGTCCCACGTCTTCAGATATGTCAGCGCCACCGGCCGACTCTACTAAATCGACAATAGTGGACGAAGAAGCAGCTACACCACCAGAAGAACAACAGCCTCCACCATTTACAGTTTATACGACATGGGAGAAGCGGCTCATCGTGCTGGGAGCCGCTCTGGCTGCCTTCTTCTCGCCTTTCACTGCGCAAATCTACCTTCCCGCTCTGACTGTTCTCGCCAACGAGTTCAACGTCTCCGACTCGGACATGAACCTTACTCTGACGACTTACATGATCTTTCAGGGAATCGTGCCCATGTTCATCGGTTCTCTGGCTGATCAGAGTGGCAGACGCCCTGCATATGTCATATGCTTTGTCGTCTACATCGCAGCCAACATTGGCCTTGCGCTCTCGCAGAACTTTGCTTCTTTACTCGTCATTCGCTGCATACAGTCTGCAGGCTCTAGCAGCACCGTCGCTCTGGCCTCAGCTGTCGTGGCAGACAGCATTACATCGGCTGAGAGGGGACAGTACGTTGGTCTTACTGTTATACCCATTGTTCTAGCGCCCGCACTGGGGCCAGTCCTTGGTGGTGTTCTAGCACAGTATCTAGGATGGAGATCCATCTTTTGGTTTCTTGCCATTCTGGCCGGCGTCTTCTTCATCATTCTTCTTCTCTTCTTCCCAGAGACTTGCAGGAGGATCGTGGATGATGGCTCCGTGCGGCCTCCAAAGCTCTACCGAACCGGCTTCCAGCTTATCAAGGACCATTACAGAGCCAAGAAGGGAGATGGAGCGCCGGTGACGAGACAAACAACAGGGGCATCAAACACTGTCAAACCAACTCTCAAGTTCAAGATCAACCCGTTTGAGTCACTTCGTCTACTCTTCGAGAGAGAGCTTGGGCTACTTCTCGGCTTCAGCGCCATTGTCTTTGCTGGGTTTTACGCTATCGCCTCTTCCATGCCGACCCAGTTCCAGGAGATCTACGGTTTCGACAGTCTTAAGGTCGGCCTCATGTACCTGCCCATGGCTGGCGGCTCAGTCGTGGCTGCCTTTCTTGTAGGACCTCTAATCAACTGGAACTACCGCCGGCATTGCAAGCGCCTGGGGATTCCCTACGATAAGTCTCGTCAGCAAGACATGACTGGGTTTCCTATTGAGAAAGCCCGACTCGAAGTCGGACTGCCGCTGCTGTATCTCAGCTCGATTCTGCTGCTCATCTGGGGTTGGGCTCTACACCTCCGAGCGCCCGTGGCTGTGCCATGCGTGCTGCTCTTTCTCTTCGGAGTCGGCATGATTGGATTCAATAACACGACCAATACGCTCATCATCGACATCCACCCAGGGAAAGCCGGGACTGCAACGGCGGCGAACAACTTTACGAGGTGTCTGCTCGGTGCGGCTGCGACTGCAGCGATTATTCCCATGATTAACGGGATGGGCGTAGGCTGGGCCTTTACTTTTCTGGCTCTTCTCTATATTGTCTTCAGTCCGGCATTGTTGGCCATCATGTACTGGGGCGTGAAGTGGCGTCATAACGCAAAGGACAAGGTGCTCAAGAAGGAGAGCAAGAAGAGCGCAGCATGAGACTGTGATACAATGTAAGTATGAATGTGGCATAAAGTGATACCCTCGTAGATAGTTACTCGAAAACGCCTCTAGCAATACATGTAATGAACTGTAATTACAAGAAACCGATTCAACATCGCAACGCCACATGGTTATTCTGTCAAAAACGCTGTCGGTGTGGTTTCCTCGTGGCGGTTGAACCCCGCATATTAGGCTAACTCGACTTGCACCACGCCCTTCGGCGTCATGTCAAGTTGATTCTTATCGCTCAGCTGAAAAAGGAAGTGAGACCGGTAGCTCAGGTCAAGCTCCGCCCCTCATTGCTTCATTACATTTCAGGGTAATTCATCGAATATCCCCTCACTTTAAACGTGGCTTTTGAACAATTCGCGTTGCAATGAGTGAAGATTATCCCCGACCCACCGGGCCAGCCCCCGCAACAAAGACTCTCACGGCCCGTTGCTACTGCAAAGCCGTCCACTTTACCCTCACTCTGCCCACCTCCTCCCTGCCCCTCAAAGTCCACCTCTGTCACTGCAGCATCTGCCGCTACACCCACGGAACCCTCTGCATCTTCCACGCGCCCCTGCCATCCGGCGTGTCCCCCTCCTTCATTGCCCCGTCCTCGCTGTCATCCACTCTCACGGCCTATCGCCACGCGACGGCCTCGAGCACGCGGTACTTTTGCAGTACGTGTAGCTGCCACATCGGAGACGTGGGCGTCGACGACGACGACTGGGTTATCTCGGCGTCCATCTTTGACACGAACCAGGATGATGTACCCGCCGTCTGGGATATACGGTCTCACGTTAACACGGCTTCGGCGCCGGGTGGGGGATTATATGAATGGCTTCCAGCGGTGAACGGCAAAGAGATGAATATCTGGAACCCCAAGAAGGACGAATCTGAAGCCGCAACGCCTACAACGACACATGGGCGAGAAGTCGGCGTAGACGGCGAAGAGGTCCTCCGCGCGCAGTGCCACTGCGGCGGCGTCTCCTTTACAATCTCCCGCCCCAAAACCTCCATGCTCGAAGATAAAGCCTACGAAGCCTGGCTCTCGCCTGTCGACTCTCGGAAATGGCCAGCTTGCATAGACGCCTGCGACGACTGCCGTCTTCAGACGGGCGTCCACGCAATTGCCTGGGTCTGTATCCCCGAGAGCTGCATCACCCCCTCCGTGCCCGAGGACCTCCAGCTCGGCGGGGCAGCCAAGACGTTCAAGTCGTCTGAGAACGTGTGGCGGTCATTTTGCGGGACGTGTGGCGCCAGTGTGATGGCGTATTTTGGGGTGGATGGTAGGAAGCAGGCGAATGGGGAGAGGTTGGTGAATGTTGCTGCTGGGATTTTGAGGGCGCCTGAGGGGTGTTTGGCGGAGGAGTGGGTTACGTGGAGGACGGGGCGGGTTGCGTGGGCAGAGAGCGGGATGAGGTATGATGCTGGGGTGACAGAGGGGTTGGGGGAGGGTATGGCGAGATGGGGGAGGGAGAGGCATGGCGAGGCTTGGGGATTCAACATCGGATAATGTTTGATATGTCCTATCGACTCATGGTTCTGGTATTCTATCCTCGTTCCTCTCGTTTGCAGCCAGTGATATAACCACCGTACAGAGATCTATGCAAGATGCCCATAGGTCTCGCTGACCCTCTCTTTCTCCCGCTCCAGATATTCGTCAAAGGTCCCCAAGGCAACTCCCCAGCTTCTTGTCCCCTCAATATCAGCAAACTGATCCATATCACGCATAGCCAACTGTCCAGCCAAGAACGGGTTCCCTCCTTTTTGCGCCTCAACCTCTTCATCAGAGAGATACACAGCCTTGATGTCCTTCCCCGTAAACCTCGCAAGTTTCCCCATGATATCGTCTGCGGTAAGCAGCTCCGACGCAAGTGAGATCTCCTGAGTGTTGAACCTGACAGGATCACGGTACGCCGCCAACGCAAACTGTCCGATATCGTTCGGGTCCACCGTCGGCAACTTCGTCTCGGGCGTCAGAGCTGTGACGAAGCGCCCTTTCTTGGCAAGATCCGGGTACACGGCAACGATCGGAAGGATGTAATTCGCCGTAAAGTTGCCAGGTCGTAGGATGGTCCAGTGCTCGAAGCCCGCCTTCCGGACCTCGTTCTCGATAGCCTGCTTCGAGAGAAGGACCATAGCAGTGAAGCTTTCGGGATCCCAGTACTTGAGCTTCTGGGGAGCATCTACCGAGAAGCTGCTGCTGTAGATGAAGTGTGTGGCGCCTGCCGCCTTGGCGGCGGCCATGATACGCTTCGCCGTCTTGAGTTCCCAGGTGTGGTCGACGAAATCGGGCATCAGATTCAAAAAGGCCCCTGTGACGCCTTTCATCGCCTCCTCGAGGGCACCTTGGTCGTCGTAGCCTCCTGGGGTGAGGGAGGCGCCGAGGGAGGAGAGGGCCTTGGCGGCGGGAGAGTCTGGGTTGCGGGCGAGGGCGTGGACTGCGATGCCGGCTGCGAGGAGGTTTCGTGCGACTGAGCCGCCGACTGTGCCTGTTGCGCCGCTGACGAAGATGGTGTGTTGAGACATTGCTGAATGTGTGTGGTGTCGAAGCTGGGTTGATACGTCTAAGTGAAATTTGGGAGGAAAAGCGTGGTGAGCTTCGATTGAAAGATGATATAGCGATGAGACTGTTTGAGCTGTAGCAGGTCAGAGCAGTTCTTTCGGTGCTTTATATACTCACAAAATAATACTTGTCATCCCGGATGATGAGAATCCATGTTTGATGCCATCAATTCATTGAAGGTCTCATCGCGGGAATCCTTCAGCGACGCGCAACCGACGACGGGAAGCCGCCAGCTTCGCTTGATGATATTGATCACACATTATACGTGGCTGATTGGTCGGAACGATAAGTACTTTGGTGTTTCTTGCACATAAGGACGCAGACAAAGAAGAGGAAGGATGAAGGATTGAGGTGGGAAATGTTGGCGGAATCCCGCCAGATTAAGTAAGCTCAAACTGAGCAGCGCTGACAGCGTCTGAGTGAGATTCCAGCGCTCACCTTCAGTGCTTTGACACTCATTCAATTTAGTTGGAAAGCTTGCTCGGGGAGTTTGAAGCCGTCACTTATTTTCAACTTGACAGTCAGATTTTCAGATATCTTTTCATTCATCAACGGGAAAAATCGACGCGGGCATTGGCCAACATGTCAAACTCATTCTTTGAGCGGGCCAACCCGCCGCCACGGCGCAAAACATGTACGGCCTGCACCAAAGCCAAGCGCAGATGCGACCACGGCCAACCCGCATGTTTGCGGTGCTCGAGGCGGAATATCGCCTGCGACTACTCCGCTCCGTCAATACCCATCAGGTCGAAGGCGAGTAATCGCGATCTTGTTGTGCGAGCCCCGAAGCCTCGGCGACAGCATAATCAAAGCAGCGTAGCTCCAAGTCCCGCCCCCCTCCTCGACAACAACGCTGGCTCGAGCGCTTCCCTCATTCCTTGGTCCCAGAATCCAGATCTTTTACCTTTGGGAATGGCAGACTTGGAAGACGTCGATTTTGATCTAGCCTTTGACGAACTCATAACCAGTGACGCCTTCCTTGAAGGGCCCTTGATCGCTCCTTCCCTCACGCCCAAGCCAGACGATATGCTTGTCCCATCTTATGACTCCGCCCCGGGCTCACTTGAGAGTGTGATAGCCAACCGTCTTCAGTATGCCCTTGATGAGATTAAAAAGGTTCCGACCACGGTGGTGATGGAAAACCAAGCTCCATGGAGTCATCCCCATCTGTATCGAGCTCACATGCCCCGAGACATGCAAGGTAAGTATCTCATGTCGCCCTCGCCCAAGTCCACTATCCATGGAAAGAATCTGACTGTATATTCACCAGATGCTCAAGCCTGCTGCGCTCTTTACATAACAAAGAGCAAAATCAACTCATCCTTCGTCCTACGTACCATCCAAGCCAGAGCCCACGAGCTACTCGCCTCACCAATGCCCAAGAACCGTCTCGACATCCTAGCTCGCTTCCACGCCATCCTCCTCTACCAAATCATTCGCCTGTTCGACGGCGACATCTCCATGCGGGCCTCCGCTCAACACACCTTATCCTCTCTAGAGCATACCATACTCGCCCTATTGCCGTTTGTGAAGTGGGAGCCGGAACAGCCTGCCACTGGCCCGGCCCAAGACTACACCGCGTGCCCGACCAAGGACTTTTGGCAGGAATGGATCTTCCAAGAGTCTGCTCGACGTACCATATTCTTCACCTGTTTCTTCCTTGTTGCCTACAGTGCCCTGGTCGGCACGCTTACGAATGGATGTGAGGAACGATACGTGTTTTGTCAGTCGTGGACCATGTCCGCTCATCTTTGGAAGGCGCCTACCGTAGTTGACTTTGCTGTTGCTTGGAAGGAGAAGCAGCACTTGGTAATTACGAAGCAGGGCTTCGAAGAGGCGTTGAGAGATGCGTCTGCTGATGATATTGACGCGTTTGGAAAGATACTCTTGGTCAGCGCATTGGGCATTGAGGACGCGAGGCTGTGGTTTTACAACAGGGGCAGCTGTTTGTGACGGCGTTCCGGGGCATCAATAGATAGCAAACATGGCCCTCACCAATTCCACAGATTCTGCAGATATCGCAGGTTTCACTGTTCATAACATCACGAAATAGAAGTCAAGCCTGGTTGATCGCAAATTTGATGTGTCTGATACGACTGTCTGTGGTGAAGTCCCCTAGCTCTCCTCCGATATTACCTCCACCATCCGCAGACTCAGAATCCTTGAAAACCCTTGTAAACGCCCAAAATGCAGCTAGAAACGATCCTTCAATGGAAAAGTAACCCTGTTGACCTTGCCGATACCGTCCACGGTAGCCTATCCCAGGCCCAAAAAGTGAAATGATGATTGGCGACGATCCTTTAATGGAAACGATTGCCTGATGATCATGCCTGATCATGCCGATAGAATCAATATGGCCCCCTCGGCCTTGGAAAGAATAAGAAAAAGAAAAGAAAACCCGATGCCCATACAGCTTCCTTCCACTTAGAGTAAGGTTCTCTTGACCAGTAGACTTTGTCGTCCAAGGAAAAGATCGGAACCAGGCCTGAAAACCAAAGACCGGAATCTTGAGTCGTAAGACATCTGAAGTAAGTGAGATTGAGGAGTCGGTCGAGTTGTTGAAATTGGAAAAGGAAAAGGAAAAGAGCAGTCCAAATCCATCAGTCATCCACTCGTGGTGAGGTTCTCTTAATCAGTAGATCGTGAGACCCAAGAAAAAGATCGGAACCATGCCTGAGAGCCAAAGAACAGAGTCCTGAGTCCAAAGACATTTGGAGTATAGTGAAGTTGAGGAGTCGGTCGCGTTGTTGAAGTTGAGAAAGAAAAAGAAAAGCCCATGTTCATCAGTCTTCCACTTCGAGTGAGGTTCTCTTAACCAGTAGATCGTAAGACCCAAGGAAAAGATCGGAACCGTGTCTGAAGACCCAAGACTAGAATTCTGTGTCTGACACCCTCGGAAGTATAGTGAAGCTGTGGAATAGGTCGCGTTGTTGAAAGAAAAGAAAGAAGCAAAACCGTATCTGGAACTTTTCCGACCTGACGCCTGGGTGTGACCATCAGAGAGCGAGCATTCTCATGCTATCCATGGACGATGAAGTACCAAAGAAGAAAGGAAGAAGACCGCCATTCGAAAACTTGCTGGTGTTCTGGCTTTCGCATTGAGTATGTGCCGACTGAGGTCGTATGCTGTATGCTGTATAGCCGCTGAAAAGTGAAAAGTAAACCTCCGAATGTGACCGTTCCTCGTGAATCGTATCTCATAACCGTCTCCAGGCCGTTGTCGTTACGCTCGTAGGAATGAAGCAGTGCAGTCGAAAGAGTTGTCGGATTTAATATCCTTCATCAATCTTTGCATAATCTCTCCGCTCCTGTCTGCTAGGTATGTTTCGGAGAGTATCAAGAGAAGGCTGGCCATCTCCGCGTCTCAGGGTGAATTTGTGATAGACGCCGCCTTTGTCGTTTGTGGCCTTGCTGTAACCGACAACAACATAGAGGCCATCGTAGCGCAGTCCGACTTTGGGCGCGTAAGCGGAGCCGTTGTTGCCCTTCTTCGCCTTTCGGAAGACTCGGACAGGAGACTGGCGTTCCTTGGAAACCAAGAGAGCTGCATTGCCCCGAACGGGCGGTCCGCCATCTGCGGGAGTGTTTCTCGATGTATTCTCGAGTGAGTTACTTCCGCAGTAAATGATGTCGTCGCCACGGTCGACGTCAATGTCGCTATATTTATCTGCCATCATGATGGAAAGGGCAGGGCCCGGTTCTCCATTAGGCCCTCTCATGTAGGAGATCCCTGCGTTCGACTCGCCGTGTCCTCCGTGCCACATCGCGGACAATTGGTTGGGGAACCACTGTCCAATTGCCAAGCCATTGTGTCCGAGGACTTTGGCTGAACGCTTGGAGTCATCGTAGGCGGGGTTAAAGGCTTGCGTTTTGGTTCCTGGTCGCAGGCCGAGTCCATGCATGATGCCTAAGACACCCCAGATGGGATGATCGCGGGGAACACGTTTGACAGTATCCGCCGACCTGTTTGTCGAAGAGTTAGGCCTGGTTGATCTGGCGGCGGTCGACGAAGTCCGAGCTGGTGTAGGCGCGAGGGTTGGCATTGGCGGTCGAGGTGGTTCCCAAGGCCGGTTGGAGAGGGCGTTGAGCCAGTCGACGAGGCCACGAGCTCTATTCTTCTCGGGTCCCAAGAAGAAGCGATGACGCTTCTCTTGACCCTCGGGAGGTGTCCTCATGACAATCTCGAGATTTCTCTTGATGGGGTATCTTGCCGTCAAGATCACCCGCGGCACCTGGGAGGGGAAGCGCGACCGGACCTCCCCGAGCCATCGTATAAAAAGGGCCATATCCCTCCGAGCATCAACCACCTCACCAGTAGCAATGGTGCTCACTGACCTCGCGGCCAGTGAGAGAAGTCTAGCGACCTTCCCCTCGAAGGTCCTGATAAAGGCGGCTACGTCTCCGTAGCCGGGAGGTGTAGGAGGCAGACCTGAGCCCACCCCCCCACCTCCACCTCCGAGGCCACCATTGCCACCAGCACCTAAAGAAAGGCTCATGTTTCTATTCCCTGTTTCCCATAGTAAGTATCATAGACGAATACGAGCGAGCGAGAGCGAGCGCATGATGAGTTGCAGTGATGAAGAATGAGGAAAATGATAGAAACAACAAAGGCAAAGATCATAGAAGGGGAGGTGACAAGAGATAACAAGGGAAATTATGACGAGTTGCAGTGATAAAGAAGAACGAGGAAAATAATAAAAATAACAAAGGTAAAGTTTATAGAAGGGGAGGTGACAAGAGATAATAAGGGAAATTATAGCAAGTTGTAGTGATCACGAAGAATAAAACGACAATAGAAAGAACAAAGGCAAATGTTATGAAAGGGGAGGTAACGAGGCATCGTAAAGGAGATTATAACGAGTTGTAATACTAATAAAGAATAAGGAAAATAATAAAAACAATAAAGGTAAAGATAATGAAAGGGGAGGTAACGGAGGATAAGGGAAAAAATAAAAACGACCAAGGTAAAGATCATAAAGGGATAAGTAACGAAGGATAAAGGGCATAATAAAAACGACAAAGGTAAAGATCGTAAAGGGGAGAGGTGACGAAGGGGAACATCATGAAAAAATAGCAAAAAACAAAAAAGAGGAAGACAAACTTACGGAAGGGTGATTGCCTTTAGTATTTGAGGCTGAATGCTTTCTTTGTCGAAAGAAAGCTGTCGTTGGTGAAAAGAGAAAGCTGTCGTAAATAGATGGAGCTTGTGATGGTTGAAAGAAAGAAGAAAAAAAAGAGGTTGAAGAAAGGGAAGAAGAAGAGAAGTTGTTATAGGGTGGAGATTGATCAGAAAGGGCCGACTTTGAGGCCAGGTATCGAGGCATCTATCAAATCATGAGGAGGCGAGAGCTCTCGACCAGTGCACCCGGAGGTGGTGTTTGACACACGCCGGGCCCGGGAGGTGTGAATGTTCGGCCCCGGTGCCGTAAAGTGGGGCCGTTTGCGCCGAGTCCGACCGGAAGTTTCGAAACGAAACCCCGACGATTTAGGCAGAAACGGGGCGGTTGTTTCTGCCGACTAAGGCAGATGGCAGGGCGGTTGAAGTGATAATCCGAGGGAATGGAATCAGACAGATTCCAGTGGAGGGTGTGGCACGTCTGGTCTTCCAGGAGGCGTGAAGAGACCCGAGGGCTGTTATTCACGGACTTGTCTGCTCAAGAGCGTGTGGTGGCTTGTTGGTGACGACCGAGGGCGAGAAGCTTACCAGGGGTATTTGGCGATTGGTTTACACACGTACGAGAGGTCTCGAATTGAGACTCAGATTTACTTCAATGCTCTACCTCAAGATCAGGTACCTTTGTAATCCCGATGAGGCGAGACTTTATTTCAAGCCCTCTGAAGGTGACCTTCAGCTTGGTGTTTGTTATGGAGAACCTCTACGTAGCTTGGATGATCTGTTCTGACAGCAATGTATAGAGGCGCTATGTATATTACGACTTAGTAGATTAATCTGTCGCTCAGATGCTTAGAGGCTGTGTGCGATTCACACTTGGCTTTAATCTGACGCAGCGAAAGTACAATCTAACTGCTTATGTGGTCGGCCTTTGCCTTCCAGGCTTTTGTTTATGACAAATGTTTATGATATGTCTTTATGGCATTTGTTTATGAGAGTATGTCTAGGAGGGCGTAATTGGAAGACGCTTTCCTATTACGTTCCTTTGGTGTTTATATGACCGACAGGCAATTGCCTGGTCAATGATGAAGTACTCTCGTGTTCTGCTGGTAGATGATATTTTGGTGACAGATTAGCGATTATTTCTCAACTTAAGGGAATTAGTCATGCGTATCCTGGGACGCCCAAGTCAATGCTTAGTCAACTCTTTCTTAAGTGATGATCAGTATATGTTGGCTGCTATGTGACTGAGTGTTGCGATAGGATGGAGGGTTGGCTTAAGACGGGTTGTGCGGATGATGGCGCCTTTATACCTCACAGACGGACACACCGGAACTCCGTCGCTATGTGTCCTAACGAAGAGTACATGGTGCATTTTGAAAAGAATAACAGGGATCAGACTTTTCTGCAGTCAAGAATTACATTAAGATTTCTCAACAAGTTACAATTGTAATTCTCAAGTTTACTTTTCAAGTTTTACTTGACTATTTGCGGACTGGCTGCTGAGTCTTAGCAAGGATTCTGCAGATGTTCAGCCAATCGAATCGCAGCGGACTATCGTTCTTGGACAGCGCGATGCGACGTACCCCTCAGCAGAGCTGGCGAGGTGCTTTAACAGTTGTACTTTACTGAGATTGTGCCTTAATTACTTTTCAAAAAGTAATTCTATAATTTTGGTTGGTTGGTTTATGAAGTTGATGGGGCTTTCTCAAGTTTTACTCAATCGTGATAGTCTTGTTCTTCAGTTCCTATGTTGCATATCTCTAAATGTCAGAGAATGGTCTTGGGAAAGCTACATCTCTTCACCGAACGAATGAGGCAGGTGCTCTACAGCCCGAGAAAGTACCTGCCCACTCGACGCAGTGATGTAGTCCTAGGGGTATTGAGAGTCGCAGGAAATGCTTCTAATCCCTGTTCAACTCGATCATGATATCTAAGTGGCATTCATAAGGGCTATCATCACGCGGGATAATCGTATGAGGGTTAATACGGGAACATCACCTGGCTGGCTGGCACCTGACTTACCATCGACTACTGTGCCGCACCAATCCCGCCCAAGCCTGTCTATGAAGACGCCCGACCAGCAAGTAAAACATTGCGGCTTGGCTGCTGGAGCACGAATGAGCAACAAGCTTGGCCAGAATCCTTCGGCATCTGTTACTGCGCAAGAGAGCCGGAGTTTCGTGCCAGTTCCCGGAAGCGAGCGTCAGCAGATTCTGGCGGCAGGATATGCAGATTGCTCTCAAGTGAAGAAGGTAGGCTGACTTGACCAGCCGTAGCCGCGATATCGACATTTGGGTACATAATCAGGCGGGAAATCAGCATACTCAAAATATTCTGCGAGGTTTGCGATAATTCACTACTCTCAATACCAAAGGATTTACCTTAGCTAACAATATCCGCTCATAGCGACTCTTCACAACCATGGCCAGCACCCAAGGACCTCACAGCGAGACCAAGAGCTACAGCTCATCGGTCCTCAGCCAAGACACCCTCGTCGCCTCCGACACAAACTCCCTCCATCCGCTCATCCGCAACGCCCAAGACCCCGTCGACCATCCCCTCCGCGGCACCGAGCCCCAGCCCGCCCGCTCCGATAACTACCACTACGTCTCTACGCGCGTCGTAAAAGAAATACCTAAAGCCAAGGTGCCTACCGATACGACGAGTGCGTTGAGCAAGTTTAAGAGGATGCTGAAGCCGCCTGTCGTGAAGGCGGTCGAGGCTCTGCCGAATCATGAGGGGAAGTCGTATCATGTTGACGAGGAGGGGCGGATCATCGAGACTACGGTGAGGAGAGCAGGTGAGTGGCGTGACATGCTGATCTGCTACTTCCATTGCGTGCTAACGTGGGTGATTCCAGGTACATCGCGGAACGTCTTTGCTAATGGCGATGGTGGCGGCGGCGGCGGATCTTGAAGGAGCATGTGAGAGCGGACGGGACATGATTTCACACATATACTGAGGGATTTGGACAGTGACAAATTTTGTACGATGAATATGTATTCTGCTTGGTATCTGGAACTTTTAAACCACATGGCCAACTAAATGCTTTTCCGTGCCTCTCACAAACCTAAGCAAGCCAGAACCAAATCTTCTGCAACAGGTTCTTGGGGATCGGCTCCTCATCGAGCTCCGCCATGGCTTCCATCTCGGCAACGCCTGTCAAGACATCTACGTCGGCCACGTTGCGCGCCATCGGCGTACGGAACCAGATCTTGTGTCCGATGTACAGCACGAAAAAGATGGGCAGCGTAATGTAGGCGGCCAGGAAGTCCGAGATGCTCCAGTTGCCAGGGAAGAAGACCTGGAAGCCGTTGGTGAGGGTCAAAATGATGAGAAGACCCAGGATGAACCAGGTGAAGTAGGGCTGGAGGGGCGTCTTGAAGGGCAGGCGGTGCATCATGTTGTGGTAAATCATAGCCTTGCGGAAGCGGAGGTAGGTGATCATGACGACAATCCAGGCGATGAAGCCGGAAATGGTGCTAATGTTCATGAACCAGGTGAAGACGGTAGAGGTTCCGCTGCTGACGGTGAGGTAGGAGAGCAGAGCAATCGACCAGGTGCCGAGAACGGCGGTGTAGGGAACACCACGCTTGGTCGTACGGGCGAAAAAGCGAGGGGCCTGCTTGTTGAGGGCCAAACTGTAGAGGATACGGCTGCCAGAGTACAAGAAGGCGTTGCCTGCACTCCACGCACTGGTGAGAATGGCGGCGTTGATGACGTGGTTCAGACCACCGATGCCAGCGCGCTGGATACCGATAACCCAGGGAGAAGCAGCAGCGTTGGAGGAGGGGCTGAGGAGTCTCTCGTCGTTCGAAGGGGTGATGGCGCCAATCATGAGGGAGCCGAGGCCGTAGAAGATAGCCAGACGCCAGACGAAACGGCGAGCGGCCTTGGGGATGTTGCGACGGGGGGCAACGGTCTCGCCGGCCGCGAGGGCGATCAGCTCAGGGGAGGTGATGAAGGCGAAACCGGCGCGGACGAAACCAGTCCAGTAGGCCAAGAACTTGCCAGTGTTTCCGCTGACGAGGTATGGTGTAATTGCGCCAGGGTCGTACCAGTAAAGGAAGCCGATGCGACCTTCATCGGGGGCACCGCCGAGAATGATGACGAAGCTCACCATGATGAGACCCAAGATGGTGATGAGCTTGATACTCGCGAACCAGAACTCGGCCTCACCAAAGACTTCGACGGCGAAAATGTTGAGAGCGAGGGTGACGAGGAGAATGATTGTGATCCAAACGGCCGAGGGAACGGGTGTTTTCCAGTAGTCGAGGAGGATCGCGCCGGCCGAGGCCTCGGCGCCAACGAGCATGGCGTATGCGTACCAGTAGTTCCAACCGGCGGCGAAAGCCAAACTGGGCTCGACAAAGCGTTCGACAAAGTAGGGGATCGAGATACCCTTGAGCGGGAGGTAGGTGGCCATCTCTCCGAGATTGTTCATGATATTCCACACAACAATCATCATGGAGAGGTATCCCATGAACAGCGGCGCGGGGCCAACTGCTGAGAGGATACTGCCTGAGCCGACGAAGAGACCGGTTCCGATGCTGTAAGTAACTGTCAGTCGACGCTTACTTGAACCCAATTGAGGGCGTGCAGAAAAGGCGGAAAACATACGCGCCACCCAGTGCCAGGAACTGAATGTGTCTGCTCTTCAAGCCACGCGACAGCTGGTCGTGCGAGTTGACCAGGTCATTGGGGTCGTTGAGTGCGGCGAAGTTGACATCGCGGGGGTAGGACTCCCCATTATGCTTGGACTCGACGTCGGTCAAGGGACCGCCGCCTCTGTAATCTTTGTCCGCAGACTCCATTGTCGAATCGTAGTTGTAAGCAACTGAACTCGACTCTGGTTTGGGCGAGGAAAAGAAAAAGCAGAAGAGCAGTCGGACGGGAGAGAGTTTGCGATGTGGGCGGGCGGGTAGCAATGGTATATTAGTACGGCAACTTTTTTTTTTTTCTCTGGTCGCAGGCAAGGCTTGTCGGTGGGCGTCCCCGGCGCAACCACGGATTGATTCTAGAACGCGAAGAGGAGAACGACGCGAACAAAGGGCCAAGCTTCTGGCTGAAGGGGGAATGGCTGCAGTATTATGGAGTCTGGGCAATGGGCAGCATGGCGAAAGATTCCCGTCTGTCGTGAGACGGGCAGCTTACACTACACTTGTACGTGGACCCCATGCTTGCTTGACCAAGCAACGGAAGCTGCCTCCGTTGGTTTCGCTGATGAATCAACCCTTGTGGAATGCCGACGTGACGTATTGATGGTACGCTGTGCTCCTTTGCGGCGTGGGTACGGTACTAGGCATTCGACAAACTGACTGACTCTGCGGTATCTGCGTGTATGCCCAGGCGCGCGAGCTGCAACTGAACCCTTGTTGGATGTTGTTTGGAGGCGAAAGGCGCAAAAGGGCATCTCGGCACTGACTGGTGCAGAAGGCGGGCAGATCCAGTCATGGGGAAGAACTAAACCGAAAGCAGAAACCTGGCAGTCCATCAGCTGTTTCTGTGTGGTAACGTTTTCATGGCGAACCCATGGGGTAAACTCGGACGGAAGGCTTATCTACTTGGCAATCCACACGACATCCACACTCGGCCACACATTCGGGCACACCGTATTGATAAGAGGCTAACGTCCGAGGATGGCACATGTTGTTACTGGAAATGAATTGCTGACAGACTGAGGCCGTGAGGAAAACGGGGTGGTTAAAGTGGTTGCAGTTGTCACCGAGAAAATCTGCGGTCCAAATTGGAGGCTCAGGCAGAGACGGGAATTGGAGGCAGCAGTACGTACCTCCCGGAACAACTGCAAACATCCAAGCCGCAGCTTACCTAAGACAACCTCACCGGTACTGGAGTACTTGGGCAAGAGACCCCATATCACGTGGCTGCCTGTGCGCGGCTGCATCTCAGATTCCTTCACTCCCAGTGACTCCACGACGGGGTAAACACCGATGGTACCCGCCCTCGTACCAAACTATCACGTAAATTTTTCATCTTTTTCTCCAGAGTCCCTTGGATTTGGGCGGCACGAGCACTCGTCAATTCCCATCAAATCGCGCAAATTCCTAGTTGCAGTGTGTCACCATCCTCGACCTGGCCTCTCGGCCCTGGGGAAGCCTGTCAGATGTCTGATTGGATGTTGGGAAACTTGCTCCGAACGACGTTTCTAAACACCGATGTTAACGTTCACCAAATACCTGAATCGCGAAGTAATGACACGGAGACATCGCGTCTAAGTCTGTCGCGTTCCTGGAGGCTAGAGCTGCCTTGTGCCGAGCCGCACTGTCGATAAGGATCGCCTGACCAGCACGCAACAATTGAGACGCCCACTTTTCATAAGCCCGAGTTTGAAAACAATGTCTCCGGAAGGCTGACTTTCTTGTGCCGCCGCGGTTGATACGAGACGAATCTTAGTGCAAGAAACATGCTGTCGGCGTTCGCGAACATGATTCAACTTTGTCATTTCTTCAGAACAAGGGACCTACAAAAGCTTATCAGCCTTGAACAGGGAGCTGGAAAGGGTAATTGATACCGTCCATCCCCAATTCTACCAGTCCCCGTTGTCTGGTACCCTTGATGCGGACCGGTGGATGTTCAAAGTTGCCGTTTCCCCCGCATCCAGCAAGCCGGCCAAGAGAAACGGAAAACTGATCCGACGCCAGCTCCTTTGACTAGTGCCTTGTCGGCGACCCATCCCGATCCCGATCCCGACTTATAAGTTTTGCTAGCTACGAGGTGGCTCAACATCGTTGTTCTTGGCCGCTCAGAGATACGAAATATCTCCATGCGCATGTTTGACTCAAACGCTTTAGTCTCGATGTCAAACCTGCGTCACATACACGATAACGACGGGGCAAACCCCGTCTAGGCTTCCACATGTCCGTTACGCCTTGTACGCGCCCTTTAATCACACGTTCCCCACGAGAAAGCACGCCACTTTGCAAGTCTGGGTCCGGAGCCCCGGATTCTGAAGGTAAGCACGAGACTCATCTCGGCCAAACCATAATGGTGGCGGATCCCTTGGTGGTATGGAAAGTTGGGGAGACGAGGTCCAACCTGACAATTTTCATTTCCATTACGTTTTGGTTGTAAAAGCTATTATCGATCCTCTCTCTCTTCCTTTACCCACATTCGCCCGCCCATCCCTTCCGACAACTATTACACCTCGACAACACCATTTCCATTGATCTGAACATCGAACACATTTCCATCTCGGTATACACAGGTTTCAAAGAGCAAGCAAGGCTACGGCACCAGCGGCCACCGCCTGAAGGATCGAGCCACCGTGGGTGTTCGCTGCGTTCACCGTAACCGGAGGCGGGCGGGCTGTGGTACTGTTCGCGGTGATCGTCGGCAGCGCAGCAGTCGTCGTCGGCGTATTGGAAACAATCGGAGGTGCCGGAAGAGAAGTGGTCGGTTTAGGCACAGGAGAAGTCTCTGCTGAGGTGCTCCCGATTTCGGAAGTGAGGGTGAAGGTCGCGGTAGAGGTCGACGCGAAGAAGGACGTGGAAGTCTCCTCGTCCGGAACCGACTCCGTGAAGAAGAGGGTGGACGTCACCGTCGAGCCGGGTTCCGTATTGACACCACCCGGACCGACGCATTGCTTACCGATCGGGCAGCAAGCATACTGGCCGTTATTACCGAGCCAGCACGTGGACGTCAAGGGACAACCGCCCTGCTGGTCTGGGCAGCAAGTGTAGGTCAAGGGAATGCAGCCGTCGCCGCAGTCTTTCCGGCCAGACTCGCTGCACGGGATCTCTACAATCTGGCGCTTGAGAGGAGAGAAGGCCTCTTCGGCGAAAGCCAAGGCTGGGAGAGCTAGAACAAGAAGTTTCTTGAGCTGGAACATGATGGCTATGAAAGCGAGTGTGTTGAAACGAGAGTGAAGGGTTGCTGGTGAAGGTTGAGCTGCTTGATGTCCAAGATGGCCTAGGATTCCCTTCTACTTTCTCTTGGAACTCTCCTGCTTAAGTACGCGGCGCACAACGTAAGGCTGTGATATTGGGCTCTGTGCTACTCCTCCTCGGAGATGCAACATCTCAGCTGCCACACTACACGGAAATGAGCAGCCAGCAATTACGTCGTGGCGTCCAATTGAAGGCATCACTGCAGTGTCATACAGGAAACTGCATCTCTCTGTTCCTGCAGCTAAACTAGCCCGCGATGTCAGAGTCCTTGCCTAAGTGGCCGTTGAGAAAAGTTACAGGAGGTTATGGTGGCGTCGGAAACTGGGGTCTGGGGTTAAGCAATTGCTTATTTTGAGGGCTCAGCTTTCTTGTGGCTGCAGGTAAGCTCGGGGAGGAGTTACCCCGCGCACGTCGATAAACTCGATCTCTTGAAGTTGTCAGGCTGAGCGGCTGGGCTGATTCGAGGAACACGATCAGGCAGATCATCAGAACCCCAGACACTGGGCTTGACTATGGGAGTCTGTCTGCCTGTCAAACCGCTGCTAGCACTGCAGCACAGGACTTAGCTCCAGTTGATTATGCATTCTTGCGGCAGGCTGTGGGCATGGTAATGTGCTGCCGAATCAGATTTAAGCTTGTTTTTCAGCTGCCGGCAGCTAACGTTGTTTTAATTTGACTACGGCGAGTGGCTTGCAACGTCGTTGTCGTGGGAGCCTTTATTTCCCTCCAATTGGCAGGTCCAAGTGATGCTTCCTGAATCCCTCTCCCCGCCCTGTAGAACTTACTACACACATGACGGATGATTAGACAAAGAAAACCATATTGTACTTGGCCGCTACAATAGGGATCAGATGGCATCTCGATATCTATCGATCTTGCGATCACTGACCTAGCATCGTGCGTTGAGATTCCACCTTGTACTATGCGTCCATAGAAACATTCCGATCGTTGTTGGGCTTCGAAATAAGTCATTTGCTGCCTCTGCAATCACGATGAATGCTAATCATAACACTGTCTCTTGTCCACAACGCCCTACCCGTTAGCCCACGCATGCGGGCGTCATGGCACAAATCTCGGACCATGTACACCCACTCCGCCTCAGCCACCTGCACAAGCAGACTCAAAACAGCCAATGAGATATCGAGGACGATCAGACAACGAGATGAAGCCGTTGTCAGAGATGTATACTTCATATGACTGTCTTAAAGTCCAGGGGTCTTTCATTTGTGGGTGGCCCCTGACGCTGATGTGCCTTAGCCTCGAGATGACGGGCGCTCGTGTTCGACTAGCTCTGCATTTTACTTTGCCTCACGCTCATTTCAAAGTTTCTGGATGGGCAATTCTATTGTGAGATTGCGAGTAGTGAATCCTTCTCTGGCTTCGTCTTCGTGTTGCGTACCACAGATATCGATCGCCGGAGGATGATGACCGTCAACAAACCTCCCACTCGTATCATCCACTAGCGGAGGCTTCAATCAAATAGCTCCAGGACCAGATAAAGCCTGAGAGTGCTATTACTTGGAGAGTAACCGTGGAAGATGTGAGATTGAAGTTGTAATGGCTTTCCAATGCAAAATTGCACCGGGGTGAAGGTAATCTTGCGCACTACCTCAATACCCAGCCAGGCATATTATTGGCAAATTTGTGATAACTGTAGTTTTCTTACATGACATCCTGGGCAACTGTTGTATCTTCAGGGCTCTGCCGGTCTATTGTATTTCCAGAGTGGCCGGTTACAGCCAGCCAGTCTTCACCTGGCCTATTGATGTAGGCTCAAGATCTTTCTCATTGTGTAGAGTTTAACAGTAGCAAGAAAGGCAGTCACACGCTGTCGAAGGGAAGTTCCCATTAATCTCCAATCTTGACGTCTAAGCAGCTTAGGTAGAATATCTATATCGCATTCCGAACTAGGAACGGCGGGCCTCGGATGTGGGGTCCCGGCGAATTTAAAGTCGGCGCCGGATCCGCAAGCCGAACGCTTCGGAAACTCGGCACGGTCCGCCCTAGCAATGCACTAATGACGTCCTTGCCGCTCTCCAAACCCCCATTCCTTTTCTTCTTCATTTTCAACCTCACGCGAAATGTTTGCAGAGACCCCAAGCCAGGCCACAACCTCCACCATTGCCAAGACTCGACCTGTCAAGCCAACCAAATTTGCAATCCGCAAAGCTTCTAGACGTCCATATCTTGGTACCCCGCGCCATCGCCATGTCAGGAGCTAGAGCGGTCGTCAAGACACTAGATCACCTCGTGCTCACTTGCGCGAGCGTCCCAAAGACGGTCCAGTGGTACACCAAGTACCTCGGGATGAAGGCGGAAACATTCACGTCGCCGTTAGATCCATCCGTACAGAGGCACGCACTGAAGTTCGGCACGCACAAGATCAATTTGCATCAGCAGGGCAAGGAGTTTGAGCCAAAAGCTAAGACTGCACTGCCAGGCACTGCCGACCTCTGTTTTTTGGTGGAGGATGGCACCAATCTCGAAGAGCTGATTAAGGGGTTCCAAGGGGATGGGGTCCAGGTTCTCGAGGGCGAGAAAGTGGTCGCGCGGACGGGTGCACAGGGTCCCATCCAGAGCGTTTACGTGAGAGATCCCGACGGAAACTTGATTGAGTAAGTGCTTCCCAGTGTTGGATATTGATGGTACCTCACGGACAAGGACTAACACCCACATCCACAGGCTTTCTCACTACAAGTCATAGGTGGCCGTCTACATTACGTGCATGAGCATTTGCATACTTAGACCATGAGATTTCCAATTGAATACCAACACCGGAAATGTTGAAGTCTGAAGTACGAGCGATGATCATTAGTCACTAAGGATGGACTGTTCGTTCCTCGCCTTTTCTCGCTTCTCAAAGTACATGATGATGAAGATACTCGAAAGCTCCAAAACGCTCACTCCACACATGACGGAGAACCCCATGTGGAAAGATGGTGCATATTTACCCACGTCGAGGATCACAACTGCAACAATTAGCGTCTTTTCAAAATATTGAGGGCAAGATAATTGCAAACCTGGAACCCATGCAATGAAAGCTTGGCCTAGAGTCTGTGCAACCCCAATAACGATTGCACGCTCCTCCATGTTCTTGTGCATGATCTCAATTGCCCAGGCCTAAGGTAGAAGACATCAGTATTAAGGAGGCAAGAAAGCTGCAGAGAGAGTGGCTCACGTAAAGGACCGGCCAAAAGCCCCACGAAGCGGCGTTGATAATATATCCGATAAAGGTCAACGCGTAGCTTGATTCAACTGCAACCATGATCATGCCGATGAGGTTGATGGTCTGCGTCTTGTCAGCTAGATCTGGATGCTGATGTTTCATGTACTGACAGCTGGAATCAGTAAAACCTGCCACCTCTTCCCCAACCCATCAGAGAGCCAAGCATATAGCAGAGTGGTCACGAGACCGACGGCTTGCGCTGCGGTAGGAAAGAGGTTGATCTGATAGACCGTGAAGCGGTTCAAGGACTTGAGCCAGACAGAGAAGTAGTTGAGGGGTTGTGTGACAACGCAATGGCAACTGCGAGGTATATCAGACTATTCCATCCTGGATATCACGAGGGGTAGGAAGAACTCACATCAATGCGAAGCTGAAGACGTAAATGGGCCAGTTCGTGAAAATATCCAAGACTCTGGCTTTTGTCAAAGGCTCGGGTTTGCGCCGTTCGATGGCTTCCATCCTCGCGATATGCTTTGCCTGCTCACCCGGGCGCATCCAGCGGGCCCTTGTGATATGAGGGTTATCAGGGACGGCGAAGAATCCCCAGATGGGAGCCCAGATCGAGATGATGCCACAGAAAATGAAGAGCCATCGCCAACCTGGGAGACCGCCGGCTCCATTTAGACCCCGATAGATTGCGGCCTGGAGGTATCCGCTGAACATGCTAGCAGCATAGCTGGCTGAATAGAAGATTGAAATTCGCTTGGAGAGTTCTACGGGACGAGGTAAGAACAAAGAAGTGAGATTTCGCAAAATGGATGCTCTTACCTCGAGGGGTGTACCAGCTTCCCATGATGGTCAGAACGCCAACGGCAAAGGGACTTTCAAGGAATCCTAGCAGGAATCTCATCGCTAAAACATGACGAACGTCTTTGACAGCAGCGAAACAAAACGTGACAATGGTCCAGAGAAGCTCGGCCACGGGGAGGTAAATTGAGGGCCGAACTGGCAGATGTTAGGCTTTTGGGCCGTACCTTAAGTAAGGACTGATCGCATTCCAAGAACCTACAGCGAGTAAGCAAGAACTGCGAAGGAATTTGACCGACCAGATACCCGCACGTAAAGAAAGTTTGCAACAAGTTGTACTCGTTGCCTTGAAAGTCGAGGTCTTCTTTCATGCCGCTGACATACGCATTCGCTATTTTTGGTAAGAACTTCAGATTATTCATCATCCTAGTACCAAGAGCTGCTCTTACTGATGTTGCTTGAGTCGAGTAGCCTGACGAAATATCCAAAAGTAGCCCAGCTTCTGTCATGAGCGTGGTCAGCGCAGCTTTGAGATCATATTCGGAATGCGGGATGCTTTACAACACGAAGAAGTCGAGGCGCCGCACAAGGCGGTGTTCTTCTTTTGTTCGAGGACCATCCCATATGACACCCCTTAGGAGGTCCCATCTTGATGACGAGGGCTCTTGAGGCCCAAGATCCTTACCGACATCTCTTTCTGATGCATTTTTGGAGTCCATGGCAGTCGCAGGTCGCTAGGTTAATAGTCGTGGATGTAAACAGAAGGAGTTCGCAAGACAGAGACAGAGGTATCGACATGGAGAGAACATTAAAATCCCATTGTCTCCCTGTTTGTCGGAGCGAGGCCGACATAGCTCATTCTCGGCCTGTTACCGAGTCCTCGTAACTGATGCAACTTTAGAACGAATGACAACATAACATGGCAAGTGGGGGTTGATCGAATGGAGCCAGATCCTGGTTCTTTTGCACTCTTCGGGAATGACGTCTAGCAAGTCTCAGAGGCCACCTCGTTCCCCTCTTTCGTACGAACTATGGCCCTACTTGTATTTGTATTGACCTCCAATGTGGTCGTTGCGGAGATGTTTCTGGCCAGCACCATACATCCTCTCACGCAAAGTGATTTCATCTCCCGATAGTCCGTCGTACCCGTATAGCCCTCTTCGGCGAAGCTCAGGCACTAGCAAGTCTACCACATCTTCGAAACTCCCAGGGCTTGTGACATATCCAACGTTGAACCCATCTAAATCTGCAATCTTCACCCAGTCCTCGAGGAAATCTGCAACACGAGCTGCCGATCCTACTGGCACAGGCCCGTTCCCGCCGATGGCCATGGCTTTTCCGATATTACGAGGCGTCCAAGCTGGAATGTCATCGCCACGGTATTTCAGACTGCTGACCAAAGAGTGTACTCGTCCATCAATGGTAGCATCATCTGGTCTTATTTCTGCGTCTAGATCGTATTTGGCGAGGTCTATCCCAGCATTACCTGAGAAGAATGCAAGCCCAGCTTCGAAGCTCGCAAATTCCAAGGCTTTACGGTATTTTGCAGTGGCCTCTTCGTCTGTTCTCGCAATGACTGGTGTAATGACGGCGAAAATCTTGACACTACCAGGGTCACGGCCAGCTTCCGCTGCTTGTTGACGAATGGCTGATACGCGAGGCGCCAAGATGTGAGGTGAAAGCCCCGATATCATGATCCCCTCTGCGTGTTTGGCAGCGAAAGCTATACCAGCGCTGTAAAGGTTCAGCCAAAGTCAGCGTGTGGATTGTAGGGCTCGTACTTACGATGATGTCCCTGCTTGAAGCAGAAATGGAGTCCTTTGAGGTGAAGGATGCAGGATGTGAGGAGCATCTACATTGAACCTCGCCGTATGATGCTTTATCCAACGGATCCGACTGGGATTGGCGTAGATGTTGTTCGTTGCATCTTTCTTGAGAGCATCGTCTGCCCACGAGCCTTCCCATATTCTGATTTCTTAGTCTAAGACCTTCGTGTACATTCATATAACCTTACTTGTAGAGCAACTCCAAGTATTCATCAGCAGCGGCATATCTCTCATCATGTTCGACATATGAGACCCCCACCTGAGGAAAATTAGACATAGTCTCTAACAGGGTCTCATTGCGGAGTCTAACTTACGGCCTTAGCAGCAGATTCCTTGAAAGAAGTGACGATGTTCCAGCCAAAACGCCCTTTGGTAAGATGGTCGAGTGTCGAGAACCTCTTTGCAACGACGAATGGTGCCTCGTAACTTGTACTGGTTGTTACAATGAACCCAAGTTTCTGCGTTACAGCTGCCATCGCCGTCACTGGCTACATCTGAGGTCAATGTATGGTCATGGGCACAAATGTTGCATTTCTTACTTACGATAATGGGGTCGCCCATTGGGAACTGACAACTCGTCCGTATCGTTGGTTCAGCGCTTCCATTGTAAACATCGTGTTGACCATAAGTATCAGCCAGAATCAATGCGTGTATGTCTCCCCGCTCAAGTGTCTGCGCGAGATTGGTCCAGTAACTAAGACTTCCAAACTTGTCGGCAACTTCATCTTCGCCCCTGCGCCACTGGCCGAAGCAGAGGTGGCTCGGAGTGAACATGTCAAATGCATTGAGTATGATTTGCCGCCCAGCAGGAGGTTCCATCTTGGCGGGGTAAGCTCGTGCTGCGCTGAGTCCAACTCGTTGGAGGAAATGAGCTGGTACTGCGTCTGTTGCCAACTTGCCATCGGCGAAAGAGAGCATATTCCCGTTGATAACTCATTGCGTAGTTGGTGTTGAAGGATCACGCAATCAGTCCGAGCCGATTTCGGCAGCGAGTATGGATGTTCGAGTTTCGCAATATCTGACCAGAATTAAAACCCGGACAAGCCCGAGATTTAGTAAATTCGCAAGCTAGACAGCGTATGGCGTATCATGGAGAATTGATGCATCCTTGATTGCATGCTTATCTGGAACCAATCGAGTCTTCCTTCCCCTCAAAACATATGCGAAGGAAATTTGTTCCCAAGTGTCTGCAGCACGCTGTATTCACAATCCAATTGTATCGGGAGCAGGGGGTATTTGCAAGCAACCGTGATAGTTGCGTCATCCATGCGATACGCCGGTAATCGACGACATTGAAGATAGAAACTAAATCGCAATCCATAGTTACGGAAGCGTTAAGCATTGTCGTCTCGTTTTTGTCAGAGTGATCAATCATGGCGCCAGGCGCGATACTAGACCCGTCTATCGATGGTGCAAGTTCCCTTCCAGCGACTGAGAACAATATTCTTCGAACCATCAACCCTCATTTCTTGATAGAAGAGCATCCCATTGATGAACATCAAAGTGTCCGAGCTATTGTTGTGGGTGCCGGCATTTCTGGCATCACCGCTGCCATTCTACTTCCCGCGAAGGTTCCCAACCTAGATCTCGTAATCTACGAGAGAAACAACGATCTTGTAAGTTGAAAGAGAACGGTATCGCGAAGCACTAGTCACTAATACGCGAGACAACGAAGGGAGGCGTCTGGCATACCAACATCTACCCAGGTGTTCGGTGCGATGTACCCGCTCACGCCTACCAGGCTACATTTGCTCCATCGACGGATTGGACCGAGGCGTATGCCACCGGCTCTGAGATCCAATCTTACTGGCAGGATGTAGCGGACAAGTACAACGTGCGCAAGTATATTCGCTTCAGGCATAGTGTCACGTCTGCAGAATGGTCTGAGGAAAAGGCCAGATGGATCGTCAAGATTCAAACAGACGACGGTGTAGTCACTGACGAAGCCAACTTCTTGATTACTGCCACGGGCCACTTCAGCGACCCAAAGCTTCCTCAGTATCCCGGAATCGACAAGTTTGAGGGCCACCTACGACATACCTCGAATTGGGACCCTGGGTTTGACCCGAGAGGGAAGCGGATCGCAGTCATTGGGAACGGCGCTTCTGGACTACAAGTGCTCCCGCAACTACAAAAGGTCGCTGCAAGAGTTGATCATTATGCTCGCAACAAAACATGGGTTGCAGCACCAATCGGAGGAGAAGACTTGGCAGACTATGTTGCAGGAAATATCGAAGACGCGCGGACAGACCCCGAGAGGTATTTGAAATTCCGTAAAGCTCTGGAGGCAAAGCTTTTCAGCCGCTTCGGCGGAATCTTCAAAGACGGAGCTCAGAATGCAGCGGCCGAAGATTACATCAAAGAACTTATGAGAGTACGATTGGGGGCTAATTCCAAGCTTGCTGATGAGATTGTACCTGAGTTTCCAGTAGGCTGTCGTCGTCTGACACCTGGACCGGGCTATCTCGAGGCGCTGACTGCGGAAAATGTCAACTACATCACCGATCGAATCTCGGAGTTCACTGAAACCGGCATTCGGACTGTGGATGGTGGGTTCCAATTTCTGCTGATCTTGGGAGCATCTTTGACTGACTCGGTTATTAGACACTCTTCGCGAAGTTGACGCAGTTATTTGCAGTACAGGTCACGACATTACATTCAGTACGCAGTTCCCTGTCGTTTACAAGGGACTTGACCTCCAGAAGGCTTGGAGGCCTGGCGGCAAACCAGGATTCCCAGACACTTACTTGGGAATGCTTGCTCCCGAGGTTCCGAACTTCATCACCGTACTTGGACCAAACGCCACGGGACCAGCAGGAACGCTGTGTCATGCGGTAGAGAACCAGCTCACATACGTTGCCAAGATACTTCGCAAATTTGCGACCCAAGGCCTGCGGACTATAGCTCCGACGATAGCTGCAACCCGTGATTTCCGAGCCTACACTGAAGCCTTCTTCCCGCGTACTGTCATGAGCGAGTACTGCAGCTCTTGGTACAATGGTGGTATCAAGGGAGGGAGAATCCACGGCCTCTGGCCCGGCAGTGCTGCTCATGTTGACCTGGTTAGAAAGGATCCGAGGTGGGAGGACTTCGAGTACACCTATCAGAACGCCCAGGGGAACAGGTTTGGGTGGCTGGGGAATGGCTGGACCAAGAAGGATGTTGCGGCTGCTCACGGCGACGCTGGGGTGGAACTAGATCTTACTCCTTGGTTGGAGAAAGGCGCCTTAAGTGGTGATCTTGACCTTAAAAGCTACCATGAGAAATGGTGGGTGAGCTAGGAGATGTTTCATAGTTGCATTGCACCTAAAACTGGGCATCTAGATTTCATTACCTTTATGGATACTATTTATGTCTAGCTGCAAGAGCTCAAAGCTCCTGTCTTCTGGAACGCAACTTCGACGGACTGCTCGCCACCCAACTTGATATCGAAACTGGTGTTCCACCCATCAGCATCGACACTTCCACTGGCTGTATAGACGGACCACTGGCCTTGGTCCTCTCCAGTAGCTTGGAAGTTGATCTTTTCAACGTCCAGCCTGGGAACAATCACTCCCTGCCTACGGACCTCGTGAACCAAATCCATTGTCAGGCCATCAGCAGTGGCGGGTACACGGTCCTTGCGAACAAGAGCCTTGACTGTGACCGGCAGCTTGCCATCCGCCACATTTCCGATGCAAGATTTGGACTGCTGATACAGGAGGATATCACTCATGGGGTATCCGTTGCCAGCATTATCGTATGTGATAGTCTCGTTGGTTGACGGCTTCGTAACATGGATGTAGAACTTGCTGATGCCCGTGTCAGGGCTGATGGTGGTGTCAAACTCCCACCAGTAGAAGCTCTCTCTCCATAAGCCAGAGGCACTACCGCCCTGGAAGGTTGCCTTGCGGGTAGTGATGACAGTCGATCCGTTGCCGTTGCGGTCAGCGTACGTCAGCTGGACCGAGAGATCATTGGGGTCTCGGCCAGTGACCGCGGTAGTGCGGATGCGAATGCGGCCGCCGAAGGACAGGTTGCCGTCATCCTTGAGGAAGAGCCCGCTGATGTAGGGCTTGATGTCCGTGGCTACGATGGGCTCGCTGAGCTTAACGTTGGCAGGGACGGTGTCAATCATGCGAGTGAAGATGTCGGCGCAGGTAGCCTGGAATGCATCGGGGTCGGCCATGGCTTGCATCGTCTTGTTTCCATCTGCGGCAAAGATACGCTTGTCTGAGTTGAGGGTGTCGTTTGTGCCAACAACCAGAGGGTTCTTGGTTGTGCCATCCAAATATTCGGTCACGACGACGTTGTCGAACTTGGCAAATTCGGTGTCGAAGTGGGCTACGGTATCGTTTTTGGGGTCCGCCTCGACACCGACGATCTCAGGGAAGTCCATGCTGTGCACACCTCCCAGAGTATGACCGCACGCCACCATGGCAATCATGTCGCTCTGAGAGAAGCCTGCCTTGGTGAAAGCCTGCTGGGTGGTGTTGAGATCGGTTTGAGGCTCAGGGACACCGGCAGGGCCGGCCTCTTGGGCGTCAATACGGCCGGCACGGAACGGGATTTGAATACCGCCGCACGCAAAGCTGGCGACGAGAACACTCATGGCCAACAGATCAGAAGCAGAGGCACGAATGGAGTGGAAGCTGCTGAAGAATCCAAACGTGTTGTTGAAGGCGCCTCCGATGTTCTCTGGGCGATCCAACTCGAAGAAGATGGACGCGTCTAAACCACCAGTACCGGCGGCAACATCGTGCGTGGCCATGTCGTGGAAAGCGGCGCGGATCCATTCAGCAGAGTTCTGACGGCCGGGGATGCTTGTGCCGAAGCCACACGTAATGACACCTAATTACTTGTCAGTAGTTGGTTGAGGGTTCGTTGTAGAGAGACAACTGACCATCAATGAAGCCTCTGCGAAGGTATCCGGACTGGAGAGAGAGGTGATCCTCGATCTCATCGTACTGAGAAGGCCAAACATACTCCGTCGCGGCGATGGACGCCAGAGCGAGCGTGGAAAGAACACTCTGCTTCATGATGAGTGCAGGCCGATAGCGAACGACTGGGACGAAAGGCAGTTGCGCGACCAAACATTCAGTTCATCTGACATCGTGCCAGCCCTCATTCGCTTTATGGGTTTCCAGAAAGGCTCTTCCATTTCGGCAATGCAACGTTGGACGGGGCGACCCTTGGACCCTGCAGCGATGGGACGGAGACATTTGGGCGCTTGGGGGGACAAGATCTCGTATTCCTCTCTCCGACCAAGTTATTCTGGTTCTTTTCAATGCCGATAGCGAGGTCCCATCATCCCATCGGTTCCTACCGTTGTGGACCATGCCCAGATATGCTTGAAGTTAAGTGCTGGACTAGTTCATTTCCCGAGACTAGGCCTCCCTAGCTTATCCCCAATGCATCGTGGGGAATAGTCTCCTGCCCAATAAGGCAGCTGTAATTACCTAGCACACAGCCTGAAATACGAGCGACGTGGGCGACGATCAGCGCACCGTCGCAGCGTGCTGTAGCTTGTTCGTGTAAAGACGCTGCAGGGGCGGATGCCCTACTAGATCCGGATCACCCGACATAGAACTCGGCCGGGGTCATGGCAAGAGGAATCCGAGGTATCATCCGACAAGGCGATCTGAGGAAGCAGGTCTTTCTAGACATGTAGCCGTGCAAAAGCCGCAGACTGGCAGAATAAGGTAGACAAAGCTGTTGTGGCTGAACGCCTGAATAGTTAGGGGCTGTCTTCTGCGGAAGTTACCCACTTTGCCCACACAAGTCCGGGGCTCTTCATAAGGTTGACAGAGAACCTAATTTAATTGCTGCGCTTCTCCTTGGTGAACAAAGTCATATTCGCCCAAGGGTAAAATATGCTGTAAGAATGTGCGACTTGGCGCTCACCAAGTCGCGTCTAATCCCGTCCAGTGTGAGGGTAGCGGAAAAACGGCTGCCCGAAACCTTTCCCCGGCTTTGGACTTCTTCCGTTCCAGTGCGTGTCGGGATTATGCCGTCATCGAAGTCAATTAAGGAGCTAACGCTTCGGCGCTCTCGGAGCTTTCCTTGAGAGTCCGACATATCTCCCGGTACCTTTATGACCTCTCATTATACCTATCTCAGCTCAGATACTACGTGTTTAAACATAATAAGTCAACATGGGCGACGCTTCAATTCTTCACATGCCGACAACCCTCATTTTTGGGGGCAATGGCAAAACCGCCCGTCAACTGACAGCAATCCTTCGGGACGCCGATACCCCTCACACCATCTTCAGCGTTATCCGCAATCCGGAACAGGTTCCGGACTTGGAAGCCATCGGCGCAAAGCCAATTGTCCAAGACATCTCTACCGCTTCCGAGGTCGACTTTATCAAAATCATTGAGGGCACCCGGCCCGACGTTGTGGTGTGGGCAGCTGGCGGCAAGGACCCCAAGTCCGCTGAGGCCGTTGACCGGGATGGAGCCATTCGCGCCATGGATGCCCTGGCCAAGGCCAACGTGGTCGCCAAACGCTACATCGTCGTCAGCGCCCTCGACGTCCGCGACAGAGACAGCAAACCCGTCCCGGACTGGTACACCGAGGCCGACGAGAAGCTCAGCGACCGTATGTGGGGTATCATCGGTCCCATTCTCCGGGCTAAGCTAGCGGCCGACACGGAGTTGAGGGTGGGGAATGCGGCTCGCAAGCTTAACTACACAATTGTGAGACCCGGGGGCTTGACTGAGGGACCTAGCACCGGAAAGGCACGGGCAGGAAAGGTTGGCACCGTCGGCATGATTCCCAGAGAAGATGTCGCCAAGGTCGTCTACGCCGCGATTCAGAATGAGAAGACCTACGGGCTGGCCTTCGATGTGCTAGGGCCCAAAGAGGACAGCCCAACGATCAAAGAAGCGGTCTCACAGGTGGCAAAACATCACGAAGATACCTTTGAGGGCTACTATTAGGCAAACAAAATCAACAGTTACGATTCGTCAATTTCTTGTAAAGATCAGATCTAGCCCCATCCCAAGTTCGTAAACTTGAAGCCAGGGCTCAACTAGCAGTTGCTTCTTCGGTCGACTTGGCCTTCAATGGCTTTCGACCGTGGATTGCCCAACTGTAGAATGTCAGTATCGAGACAGAGCTCGCCAATAGGCGCCGACAATGGGGCATTCTTCTTACACCGTAAAGTAGGCGTGGATACTTTTGTCCCCAAGATCTCTCCGTGCTTCCATAGCAAGTACCATCACCTCTTCTTTTGTCCAACTCAGAGCCCGAGTCAAAGGTGCCATGAGAAACGCCTCCCAATTCATGGCCAGATTCTCATAGGTCCACACGCCGAGCTCCTTGTAGTTCCTGTCCTTTGGCCATGAATTCGATGGCCACTTGTATCGTTCTAAGTGGATATCCTCAAAGCCGACCTCGGCCATGATATCAGCCAGTGACTTAATGTCTTGGAAGGGGCGCTGAAAAAATTCTGCTGCCTCCTTCAGAAGCCGCAGACTCTTCATCAGGGATGAATCGTCTTTTAAGGTACCGTCGTCAGATCGCGGCTCGGCGTCAATTTCCTGGATTTCGAGATAACCGCCGGGGTTCAGATGACTATTGAAGAGTTGAGGTCAGACACAATCATCTTACTCAAAGTAGACGAGGTTCATGGACAACAGTACTCAAAACTTTGTTGGAAGTATGCTTTCCAATCATTGATGCAAGAGTCGAGTACACGGCTATGGATGTAATCAAAAGGCCGAGAATACGTCCAGCGCTCCTCTAAATCGTCGATCTCAAAGCGCACATTCGGAGGTACACTAAAGGAGCGTCAGTAAGCCATGGTCTCTGGCTTTCGAGGAACATTTCGACCTGACTCACAACTCTGGTTGGGCAGGAGACAAATCGATGCCGAGGACCTGTGATATCAATGTTAAGAAAGAGCAAAAGATTCACCACACTTGTAAGTCGGAGAGGACTATTCGGTGTCTAACCTCAGCTTCAGGGTGTTCATCTCCGAACTCCATCGCCCAAATTCCTGTTCCTGTGCCGACATCCAATACTCGGCCAACTTTGGATTCGGGATCATTGGGAGGCGCGGTGCCCAGTCGATTGCCGAAAGTTCTGATGAACATATTGTGTTGTAGATCTAGTTGCCGGCTTCCATGTTAACGTGACAGGTCGATTAATGCATCCAGCGGCGGGAGACACCGGAGAGATTAGCGCTGGGTTGCACAAACCAAGTCGACCGTTTTCTCTCTCGTCATTAGGGACATAATATTCTGCCCGAGTTAAGTACTCCCACTCGGAAAGTTCCGCTAGAAAAACTTACTCCCGTCTTTGTACTTGTGATAAGTCCTGCCATTTTCTAAGCGGTAATCAAATATCGAGCTCGACAGGCTTGTGCTAGATGAAGCAACACTTTGCTGTGGGGGAATTCAATCGATGTTTCCATATATCGCCTATCCAGGGCGGACCAGAGCAGGTAACATACGCCAGTAGCGGAAGCATCATCGTCCGTGATCTGAAGAAAAGTACATCTCAGTACGCTCTAGGCTTGCAATTTGTGAAGTATTACCTCGTCGGCAGCAATGTTGTCGCGCTCTTCTATCGCGATATTGCCTTGATTCCCGCCAACACCACGTGGCGGGCTCCTGCCCGCGATGTCTGCCGTGCACATCGTTGGTAGTGTTGTTCTCACATGCGAGGACGCGGTTGTGCTGACGTGGGGGTGGTCCCGGCGGATCGAGACAGTCGCGTCTGCAGGCGACCAACGGCTAAGTGACAAAGCTATCTGAATTAGAAATCGATAGGAATGAGACTCGACAGCAGCTCTGTGAAATAATTTATCTCTTGAAGTGATTGTCAAGGATGTGTTGTTACCCCTCTTCTTGGCTGGAGACTGGCATGCATGTTTGCGGCGAGCGTCCCATCCAACGCCATTTCCGAGTAGGAACCCCCCCCCCCCCCCCCCCCCACCTCCCGGAAAGATGATATGATTCATGTATTAGACCCCAGAAGTGGATCTATGGATTTGCGATCCTAGTCAAATCTATCAACCAACACTATCCTCAGGTTGCCCGCGGCTGGATCAAGATATCTGACGATTGACTCCTTGCAGGTGCGGCGTTCTGCAGGATGCTTCATCTATCAAGACTTCTGACCGTGGAATACTGTTAAAGCAGCGCAGTCCTTGGAATTGGAGGCAGGTAAATGATCAAAGTTCACACGAGGTGGGATCCAATTGCCAGATTCAAACTTTCCTGGCTGAAAACTTGGTGTTCTTAGCTAACATGTGAGCACGCACGTCCGGCGCAGACTTTGAAGATAATGGACATGCATGATGGCTACTCTGCTTCAACAATGTCTTGGATGGTATTCTGTTGCTAAGCCACATTGCATACCAAACACATCCTCAGCGTCAGCTCAAATCTCAATGGATCGTTGCTAGATTAATTGGCCACAACTTCCTCCGCAGTAGGCTTTCTACCGTATACAGACCAACTGATCCGAGCATTAGCCAAGTTACTTGTACCTAATGGGAGTTCCACTTACAAAGTCTGGTACGAGTGAATGCGCGGGTTCTTCATCTCGTTTCGGACTTCCATTGCAAAGACTGTAACCTCTTCTTTGGTCCAATTATGGGCTCTCGTCAACGCGCCTAGCATGAAACCTTCGAGCCCAGCAACGGAGTTATCGAGGTTCCAATACCCGAGCTCTTTGTGTTTCCTGTCCCGAGGCCACGGGTTGGAAGGCCACTTGAATACCTTCACGTTAATGTCTACAAACCCGGCGTCGGCCATGAGGTCCTTCAGAGTCGTGTTGTCCTGGAATGCATGCCCGAACATGACCGCCGCTTCGCCCCACAGCTTCGAGAACCTATTTAGGGCAGCATCGTGGGCAAGTGTACCATCATCTGACTTGCAGTACAGGTCGACCTCATTGAGCTCAAGATATCCGTTGGGGTTCAGATTGCTTCAGTGGTGGCATGATCAGCGTAAATTCAATTGGTCGAACTATTCTTGGAACTTACTCGAAACATTTCTGGATGTACTCTTGCCAGTTACCAATGCTTGATGTCATTAAGCGGCTGTGAATGTAATCGAAGGGCTGCGAGAAAGTCCACGGCTCCTCGATATCGTCAATCTCAAACTTCACGTTCTGAGGAACGCTATAAAAGTGTCAACAACGGCTGGTCTCGAAATAGCACCGGGCTAAGCAGCAAGCTTACAACGTTGATTGAATGGGCGAAAGGTCAACACCAAGGACCTTAAATAGAAATAGATCAGTTATCAAAATATCTGCTCCGCAATGTTTGAATTACCTCGGACTCTGGATGTTCATCTGCAAAATCCATTGCCCAAATACCGGTCCCTGTACCAACATCAAGTACCCGACCGACCTTGATACTGGTGTCTTTCGCGTTCACTGGGGCACGTCCCAATTGGTTGTCGAAGGTGAGGATGAACATATTATGTTGAATATCTGTGAGACCATTAATCATTGCGAGTCGCAAATTCGTAAGCAAGCAGGACTTTCATACCCAACCGTTTGTTTTCCCTGTCATCGTTGGGCATGAGATATTCTTGTCTATTCTTAGCTTTTGTTCGTTCAGAATGAGGACAGACAACATACTGCCATCTTTATAGCCATGATATGTTCGCCCATTCTCTGTCCGATACTGGAGAACGGAGCTGGTCACACTGGTGCTTGATGATGCGACGCTCTAGATTTTGAAGTTATTAGAGGAATGACTCTTGGGCTTCCACCATTCGGTTGATATGGGGAAGAAAGAAGAATCCAGCACTTACCTCGCCTCTAACAGAAAGGTTATCTTCGCTAAGCTATTTAATGTGTCAAGTTAGTTAGGCAATCAAATCCAGTCAAAGGTGGTAAATAGTGTTGTTACCTCTTCAGCATCTAGTGCGGGCGTGATTTGCGTTGTGACATTGTTTGCGTTGTGAGGTGAAGTGCCACGGGACGCAGCCGATTTTGGGCTTTGCCTAGCAATACGTGCTTGCTCAATGTCGGACATGGTACACGACAGCTAAAGGTTCAGTAAAATGAGAGTCTCTGCTCAATTCGTCTAGGCGAAGTTGGGAGACGCGTATTTATGTACGGCTGCGTCTCCGTCCCCTTCAAGCGTTTGCATCAATTGAACGCAGTGGCCGGCCTCTGTTGGTTCTATCACTTGCAAGCCCATCGTTCGATGGCAGGCTACCCCACTCCTGCGATGTGATACTCACGCACGTCTGCGGCGACCATGCCGGAGATGGCGGTTGTACTTCCTGATGAAGAAAATTACCAGCCATCTTTCAGCCCGGTTACATCTCGCATACAAACCTATCATGTTGGAGCGGAAAGTCGGCAACTGATGCCTAAGCATGTGCCTCGTGGTGATTAGGCGGGCCAATGCGGCCCTTTCCATGTCGGGCACGCAAATGCCCCGTAAGTAGAATGCGTACCCACTTACTATGAGAGCGTCTGAGTGCAAGGAGAGACTTCACACGCCTTGATATAGATAAATAAGAGGAATCGCTGGTCCATCCTCACAACAATGAGAAAGAATAAGGACCTATGGTTCCCATGTCGAGAAGCGTTCTAGCCCCCATGTACTTTTCTGTCCATACATTTCAGAAACATCTCAAGAACCCCATCTCTTGATGAAGGACAAACATAGTACCCTTCCATATATTCTTTGAACCGGTATGAAACAACCTGAGTGTACTTCTTCATGTCCCAAATGGGCCTAGGAACCAATTGTCTATAGCAAATCAACGCGTGTATCAGTGAAGTGACTTCTCGACCCTGCATTTCGGCGAAGTCAAGTCGCAAGGTAAGGATTCACAGCTATAACATGACTTGCGTGGACTGAAGGACCCTCTTGGGGAATATTGCGTTGCCATGATGTCGGATATTCAACATCTGCGGCCAAGACTCTTCCCTGACTCAATGATCCGGGGTCGCTGCCTCCGGCTTTCTTCCGTAGATCGACCAACTAGATCTCGTCAGTAGTGCGACGTCAACCGGGCTTGGTCATTTAAGCTTACATTGAAGAGTAGGAATGAACATTCGGGTTATTCATTTCCTTCCGCACTTCCATACACAGCACAGTCACCTCTTGGGGTGTCCAGTTGTGTGCTCTTGTGAAGGGTGCCATGACAAAGCCTTCCAGACCAGCCGCAAAATTGTCGTAATTCCAGTACCCTAGCTCACGATGTTTCTTATCTTTTGCCCAAGGATTACTTGGCCATTTGAATCTCTGAATGTGGACGTCTTCGAATCCTACTTCGACCAGAACATCTTTTAAACCTTTGATGTCTTGGAAAGGTCTCCCAAAAATTGCGGCAGCTTCTCCCCACAAGCGAACGAACTTATAGAGAACAGATTCTGGCTTGAGGGTATCGTCATCACAGCCAGGATTGAGATCGATCTCATTGAGTTCCACGTACCCACCTGGTGTAAGGTGACTGAGAGCACATCAGACGTCCGTATGCAGATGGGAAACAGATTAGAACCTACTCAAAGCACTTTTTCAAGTACACTTTCCAGTCCCCTACGCTTGAAGTCATCATTCGACTATGGATGTAGTCGAATGGGCGAGAGTACGTCCAGTCTTCTTCGAGATCATCGATCTCGAACTTCACATTTGGAGGTGTGCTGGCTCGCTCTTAGTTACTGGTACAAGAAAGTTCGATCATCAGGAAAAATGCGAGAATGGGCCGAGGACTCACAATTCTGGCTGCGCGGCTGAGAGGTCCATGCCTAGAACCTATAGGAGGAAGTGGTCTTGTTCAGCAACTTCAAATTACCAATATAGAGTCGGTTCATGTAGTAGCGTACCTCGGCCTCGGGGTGCTCGTCACCAAACTCAATCGCCCAAATGCCTGTTCCAGTTCCTAAATCGAGGACGCGGCCTACCTTGGCATCCTTAGAATTTGGTGGGGCTGTTCCGAGGCGGCCGTCAAAGGTGAGAAGAAACATGTTATGCTGGATATCTGTCCGAGGAAAATCTGAATATGAAATTATCCAACGTTAGCAGGGGCTAGACTTACCAAGTCGATCATTCTCTCTGGCATCGTTGGGAACATAGTACTCTAGTGCCGTTAGCCTCAGCTCACTGTCAGAGAGCTAACTTCACCTGGACTGACTTCCGTCCTTATACTTGTGATAGGTACGTCCATTCTCGATGCGATACTGAAGAATTGAGTCGGTTACGCTAGTGCTTGAGGATGCAACACTCTGGTCGGATGATTAAATTACAAGATCAATGATCCGCTATAAGCAATGCTTACCTCGCCCCTCAAGGATCCATCTTCATCGGTGGTTTGCTTGTCGAAAAGTCAGCTCAACTTACAGCATAGTGACCAATGTGAGAGTCTTATATCACTTACATCTTCAGCCTCGATAACGACATCTGGAACCTCGGTGGTTGCAGCTGGGCCCGGGGCAGGGGAACCAGCTAGACCACTTTCGGATTCTGCGGTATTGGTGTTTGGAGTTTCTGTTGACATGGTTGAAAACGAGGTTGTAGCCGGTATTACAGATCAAATGCTTGGCAAAGAATGAGAGACATTGAAGCAACCATAATATTACAGATCTAATCGCAATGATTTATGAGAATTTGGTGAATGCTTTGACTCGTGTTACCCCTCTCCTCGGCTGGGGACAATCATGCATGTTGGTTCCGACCGCATCTCCCAATGCGAATTTTGTGGGTTTCCTGCCTAGAAACAGTATCATTTCCGGAGGTCCTATCGGATTGAAGTGGAAAGACAGCCGGTGAGCCCCTGATAAACATCAGATGCATATCGTATCACGCCGCGACTGATAACTGTTGGTTGAGAAGGAGACTCTCTGAATTGAGGCACTTTGATTATCATAACATACTCTTGATTGAGAATGGTAGATCATCTTAGAAGCATTGTATGTACCCTCAAGTCTAGATATTGCGGCTCGAGAGGCACAACGTCAATCTGACAAGTCCATCATGGCTCGATGACTACCTACAGAGTACGTGGCCCGAGCAAAGGGCACAAGAACAGACCTTGGCATGTGCAAACTTGAATGCGCCATCTGCAGAATCATCGTTGGGGCCGAATTCATCCATCCATTACTATACTGAGGGATCCTTGCCCTACTCCCACAAGCTGGTTCCAAATTCTTACATTTCCCCATGAACATAATGGTGCGAAGTGTTCCCCTCGCACCTAGTTGTAGCTCACGTGAACATGGTCCCTGTCAAATTGATGAGCACGGATTTCTGGGTCTTCCTTCAGCATCTTAACTCACCAGTGATTCGCGGTAAAGTCGCCGCGGTCATCCATACTTCGCCAGCTTGACCAAGACTTGACCGAGTCTTGAGAAGGATTCCAGATCTTCTGACCCCAAATAACGTACTTGAGGTCGAGCGTCCCACGGTTGTTCATGACCCACTCAGCAATCTCCTTGCCAGAGATAGTGGGGACCTGTAGAGGGGTTAGTCAAGCTGTTCAGAGCAAACAATCACCCGGCGAGCTTGACTCACACCACCAGCATCAGAGCACATCATATCTGTCGCTTTGCCGCAGCAGTGATCCGAGTCGCCAGGGCATGTGCAGTCGCGAGTGCAGTAAATTTGCCTGACTCTCCCGGGAAATGCTGCGACAATCTTCTTTGCGCCGCTAACTGCAACCTGCTTACAGGCACCAACAGACGGAACGGTTGGATCGTCGTAGACGCCGAATCCGGTGGCAGTAGAGGAGCAGCATTTGAAGCCACTTGGTCCTGGACACTGATTGGAAGCAGAACGGTTGGATCGTCGTAGACGCCGAATCCGGTGGCAGTAGAGGAGCAGCATTTGAAGCCACTTGGTCCTGGACACTGATTGGAAGCAGATGTTCCTGCGCAGTCGCTTGTCCAACGGCAATTGCCCCCACTTCCGCAGGAAGCCTTGGTGCAGCACTTGATGTTGGAAGCATCGGCGGGACAAGCGCCGTCAATCGTTGTACCTCCGTTCGAGGAGCACGAGCTTGTAGTTACGCAGACACCTGGGAGAAGGATCAGTCGAGGGTCTCTCACCGAGGCAAGGGTGAAGTCATCATACCGGCTCTACCACCGGAACCATAGCAGGGCTCATTGAGCGCTGCCAGTGCGACCTGCACTGAAATGGAGGAGACGAGAAGTGATTGGTATCTCATGACGGATTTTGAGAGAAGTAGCTCAGGGACTTTATGTTGTAGAAGTGCGTTATCGCGTTGCCAATTCTACCCTGACTGTCACAGGCCGTCGAGCTCTGGGTTTATATAGTTTGATGTTGCCGGTTTTCTTGCTTCTTACAGCAGCTTCTCCCCTTCCATGAGTTTGCCCGAGCTTACCTATGCGACGCGAAACATCAGCAAGGCAAACGCAGCTGAAAGTTTGTGCACACCATTACAGCATCTCGAGCTGACCTTGAATCTTGGCACTCGTCACTAGGCCTCACGTTTGATGGATTGGAGGCCGATTTAACGCTCGTTGCATCGAGATGTATCCATTTTTGGAATTCACTCTCAACTGTCGGATGGCGTGTAGTCCGGGGTTCACCTAAGCCATCAACAATTAGTTCCAAGTGATCAGCCATTCACACTGTTGTTTCCCTGCAGGGATTCAGCGGGATGGGCCATGGCCCTATAGAGCTACGCTAGCGGCCGAAACTAAGGCGTCGCTAGCCTATAATGATGGGGCAAAGACAGGATCTTGGACTTATAGATAGCTGGTCTCTATCATCATACTCATCATAATCAGCGCGAATACTGCATGTGCTTCCAAATGGCGATGGCATACCTTGAGAACAGAACTCGGTTGAGTCCACGGAAATGTCACGGAAAATAATTTCGCTCTTACTTTCCTCGAGGTACATCCTTGTTCGCATCTCCAGTCTATCGAGGCGCCACAGCGCAATGTACGCATATAAGAAACAAGCTTTGAAATCCCTTGAAGATCCTGTAGATCTAGAGCCCTACAGAATGGCGTCATCTATCACTTGGATGGAGAAGCGGACTTGGCATTGTGAGACACATTATTAAGACACCTTCTGAGCGGGTCCCTTGAATCGTTCCGGGCCCTGTCGTGCCTGTCCCGTCACCCCTTGGAAGAAGCTACTCTAGCGGGTAAGACGGGGAGACAGAGTCCCCGCTTCGTGGCGTCCTTGTGCTGATGTGCCATGTTGCCATGCCTGATTGAAGTCCTCAGCTAGGTAGGCACATGAGCAGCTTGATTGTGACGTAGGAAGTAGAGCCATCTTTACTCCTTCTAGACAACGATGTGGAGAAATGAAGACTCAGGGATGTTTCAGCTCTGTGGAAGTTGACACCTTCATTAGGTATTCATACTCCGCAGCTGAATGATATTATACGACGATCCAAGGCTGCCAAACTAAGCTTATCTGCATACCCCGCGCGCAGCTGAAATCATCGTTACTTGCTTCGGAGAACAAGGTAGATTTTATCCCTCAAACGGCGCGACAAGCTCTGACCTGAGATGTAACGTTGTCACAAGGGGTGATCTGAAATACATGTTAAGCTTAAGCTGATTGTGGTAATAGTCTAATTGGCTTCACAACGTTTGGCATTCTTCATTAAACCTACTTGTGAGTGATTGGTTCTGCCACCAATATTTTACCTCAAACGTTGACTAATTTCATCAAGATGCAATGTCAGGTGCGATCAACTTGAGAGCACGGGCGCGAGGAGGCAGCACGTCTACTATGTAAGTATGCTTGATTGAATTGCATCAAACAATCTAACTAGGCACACGAAGTAGACGTCTAGTTCATATTCAAGGCGCATTGATACTTGACAGAACCTGTTGCCCAACGATACGTGCTAGGCCATCGTTATCAGTTTCATTCTCAAGCAGTGTGTGATCTGGGTAGATACTATGCGGTTTGCTTCCTGGTTTGGCTTGACGACGCCAATTATGTAGATACGAGCGTCTACTTCCGTCAACTTGAGCAGGGATCATCTGCAAGGCACCCTGTCATTGGCCAATACCACCAACGCTGCAACATGGTGAGGTCTAGGACACGCAAGTTGCAGCCTGGTTCACTTGAACTTCTTATCATGAGGCGAGGCAACGGCCAACGCGCGTCTAACCTTATGCCCTGTATAACTTATATGCATGGCACGATTTACAATTGTCACCCTCTGCAGCGTCTCCAAGGTATCTCCCAAAGCCAATTGCCTCGACTAAGGTATTACCCAAATCATTGCTCCAACTACCTCGCCGTATTGAAGCCATCTCATCGATTCTGGGCGTTATCATGTCTTGTCCAGGGATAATGGGTGATCGGTCTTTTGGGCCACGGGTCAATCATCAGTGTCGCTCGTTTGACTTTACTTTGTTCTTTGAGGACGTGTTTTTTGCGTGTTTACCATCTGCCCTTCTCCTCCTCCTCACCCCAGCGCTTCTCATTAGCCTACAACGCCGACGCATTGTTTCGACCCTTCAATCCCATTTGTCTTACGCCAAATTGGTAAGTCTGCTTCCGAGAGACGGTTCACGTTGAATGGTAGTATTTTCGGATGCAATTCGCATGTAGCTAATGACCTCAAAGGCAGCGTTGACCGCATTAGTTGCTTTTCAGGTCGTCTTTCTTGCTCTGCGGACACGTTACTCCTCATTCAAGACGACGGCATCAATCTCTGCCGATGTTACAGCCGTAGCCTCAACGATAGCAGTCTTTGCGCTCTCTGCTTTAACCCACAGAAGGTCTCAAAGGCCATCTACACTAGTCGTTTTATATCTCTCCGTATCAAGTATTCTGGGTGTTGCACGACTTCGGACTCTATGGCTCCTCAGCAATGAACTTGCTGTGCCGACAATTTTTACTTGCATTCTCTTCCTAAGTTTGGTGGCTTTGGTCCTGGAATCTGTTGCGGTGACGAAGCAACAGACCGAATCAGAGCCTTTGAACAACGACAAGTATGTAACGCCAGAACAAAACAGCGGCTTCTGGGCTAGGACTTGCTTTTGGTGGTTGGCAAGAACGTTCCGATTGGGATATACCAAAGTCATATCTTTGAGTGATCTTCCAGGTCTTGGTCCGAGTATCCAAAGCCATAGATTGCATACCGAGCTCACCGCTTCGTTGGACAATTGTAAGCATTCCTCGGTAAAAAGTCGAATTAGACGGCGTCATTGCTCACTTGAATTGCCTTGTAGATAATCACCAACATCGCCACAGTCTCCTGCGAGCCAGTCTTCGAAGTTACTTCGTCCCATTCCTGTCGCCCATACTCCCCCGGCTCTGTCTTACCGTTTTCACATTCGCACAGCCATTTCTTATCAACACAACCGTCGCCTACGTCGCTCGAACTAGCCCCGACGCCAACTACGGCAGAGGACTGATTGGAGCATGGGCTTTAGTCTATCTAGGAATTGCGGTGAGCACCTCAGTATATCAATACCACAACTTCCGTTTCGCCACGAGACTCCGCGGAGGTCTGATCGCTCTTCTCTACCGGCACGCTGTTCATACCAGAGAAGTCGATTCGGGAGAGATTACTGCTGTAACTCTCATGGGGACAGATGTGGAGCGAATATTCGGCGCCATGTCCATGTTTCACTCAGTCTGGGCATCGCTTTTAGAAATAGCTATCGCCAGCTGGTTGCTTGGACGACAGCTATCAGTGGCTTGCTTGGCCCCTATTCTTCTCGTTTTAGGTATGTGAAAGACATCCATGATCTCTCTCCGCTTATTAAGTCCGCTGACCTTGGATGCTGTATGTAGTCTTCATAGCAGCAACGTCTAGGATCTCCGTAGCCACCAAAACAGCGCAGATGCGCTGGATCGAGAGAATTCAACAGCGTCTACGTGTGACGACGGTCATACTTGGCGACATGAAGGCTGTCAAGATGCTTGGCTTTGGTCGAGTCATGACAGGTGTGCTTCAGAGGTTAAGAGTCGACGAGGTAGAAACCTCAAAGTCATTCAGAAAGCTTCTTGTTACAACTTTGTTGCTTTGTAAGTGCCCCAAGCTAGGAAAGACACAGAGCTGCTGATGAATACTGACCACAGCCTACAACTAGCGCTCACTCCGATCAATCTGGCCCCTATCGTAACTTTCACTATTTATGTCATCGTCTCTGTGTTTTGGAAACACGCTACGTTACTACCAGCACAAGCCTTCACGTCCATTGCCTTGATTGCACTTCTGACGACACCGGTTGTTGAGTTCATTCAATTACTTCCAATGGTGGTGCAATCAATTGGGTGTTTCAGTCGCATACAAGATTTCTGCAATTATACTCACGAACCTGGACTGAGCGATGAGTCAACCGGCGACTCCCCATCATCAGAGCATTCACAGGAACCAGCGTTTGGCTTGGAGTCACTTGCGAGAACTGACTCTCCTCTTTTAACACAAAAACACATTGTTTCTTGGGAAAATCAGTACTTTGGATGGGGAAAGGACCAGGCGGTGTTAGATGGTATCACCGTCGACGTCCCCCGAGGCATGCTGACTGTTGTAGTCGGCCCAGTAGGGAGCGGCAAATCAAGTTTTCTGAGCGCATTAATAGGCGAGCTGAAGTCCAGATCGTCGAACCGAACCACGGAGCACCCAGAGGATAATGAGAGATGTGCCATGGCTTACTGCTCCCAATCGCCCTGGCTTGAGAATGGAACGCTCCGGCAAAACATACTCGGCATCTCTATCTTTGAGCAAAAGTGGTACGACAGCGTCGTCTCTGCTTGTGGACTCGAAGCGGACTTGCAAGCGCTTGAGAAGGGCGACTTGACTGTCATTGGCAGCAACGGTGTGAATCTCAGTGGGGGACAAAAACAACGTGTTGTAAGCAGCCAGTCATTGTGTCGTTCTATTTTTCATTTGACTCTCGAGAGCTGATGTGCATATACCCATCTCCAGGCACTTGCACGAGCTGTTTATTCAAGATGCAAAGTAGTCGTTCTTGACGATGTCTTCAGTGGCATAGACGCTCATACCTCCTGCACTGCCACGACACGTCTCTTGGGACTCAATGGTCTTTTCCGGCAACATCACGTAACAGCTGTGATTGCAACACATGACCGTAAGATTGAAGTGCCTAGATATCTGGTCTAGTGTGCATGATACTGATAGGATTCTCAACGCAGGCAACATTATGCAATTTGCAGATAACATGGTTGCGATAGAGAGCGGGAGAATCCAAGAAGTTGGCAGCCCTATGACTCTCGCAAGTCAAAAGGGATATGTCAGCAAGCTAGGGTTTAAAGCCTCCCAGTATGATAATGCGATCGAGGAGGCTGAGATGAGCGGAAGCTCCAGGTCTCCCATGGAGATTGAAGTCAGTCCGGCAAACCCACATGCTGAAGCCCCCCATGGAAATACCGACGTCCGGCGAAAGAATGGAGAGAAGGCAGTCTACCTGTACTACCTAAGAAACGCAGGTCGGAAGGCTGTAGTCATGTACACTGTCTCCGTTGTGGCCTGGATCTTCTTTTCCGAATTTGCAAGTAAGCATTGGCCGACAATCTTTCCGAAGTGATAAACAAGCTAACACATGCGTTGCCAGCCATTTGGATTAAGTGGTGGTCTGACTCCAACACGTCCGCGCCTAATACGAGTATTGGATACTATCTGGGCATCTATGTCACGATCGGGATCTTGGGCACGGTCGGCGCATCTCTTGCCGCATGGTTTGCCTTTCTCGACGTCGTGCCCAACACGGCGCTTGGTCTGCACAACGATCTTCTTCAAACGGTCTTTGCGTAAGGTTTTGCAGATATATCTTGAGCCAGAGCTACTCATTCTGATCAACTTCATCCACACAGAGCATCTTTCAGGTTCTTATCCAAGACGGATAGTGGCGAGCTTCTCAATAGGTATGCCAACATGTACCGACTCGTAGCGAGACAATGACTTACCTATCCATGTCGTAGGTTCAGTGAAGACATGCAGCTTGTTGATATGGACTTGCCTGCGACCATGGTGAACTATACATCAAGTCAGTACCCCGTAGCCAAATGGACGATATAAGTAACTAAAGTCCTCACCAGCCGCTATCTCGGTTCTCGCAAAAGTCGTCATCCTGGCCGTTTTCTCTCAGTACCTTGGCATAACCCTACCTTTTCTCGCCATCGTGCTCTTTTTCTTGCAACAATTTTACCTTCAGACATCACGCCAGATATGCCTTCTTGGAATCGAGGCCAAGGCGCCTCTGTACACACACTTCTCTGAATCTGTGGCCGGTGGCCCAACCATACGCGCTTTCAGGTGGCAATCTGAGTACCAGGAGCGCAACTACGGCTATATTGACACATTTCAACGACCAAACTACGTCCAGAGTTGTATTCAGGCATGGCTGACCTTCGTCCTGAATCTACTTGTAGCAGCACTGGCAGTGATGCTGGTTTCTACAGTGGTGACTTGGCATGACAAGTTCAGCGCAAGCAGCGTAGGCGTGAGCTTGATTATGGTCATTGGCTTCAGCGAAGTTCTGGCTCGTCTCATTCAGACCTGGACCAAACTTGAGTCGAGTATCGGAGCGGTAGCTCGTGTCAGGCGCTTTGTATCAGAGACGGAAACTGAGACAAGCGTCGGGAAGACTTCGCTATCGTCCGAGTGGCCTCCTTCTGGGGCCATATCCTTCTCTGATGTTTCCGCATCGTACAGGTAAGTCTGACATCCATGTCCTTCCAATTTGCTCCCTCTTCAGAGACTCTAACCTAGCACACAGCCCTGGAGATGGACTTGTGCTCAAAGGCGTTACTCTCACTATCGAAGCAGGTCAGCACATTGCAATATGTGGCCGGTCAGGCAGTGGCAAGACGTCTCTTGTTCTCAGTCTACTGCAGATGATGCATGTGACGAAAGGCATCATCAAGCTAGACAGTGTAGATCTTGCGACAGTGGTGCCAAACGATCTTCGCTCCCGAATCAATGTGGTTACTCAAGACCCGTTTTTGGTGCCAGGAACAGTTCGTTTCAACATCGACCCGTTCGGCGTCGTCTCGAATGACGGAGAAATTCCTCGCGCCTTGGAAAAGGTTGGGCTTTGGGGTATTGTTTCGAGACAAGGTGGATTAGACAAGGAGATGGACTCTTCCGCGTGGTCAGCAGGACAGAAACAGCTTCTCTGCCTGGCTAGAGCCATAGTGCGGAAGTCCAGGGTCTTAATACTGGATGAGGTCATGAGCAGGTGAGTTCTTTCGCGGGTGGACTATATAAAGCATTCGGGCCTGACTAACATACTACAGCGTTGATGCTGCGACTGAATCGGTGATGCAGAATGTGGTTGACACCGAATTTGCGGGCTGTACGGTATTGGCGGTGATGCATCGACTTGGACATGTGGGCCAATACGACAAAGTCGCTTTGCTCGGGGATGGAGAGGTCCTGGAATTTGGTGATCCACAAGAACTGATTTCAGGAAACACTCAGTTCTCTGAACTGTACAGAATGGGTGGCAACTAATTTGAGTGGCGTGAGAGAGATTGTCCTTGATGTGAGTACAGCGCTGGAGAAATTCATGTGGTTGAACTGCCCACCTGGTGAATATTTTGCTTGATCAAGTTGGCGACTGCCATGCCTTACACCCAAAACTCGTGGTCAATATTTGCTGTCCCCATGACGTAGCTCTCTCTCTCTCTCTCTTTCTCTATATCATGCCCTATTCACCCTGATGACTGGGAGTGGACGTTATAATTGCACTCAATTGTCCACTTTACATATCGCATTTCCAGATACATCAAATTGAAGGAAGGCGCGGGCGCAGTTCACTACAAGAATCAGAACCAGCAGGTGCTGGCCCCTGCTCTGGGGGGGCAGTGGTTATAATTAGCAGCAACCTTATCGTTATCAGATGGAGTCTGTGCTCGAAATAGACGTATCTCGCCCCACTATGGTGCAGCTACTGCATCACGTGCCTCCAACCTGGCATTGGTAATTGTCTCTTTTGGTTGGTTCCTGCGTCCCCGTCGCTCTTGCACCAATCAATCGCGGTCCAATTCACTGCCCCTGCCCCGCCCCCGCCCCCGCAGTACTCAGCTCACCGCACCGTACGGACGACGGTTGACGGACGGCACGGCACCTCACCTTCACCCCAAAACCTAACTTTACCTCACTCACACTATCCTTAGCTCCAGCTCACGAGCAACGCTCGTTTGCGTTGCAATTCTACATCAATCTTCCGAACCAATCCGACTACATTGCTATTCCTAGACCCCTTCGATTTCCCTCCTTCTTCTCCATAGTCCCCACCATGCCCAAGAACACCCCAGCGCCCGATGAGCCCGTCGTTACTTTCAGCTCGGGCTCCAACGCACCGGTTGCCTTGCGTTTTCTCCACCTCAACGATGTCTACCACTTGGAACCCGCGAGCGCTGAGCCGGTGGGTGGTGTTGCTCGCTTCATCACTGCCGTCAACGAGTACCGAAGCCACGAACGCTACCAGGGCCAGCCCGAGCTAGTGACCCTATTTTCGGGAGATGTCTTCAACCCTAGCCTCGAGAGTTCTGTCACAAAAGGTACAGCGCATCCCCATCACGTGTCACTCGTCTGTCACTTGTACTGATTGCGCCCCAGGTGAGCACATGGTCCCAGTGCTCAACAAGATCGGCGTTGACTGCACTTGCGTTGGTGTAAGTGGGCCTCATACTTTACTGCTGCTTTCTCGGAACTTACATGCTTCATAGAACCATGACTTCGACTTTGGAGTCAAGCAATTTGAGCACTTGACTGCCAAGTGCAACTTTCCCTGGCTTCTCGCCAATGTCCTGGACCCGGCTCTGGGCGAGAATGTACCCCTTGGACATGCCAAGCACACGCACATGATCACATCATCCAATGGAATCAAGATCGGTCTTCTCGGTCTCGGGGAAAGAGAATGGCTAGAAACGATCAACAGCTTGCCACCCAACATCATCTACAAGTCGGCCAGCGAGACAGCCAAGGAACTGGTACCGCAGCTCCGGGCTCAGGGTGCCGACATCATCATCTGTCTAAGCCATCAGCGCGAGCCAAACGACAACAAGCTTGCCGAGAAGACCGAGGGTCTCATCGACATAATTCTGGGCGGACACGACCATTACTACGCTCATAGCTTCGTCAATGGCACGCACGTGCTCCGATCCGGCTCCGACTTTAAACAGCTCAGTTACATCGAGGTTCGGAAAAGGGAGGACGGTTCAGGAAAGTGGGACTTTGACATTCTGCAGCGCGACATCGTCTCCTCTATCGCCGAAGATCAGGAGACACTAAAACTTACCGAAGACCTGACCTCCAAGCTGAAACACAGCCTGGCCAAGTCCGTAGGCTGGACAGCGTCACCTTTGGATGCAAGGTTCAGCACCGTCCGGATGAAGGAGAGCAACATGGGGAATTTCGTTTGCGACGTCATGAGGCATTACCACAACGCCGACTGTGCCCTGATGGCGGCCGGCACAATCCGTGGCGACCAGATTTATCCCCCCGGTGCGATCAGGGTCAGGGATATCACCAATTGCTTTCCTTTTGAGGATCCCGTCATCTTTATCAGAGTTACCGGTCAACAGCTCTGGGATGCCTTGGAAAACGGCGTCTCCCAGTACCCAGCACAAGAAGGTAATCTCCATATAGCATACATTTGCGAAGACCTTGGAAATTACTGACCCATCAGGCCGATTCCCGCAAGTATCCAACATCGAGTACACGTTCGACCCCAGCAAGCCAGCGGGCTCCCGTATTGTAGCAGCGACTCTCGGAGGCGGACCAATAGAACCGGAAAAGAAGTACACACTTGCGACCCGAGGGTACATGGGCAGAGGAAAAGGTAATTTTGGAGCTTTCTGCAATGAAAATTATTAGCTGACCAAAGTAGACGGATTTACCAGCCTGCTCGTCGAGCCCGAGGGCGGAACCGCCGAGGAAATCGTTTGCGAAGAGAACGGCATTCTCATCTCCGCCATGTTGCGCCAGTATTTTATGAGCCTTCGCACAGTTGGCCAATGGAAGAACCTCAGCGAACACTGGGTCAAGGTCGCCGAGAAGTGCCACAGCCCGGTCGAGCCCCGGAAAATGTGGGAGACGCCGGCGGAGACGGGCACTTCGGACCCCAAGCCAAAGGTTGAGTCAAAGTCGTGGGCTGAGTGGATGGTCAAAAGACATGCCCTAAACGTCAAGCCCCCCAAGGATGACTCTGACGAGGAGGTCGATTCCGAGGATGAAGTGGATAGCGTCGCTCAGATTGACATGGAAATGCTCATTATGCGTAAGTTCTTCGCTAGATGGGCGAGCAAGGCGGGTGTCAAGGCTGAGGTATGTGACCCTCTGCATGAGGGGGAGTTCACGGTCGACTGGACCCGTGTCATTGCACCAGTTCTAGAGGGACGCATCAGGATGATCAGCTAGATGGTTACAAAAGTTTACAAAAATAGACTAAAGGGCATTCATTGGAATTCAAACGAAATCTGTCAATTCTTGAACGTTGAAGTCCGCCTCCTCCATGTTCTGTGAGAGATCGTGGCGCTAAGTCTATCGGTACGTACTTTCGAACGGCTCATTGCTCCGTCTCATGGTTCCCCCCGCCGCCGCTTCCGTCCCGTTCCGTGATTTATCCAAACGACCTGACAACTTCCCACTGAGCTCCATCCCGTCTCCCTTGCCTTTCAGATGAACATCCCTTCAAACCTAAATCACGTTAATCGTCCGATTCTTACATGACATAATCCTGTTTACTACTCTCATCGTTCACTTGATCTCCAATCTTGCCCCTGGACAGCCAGCTCACAGTCTGCATCGCCACACCAAGCGTCTTGGCTGGTGCATTCTCCCGCCAGTCACATCTCCCTTCTCAATAAGATTTCTGATTCATGCCAAGTCTTGAAAAATATCTCATTTCAGGGCTGCTAGCGGTCATTCTTTCATATTCTCATGTCGGTCAAAAACAAAAGTCTAGATCACATCCCTGTTCCTTACTGGCGTACACTAAACCCGTCCAGTCTCCCAATTAACGGTCCAGTCTTGGCTACATTGCAGCTCAAAACAACAATCAATCAGAAACATCTCTAAACACATGTCGAAGCCGGCTGCTGCGCCATGGGCAAACCCTTCTTGGACCCCAACGCCTGGCCCACGACAATCATCCGCATGACGCACTCGGCGCTCTCGCGTGTCAGAACCTCCGCGTCCAGGATGGCCTCGTCCAGCGTGGATGGTCGCTGCAAGATACACGTGTACGCATCGATCCCAACGTCGTAGTTGACCCGCGCTCCTGGCCCTATGGTCCCCGCGATAGCGATGACAGGCAAGCCGTGCTTCTTCGCGCGCACGCCAATCTCTGCGGGAATCTTGCCCCGCGGAGTTTGGTCGTCGATGCCCCCTTCGGCCGTGAGCACCAGGTCACAGTCGGTGAAGAGGCCGTCAAAATCGACATACTCCGCCACCACCTCATATCTTGGCCGGAGCTTGGCGCCGACCAGCCGCAAACCGGTGCCCAGCCCTCCAGAAGCCCCTCCACCGGGCGAGAGGCCCACGTTGTCGTCGCAGAGGAAGCGGCCAGCCACGACGGCGAGGACTTCCATGGCTGCTGAAAGACGTTCTGTCTGCAATTCGCTGGCGCCTTTTTGCGCTCCAAAGACTCTGGCAACGCCGTCGGGGCCAGAGAGAACATTGTTCCAGTTGACGGCGACCTCGATGGTGACGTCCTTAACACGCTTGTCGATGCCGCCAAGATCGATGTTCCTCAAACGCAGAAGGGACTCGCCCCCGGCAGCAATGGGGAGCGAATGTCCATCCTCGTCAATAAGTCGAGCGCCAAGCGCCTGGAGCATTCCTGCGCCGCCATCACAGGTGCCCGAATCACCGCATCCGACGACGATCCGCTTCGCACCAGCGCTCAAAGCAGCGGCTAGAAGTTCGCCGACTCCAAAAGTCGTGGTAAGACCCGGGTTGCGGAGGTTAGCAGGCACGAGAGTCAGGCCAGCCGCTGCTGCCATTTCGATGACGGCAGTCTTTGGCGTATCGGGGTTGTTGCTACCCAAGATACCGAAGAAGGATGCAATCGGGATGCCAACGGGGCCCGTGATGGTGACAGGGTGAAGCGTGCCACTGGTCGCCGATACAAGGGCACGAGTGAAACCCTCGCCTCCGTCGACAAGGGGAACCTTGCGGACGAATGCCTCTGGCAGTACAGCTAGAATTCCGGCTTCGATGCAGTCAGCGGCAACGTCTGGCTCTAAGCTTCCCTTGAATCCAGAAGGGCAAACAAGAACTCTCATGCCCTCGGGAACAGGAAGAGAACCCATATTGTCTTGATGGGTGATGTTTTGGGGTGCGGACTCGGCAAGATCAATGGGAGATGGTGATGACTCTCTAAGATCAGGTGTTGCCGTGATGTTGTTTGGATCAGAGCTCATTAGTTTGAAATCAAGCGAATGATGATAGCGAGTGAAGTGGTTGTGAAAAGCGAACGTAAGTGACGTAAATGAAGATTTGAACTGATGATGATATGAATGTGGTCGAGCGGAATTTCTAGACGTCACAACCTGTCCACTTTATATCATTCCAATGATGATCTACAGCGTCCTGAACAAGACCAAACTTACACTTTTCCCAAGGTCCCAGTCTCCTTTACCCCCGGGCATCGTTTCCGCGGTCTCTATGGTTGAAGAAATTGAGGAGGTATCTTACAGTATGGCTTAGAGATTAAGTCGTCCAGCTGCCGAGCCGTGGCGATGAGATGCTTCGCCAGTGCATATTTTCGCAAACGGGCATGCGATCGTGTGATCTCTGCATACCCAAGGCCAGGGGCCATGATGGCTTCTCTCAGCCCTGCACGTGTCCCTTGCCTCGATGGGCTGTCGAATGCAACCAACTCGCACGAAATGGCTCGAAACAAGGTAAGGCTAGGAGCTGTCAACGGCGTCCATGGCGTAGTAGAACGTCTACGGAGGTGACATCATGGCACAGCCTCTGAAAGCGGCAGAGCAGAATGGCAGCTGCGGTGTACAGACTAGATGATGTGCTCTCGAGATTCAACTGGCTAGTATGCGTGATATCATGATGTCTGATCCCTAGGCGTGATGCCAGGAGTAGTGAGCACGCGACCAGATTGGTGGTCCCAGATCTCGTATCTCAACCGACGACGGACCCCGAAACATCTATCCAAGGTTTCCCGTCTTAAAAGATAGTCTTCCAATCATTTACGTCCGTACCTGAGCTATAAATAAGAATTGCACTTATTTTCAAGGTTAACCTTGGGCTCATGGCGTCGCTTGGGCGGAGTCTAGAAAAATGTTACTCCAAAAACACACTCATCAGCCACAGTTGACGTAGCAATCCAAGAACCCACTCCCACCCCGCCGATCGACCGCCAAGAAAGCTTCGGCTGTCATTCTCACCCTCGGTTTGGTTTGAAGATACATTCTGGCATTGCTGGGTTTCCTTGTCGCGTCACTTGGCGGGATGAACTTGGGCGAATGAACCTAGGGATGTGTGACTTCTTGAGCCCGGCTGGTTCTGCCGCTTACAGGAAGGCTGATTTGCCTCAGCCCGAGAACATCACGCCAGAACCGGGGCGATGCCATCATGAGTGCATGAGGCGGTGCTCTTCTGTTTGTCGTCTTGGTGCTAGAAGACTGGCCTTCCTCAGATTTGTTCACGAGATACTCTCGTGTTTTCAGTTTTGAGAAAACTCATATAATATGCTGAATGAAGGTCAATAGCTTCATACTAGACACACAGACCTTTCAGAACTACCTGCAACATTCGTTCATACCGCACTTCGCACACTCGCTTCAAGGCTTCCCAACTCTCGCTTTTGCATCTTTATTCGGTTTCTGTCATGTCTGATTCGAAACCACATGCCTACTACTTCGTTCCCCGCAAGCCAGTATCGGCAGACTCCGAAACGGGCTTCAGCCTTCACAGGACTTTGACTCGGTCTCGATCTAGCTTATGGCGAGGATGGAGTCCCGGACTACCTTCTTTCACAGAGTATGAGAGAACAGCATACAAATTCCCCTGGCTTCAAACCCCAGTGGAAGAATCTGGTTGCAGACATCCTGGGATTATCCTGGAGACGTCGGCTCATGACGATCGTTCACACTTACTTTCTCATGACGATACGCAGGCGGGACCCTCTGCAGAGACTCCTCTCGAGGAAAAGTCTGCGCAGGGTATCAGACCTGATGATCGTGAAGACCCAGACCTGGTATGTAATAACCAAGCCTCATCTATAGAATAATGTACTGCGACTTGTCAGCCCAGAATTTAGAAAGCTAATCATCCTTCAGGTAACATGGTCTGGGCCTGACGACCCAATGAACCCAAAGAATTGGGCCAGGCACAAAAAATGGACGGCAACCATCTTGGTCTCATGCTTCACATTCATCTCGCCAGTCTCCTCTACCATGTTAGCCCCGGCACTGGACACCCTCGCCGACGACTTTGACGTTGAGTCTGACATTGAGACATATCTCCTCATGTCCATCTTTCTCCTCGCGTACGCTGTGGGGCCATTCGTTCTTGCTCCGTTGTCTGAGATGTACGGTCGTGTTGTTGTGCTTCAGTCTGCCAACATGTTTTACTTGATCTTCAACACCGTCTGCGGCTTCTCTGCTTCAAAGGAGCAGATGTTGGCTTTTCGATTCCTCAGTGGCCTTGGTGGAAGTGCTCCTCAGGCTGTAAGTCTCTAGTCTATCCAAGGTGGAAACTCTTGCTAACATGATCCTCAGCTTGGTGGCGGCGTACTGAGTGATTGCTGGAGAGCCGAAGAGAGAGGCACTGCAACTGCCATCTATAGTCTGGCTCCATTTCTCGGGCCCGCTGTTGGCCCTATCGGTGAGTGTTACTGCCTGCATCTTGAACGCATCTACGGAACATCTTTTGCTGACTATTCTAGCTGCCGGATATCTGACACAGTACCTCTCCTGGCGCTGGATCTTCTGGACCGTCTCTATCGCTGATGCGGTCGTCCAAATTCTCGCCTTTCTATTCCTCTCCGAGACTTACGCCCCTAAGATTTTGGCAACCAAAGCAAATATGCTGCGCAAAAAGACGGGCAACGCGAATTTGCGTACAGAGTTTGATCGTCCAGACAGGACTTTCGGACAGACGTTGCGGAAGAATCTTGTCAGACCATTCAGAATGCTTTTTACTCAGCCAGCACTGCAGATCACTGCCGTGTACAGGGCATACCTGTATGGTCTCATGTATCTTGTGTAAGGCTTAAATCTCTCAGGATGAGGAGGTGCATGAAAGCTGACTTATCTCAAGCCTTGCGTCGTTCCCTTTTGTGTGGAGTGAGCAGTACGACATGGAGCCCGGACCAGCTAGTTTGAACTACATCTCACTCGGCGTTGGCTTCGTGATCGGGCTACAAGTATCCGGACCTCTTATTGATAAGGTAAGATGAAGACGCATTCGCAGTAAAGTTTGTATACCATTGACTCACAAATGGCAGGTCTACCGTAAACTCAAAGCACAAAATAACGACACAGGTCGTCCAGAGTTCAGGATCCCTCTCATGTTCCCCACAGCCATAATCACGCCGATTGGCCTCCTCCTGTATGGGATTGCAGCACACTTTGAAGTCCACTGGATCGTTCCAAACATCGGCGCAGCGATTCTAGCCGCCGGCCTCATCCTCTCTTTTCAGTGCGTACAAACGTATGTTATCGACTCGTATGAGAGGTATGCGGCTAGCGCAGCAGGTGCGGCGGCCTTTGTGCGGACGATGGCTGGTTTCAGCTTCCCGTTGTTTGCACCGAGATTATACGATGTGTTGGGTATTGCCTGGGGCAATGTGTTGCTTGCTGGTATTGTCTTTGTGATGGGGCTGATTGTGCCGTTTGTTATGTGGAGATGGGGCGCGTGGCTTAGAAGCAAGAGCCAGTACTGCGCAGGTTGAGTAAATATCATATATGAGTTGCGTACTGGTCTTACGACATGTTATGATAGAGTTGCGATGTTAGGGATGATTTACGATACATCACTAGAATTATGATAACTCACGTTTTGGCTTCGAAACAGGCAAACATCAAGGAGCTGGGACATAAAGATTGGAACTGTGCTGGCAGAGTCACCCAGGACTTGAAGCCGGCTCTAAAGCAAGCCATTACTGGCTTGTACTGAAACTTTGAGGACACGAAAGATGTTATCTGTAGTACCCAGGCTGTGATCTCATGAGTTTAAAGACATGGAGTGTCAGTTTCTGAAGCGAACAGGTAGTCATGATGCCATCACCATCCTGGCTACTCTCATTATGTCCTGAAACCGTGCGTATCCTTAGACTGAAGGTTGATCATCTATCAAGTGAAGCCCTATGAAGTCTCACTACTACATCGAGGCTAAAGGAGTCTTTGTTACCCTCTTTAGACACGACAGGCAGTCATGAAACCATCTCTCTCACTTAGGCAAGCAGGCTGCAGCGCGGTCGACCAGGAACTTGTATGCCAGTTTTGGTCTTTCTGGAAGGTATATGAGTCCCACGAAATTCTACTTTCCATTTCCCGTCCTTACCCACCTCACTCCCGCCAAGCAGTCAAACATTACAAGCTCTCACCGAGAATTCTACCTAGACACTTTACTCTACACACTACGAGTCGACAATTATCTCACCTCACTTATCAACATGCCTAAAATGGACATTCTTGACTGTTCCCGCAGCGACTTGCTGTCCTGGATAGACCTCCGAGCGCAAATCCCCTGCCCCAAGATCATGGTCGGCGCCGCCATTGTCCGCCGTGGACCCTCCGGAGCCGAGACTCTGATCCTCAAGAACAAGCCCGGCCGTGATAACGACAACCTCCACGAGATTCCCGGAGGCGAGATGAAGGACACTGATTCCACCGTTCGAGACGCCATCTTCCGGACGGTCGCTGAGTCGGTCTCTCTTCAGGTGATTGACGTCTGGAATTGCCTTCCACCTATTATCGAGGTGCAGGAAGAGACGGTGGAGAATTCATCGGCCAAGGGAAAGGATACCGTGGAGAATGCTGCTGCGGGTCCGTCGTCCCAGGCTGAACAGGCGGCCCAGCCTGTTGTGATCAGGCGCCCAGTGGTTCACTTCAATTTTGTTGTCATTGCCAGAGGAGATGGAGCTGGCTTCCAGGTCAATGTGGAGGAGCACGAGATGGGTATTTGGGTCGATACTAAGAATAGCGCTGACATCGACATGAAAGATGCTATGAGGGACGTTGTGAAGACGGCAGTCAGGCTTTAGGTCCATGCGATCGTCATCGGGCTGCAGTCAGGTAGCTGCCCCGAGGTGGGTGCCTAGCCTAGGTCAACTATGAGATGAGATGAGATCAATAGACAAATCACGGTTTTGGAAGACACTATAATTGCGTATTTTGACTGTATTAAGGGTATATGTCCAATGATTAAAAGTTCCGTGTGCTTACACACTACTAAGCCATGCAACGACGGTTCGCAACCCGGGATATCAAAGCTGAAGCAAACCCATTACCAATCTTTCTCCGTCATCCATCATTGACCCAATCAAGTGGGTTTCCTCAAATCGACGCTCTGGCGATGTTCTTGCCCTGGACCAGACCAGGACCCTTCTCAGTGAAGAAGGTCTTGGCCTTGGCGGCGCTGACGATGAAGCCAGGCAGCTTCATCGTGTTGAACTGGCCCGTGGCCTTCTTCTTGCCAATCGTCACAAACACCTGGGGCTTGAGCGTGAGCTTGAGGTCCTTGACCTTGGTCTCGTTGCCGGTGAGGACGGCATCGAGGTTGTCGGAGAGGTGCAGCGCCTGGCCCTCGGCGCGCATGAGCTGCTTCGCCTCGAGGTTGCCGATGTCGCCAACGCCCCAAACGTTGGTGAGGCCCTCGACGCGGAGGTCGTGCTTGAGCTTCAGGCTGCCCTTGTCATCGAGGAGGTGCTCCGGGATGAAGGAGGAGTTGGGCCGGACGCCGAAGAGGGGCAGGTACAGATCCGCGGTGAGAGTTTCGCCGTTGGACAGCTTGATGGACTTGAGAGCGCCAGAGGTGTTTGCCTCGGTGACGCGGGCGTTGGTGACGAGCTTGACCTTGAGCTGCTGGAGGTTCTTGGCGGCGATCTTGCCGAGCTGAGGCAGGAGGCCGGGGAGGGGCGCGTCGCCCTCGACGATGAGGGTGATTTGCTTGGTGGAGCCGTAGGCGTGGCCGAGCTCACCGGCGGTCTCGACACCGGTGGTGCCGGCGCCGGAGACGATGATGGAGTTTGCGACCTTGACCTCGGACTGGAGGTTGTGCCATGCGGTGAGGGTCTCTTCGTGGGTGCCGATGGTCTTGAAGGGGACGCCGCTGGCGAGGGAAGAGCCGGTGGCGATGATAAGTTGGGCGTACTCAAGTGACTTTAGGCCCTCTTTGGTCTCAATCTGCACAGTGTTGGATGTGGCGTCGAAGGTGGTGGCCTTGCCGAGGACGAACTCGAAGGCGTCTTGGGGGTACTTTTCGAAGCCGGGCTTGATTTCGTTGAAGAGAGTGTCGTCGGAGAACTCGCCGGGAATAAGACCGCGCACGGCGGCGCAGTTCCAGTACAGGTGGGTCGATGGGGAGACGAGGATGACCTTGAGATCCTTGACCTTGGGCTGGGTGTACTTGAGCAGCTTATGGGCGACGCCGAGGCCTGCGTAGCCTGCGCCCAGAATCACGACCTGCTTGACCATTTTGTGAGGTTGTTCTGTTTGTCTTGGCAGCGAATGATGAGAGGGATGAGATGTTGTTGAGGAAAAAGGGTTGGCGGTGATGAAGATGAGATTATGTTCCCCAATCAAGGGAGAAAGTAAGCAACGTCGCCGGTATTTGGGGGCCGGAGGTTGAGCTGCGACGGTACGGGACTGCCGTGGGGGAGTGCGAGAGTGGACACCTGTGAAAGAGCACCCAACGAGGCACAGTTGCTTGGACAGAGAGATCTGCGATGGGAAGAGAGGGCTCAAGGTATAGGCGCAGGGTATCGAGAAAAGAGTGGGAGCGAGGATAATGAATGACTTTTTATCGACACAAAGGTAGGGGATCCGGGGACTTTTTAGCTGACGCCCTGGGCTTCGGCCCAATCCTTCCCATCTCTACCATTCCATCCCCAAAGATGCGAGGTACCACACGCTTGTACGCACGGCGGCATAGTCGCACTGCGGCCTGGTCTTTTCCCTGTGTGCCTGTACCTCTCGCGCTGGATGGGACCATTTGAGAGCCAATCCAATGTTTCAGACGAAGCGGCGCTCGGATTATTCAGCTTTGAGCTTGCGTATGACAAGCGAAATTGGATTTGGTAGAGCTTGGTGTGCTTCTCTTTTCTTCTGGCACTTTGGGATTTGGGATCAGACGCATGGAGCGGGTTAGCTGTAGTGGTATCCGTAGACTGCGATGCTACATGCAAAAGACGTAGGAATGAGCCCCACGGCAGATGTACTCCGTGCCGTCAGACAATGTCCGGAGCTTGCCCAGGTCTCCAACATGCACCAACCAACATGGTAAAGGCAGGGGTCCAGGCCGAGTCAAGGCAACGGCGCGGCGGGTGCCACGGCATTAGTCAGAGGTAGCGCGCGCTCTTGAGGAAAACGGGGATGGAAGATGCTTTTGCCCTTTTCTTTTGGATCATATGCTTCTTGCTACATTGATTGCGGAGAACTAACTACCTGACTGGCCAAATGGGCGCCAAGTGGCTGTCTACGGGCACTTTGGCTCTTTGTTTGTGTACTGTGCCACTCGGGATGCCGCGCGCCGGAAGCAAAGGTCGCGACCCAATGAATAGGCTTCACCAATCGTTGATTCCCAACAGTCGCATCGGGTCTAGATTGCCCAGCAAAAGTAGCAGACAATTAGAGTGGGAGACCATAAATGGGGACGGCTTGACTTGTCTTTTTCGGCGGTGTCTCTGGATTCTTGGAGCGTTAGATTGCCTTAGTCAGGGGGGTTGGGCGGCGCATTGGTAATACTCGCGCGCGCGCGTCGTCTTACCTAAGCATCCAATGATGGTGAACGAAGTGGAAGCAATGAGTGGAAGCAAACCCAAGTGTGTGTGTGTGCCCATTCGTCCACCGTAAAATCATCATCAAAGGCTTGTGTTGGTAGTGTCGGCGAAGATAGAGTCCGTTCGCCGTATTTTCAGTTCCAAATGGCCCTGGTTTCGGTCCCGGCAGGCGCGGCGCTCGGGACCGAGTGGGGCCCGCTAGGCTCGATGTGGTCACAGTGTGGCCCTAAGCGCCGCACTGACATTTCGGCGGTCTCACTCTCATTCTCACTCTCACTCTCACTCTCTTTCTGATTCCTCACTCGCTCTCTTTCACTCACTTGACTTGACTCGTCCCTGCAGAACTCATCATCCAATCTAGATTGCTTAACAATCACTTCGAAGATTTCTAAAATCAAAGGTGTACTCGAAACTCGAGTATGCCCTAAGAAAGAACGAAGCATGTCTTCCAGAAAAACATGTTGGACCACCGTAGGGAACCCGCAGTCATCAACAGGGCTTGATGTCATTCTCAAGCTCGGATGACCCCCTCATAACGCCAGGATGCTTTCACTATTGGATCTTCATAATAACGAGCTTCTCGCATTCAGCTGCTCATCAAAGCTTATCTGGGAGCTATGGCCCCATGGCGCCATCGGCGCAAACGCTGCACTCTCACACCACTTCCAGACGAATGCCCTTGCTTCCCTTCTTTGGCATTGCAACAGCAAGGTCATAATCATACTCTATATCGGCATCTGTCGTCTCGTACAGTCTCAACTGCGGCATGACGCGCAACGTCATGGCAGCAATGGCCACGTGAAGCTCGCAGTATGCCAGCCTTTTTCGGTCAGCTGAAAACTCAGAAAGTCTATACCGAGTGACGGATCATGGGGGAACTACCGCAAAAGAATGGTGAGAAACTTACTGCATGCCCAAACACTGCCGGCTTCCTTTGGAGAACGTCAATAGGTACCGTTCCAAACCCCGCCTCCTCTGTCCGTCTTCATCAAGCCATCTCTCAGGGAGGAATCTATTCGAGTCGGGAAACACCCTCTCGTCGTGGTGCATGATCCACGCCGACATACCACTCGCATAGCCTCGTGGAATAACGTGAGTCACCTCAACTGGTGATGCGGCGCCTGGAGGTGTCCACGTGCCTTGGTAAACCAAATCCTCGTCCGGTGCGATCCGTGGTAATCTCGATGGGGAACCATATCCCATACGCAGTGCCTCCATGATGGAGGCACTGAAGTATGGTAGCCTCTCCAGAGTGGCCCAAGTCGGAATCTGCCTTGGGTCCGTCGTGACGGAGAGAAGCTCGGCTTTCATCTTATCAACGACGTCCGGGTTGCGGAGCAAGTGATAGGTGCACACACTGAGGGCTGAAGCTGTCGTCTCAGTGCCGGCGGCGAGCATCACCGTCGCCTCGCCAGTGAGTCGCTTAATCGTCTTCTCTTCAGGCGGCAGGTCCGACTCCAGAAGAGAATGGATCACCGTCGTCCGATCGCGCTTGATGCCGGCTTCGTATGCTGACTTGGTCTGCCTGACCATCTCCGGCATTTTTACCTGCCCTTGTCAGCTTGTTCACCTGCATACTTCTATCGAAAGCTCTCACCTTGGACTGCTCAGCAAGTGCTCCCATCTTGGACGATAGCTTTCTGATAACGCCCCTGCCCGTCTTTAGCACCCACCAGGAGGTCATGCGAATACGGGTACTCACAATGGTATAGCCTCCATCAACCACGTCGTCCACGGGAAGTGCCTCATGATGTGGATCAACTGTAACATCGCATACACTGCCTCCTTGAAGTTGGGTTCCCAATCAGCTTGTTGAAGAAACCCGAAAGGCTGTCCGAAGCAGTAATCGCTGACAATGTCGGCTGTGAAGCAGCTGTACGCTGACGCTGCTTCGAATGGTCCACGACCCTGATATCGAAGGAACTTGTCGCAGAGTCGTTGAGCATCTTGGTGGATCACCCACTCCAGCTTGGTAATCTGCGCTCTTGAAAAATACTTGCTGGCAGCCGCTCTGCGGAGGCGATGATGAACGTGGTCAACCGTGCCAAATCCTCCCTGATGAAAAGAATTAGCTGACTGATGCGCGACTTCAGGCCATCTTAGAAAGGCCCCTTACATTCTTCAAGCTACACGCTGTCTGTTAGCAAAATCGACTTGTATGGAACGAGGTCTTAGATGGGGTGAACTCACTCTGCAGCAAACCCCTCTACAAACATCTTGGACTTATTACGCTTTTTGCTTCCATTGGCGTAGATAATGTCCACAAACTCTGGGTCATTACAATGAACTTCATCTGGATTAATCCGGACGATAGGACCTGAACGCATCATGTGACATCAGCATCTATCAGTCTCAAAAAAGCACGTCTAGTTGAAAGTTGACATACCGTAAATCTCATGAAGACGTTTGATCTCATGCGTGAACTTTCCCCAGCGTACCACGTCGAACCATACCTCATACCAGTATGTCGCACCGGCGAACTTCGGGCCGGGAAACTTTGCTAACGGGTGGAGGGTGACTCTGTAGATTGCCAGGAAAGTTCCGTAGAGCAACCACGCCGCGAGCCCGACCCCGAGAATCTGGGTCCATCGGGCTGTGGCCCAGAAAATTCCGGGAAAGAACAAAGTATCCTTAGTAGACTCCATACTTCGTCTGTAAGGAAGACTAGAAAACTGATGTCTCTTCGCAGGGGCACAATAGTGAGGGGATAGGAGTGATAAGGTTCTTAAAGAGCGGCCCGCGTTTGAAGGCAATGTTCAGGGCTCGAATGTCTGAAAGAAATGCCCGCCGTTTGGTAAAAGGGGATCACAGGTCGGGAGGAGGTGTAAGGGGTCTAGACATGTGCTTGGCTCGTGCTATCGAGAGCCACAAAGACGCATGTTGGCCGTTCCTGGCTATTAGGCTTTCGCCACACAAGCCTTGATAGCCACAGCTTGAGCCTAGACAATAGCGATCTTCACGACAAAAGACCTGGAGAGATTGCGACTCTATTCCACTGATAGGACCAACTTGAAGGACCGGTGCCGTAGCACAATAACATCAGGATCCCATCAGAGTGCTGCAAGTTCTAGAGCTATGAAGACTGCGGTTGGCAAAATCAATTCGCTGAAACTTGAGTGTCTGAGGTGTGGGCAGAATGTCTGTCTTGAGTGGGGAGTAGCGCACCGGGTTGTGGCCTTATGAATGATGTTGGTGGCTTTTTTCGACTGGAATGAAGTGTACCAGGTACCAGGATATGTCTCAAGCTACTTTGACCTAAGAGCAGCTAAAAGCGGGCTGAGCTCGCTAGACATCTTAGCTGCCAAAGCTGCTTCCAACATACTGGCTAGACCTTTACAGGTTCCGTCAGTGGCGATCGATGGTTGGCATACGCGGGTGCCCATGGCGGATTTCAACTCCCGCTGATAGGGTCTGAGAGTGGACATGGAATGTTGTCTGAATGACAATGAATGATCTCCTAGTTTCTACCGTACACACATGATAGCCCGAAGTACTTTCCCAACACAGCACGTTCTGGGGTATCTGATATCATGCCCCAACTATTTCACACGTGAGAGCGAAGCTGCAGAGACAGCTGCGAAAATCTCATTCTCAGCTCCATCCTCCAAGGGCAACAAAGGTGACCTGACAGTCGCATGCTCCAAGATTCCCCTCGCAACCAACGCGTGCTTCAGCGCCACAGTGCCCTCCATGTGCGATCCTCGATGGTACACGGCCTTGGTCACCGGCAACAGCTTGTCATGGATCTCTCTCGCTCTGGGGTAATCCTTTGCCTTGCCCGCCTTGATCAACTCAATCAGAGCCTCGGGCGCAATATTGCCGTAGCCAACCAGAAAACCGTCGACATCAAAGGCGGTGTGCAAAAGATATTCGTCATGACAAGTGAGAATCTGGAGATCCGGCCTCTCCTTTCGGATGACGGGAATCTCAGTGTCCCAACGTCTCATATTTCGGACACCGTTCTTCATTGCAAAAACGCCAGGTTGCGCCGAAATATCTAGCAGAGTCTGCAAGTTGTACGTCGCCTTTGTCACGTCGGGATATTGGAACAGGATCAGCGGCAGCCCGCTGACCTCAAAGACGCGTTTGTACCGGTCCTGTGGAGCGCCGGGCTGATAACCGAAGCGGAGCCAGCCGTGAGAAGGGTACAAGAGGCCAGCCGAGGCGCCGGCTTCCCGGGCACGCTTGGCCTCTAGGGCGGCTACTTCGGTCCCCTCTCCCGTGATGCCGGCAATGATGGGGATGCGATTGTCAACGGACTTGACAAAGGCTTTGATGACGGCGAGTTGTTCGTCTTGCGTCAGGAAGGTGCCCTCACCGGCATGACCGAGAACGACGAGACCCTTGACACCAGAGATGCTGCCGAGCCAGGAGCCGAGACGGTGAATCGCGTCGTAGTCTACGCTGCCGTCCTTATTGAAGGGGGTGACGGGGGCGGGGGTGAGACCACGGAGGTCAAGGCCGACATTGGAACCCATGGTTCGGTAAGGTTTGTGATATTGGAAGTTAAAGGATTTCTGAGAGTGATCACAGATTTATGAGATTTTGATGTCTGTGTCGAATGTGGTGAAGGCAAGTCTAGAACTATCTCCTGCAATGGAGTCTTTTATAACCAGATCATGGCGAGCTTCACACACAACTTTTCTTAGGGGCTAGATGAGCTCGCGTTTGAGAACGTGCCGAAGTCGCGCCTACTAACTCGGAACCATGCACCCTTTTCCATGATTGAAGAAGCATGCTGAATGCTTACAGCGTATACTTGGAGCCGACTACCAGCCCCGCTCATCCGAATAGGTGTGAGATGGGCGGCTTCTTTTCCGGTCAGAATCCGAGAACACAAGTCCGAGCAGGCTCGGAACCACGACTCATGTCCACTAAAAGAGGGGCCAGAACACACACACAACAACCAAGAGAACAGGTAAGGATGATATGAGTGCTAGGATAGGGCTTGACAAGTCTGGGCTCGTCCAATTGTCACCCCATCCACATGCCGCAAACGTGTCATAGGTGATGTGCTCCGAACTTTGGCATGGAGAATCGCAGAACGGACACCGCGACTATCTCGACATCTACGACAGCAATGCATTGCACATATCCTTCCCGCTTATGGCGATACTAGAGAGACTGGGACGAAGTCGTTTGGTAAACCAAGCAGTCTTCGTACATGCATTTCCGAAATCTTGTAATCCGGGCTACTTATGGACGCTGACGCTAAGCAGAAGTGGCTTGACGCTACTATCAAGACTGGAAAATATTTGTTTTCCGAGCCACTCGCTGCTTCGAGGACCCCGGCGCCAAGGGCAGTACCCCAGATTCCTGGGAAATTTCCCCCGCAACTCCAGACCCAGCTGTAGGTTTCACGCCGCTTCCCCGGGTTCCATAGTCGTGACTTGATATTAAGGCCTCGTCTCCCGCCTTTCAGCTATAAAGCCGAGTCGCGACGACTTTCCAGCTTCAAGCAGCTGCCTCATGACGATCAATTCATTCTATGGAGAACTCTCTGACAAAGAGAAAGTGCCAACCAATCACACCCGCAACAAGAGAAATGGCTGTCAACAGGGTCTCTTCGGACCGCTCCGACATTGAACACGTCTCTCACGAAAAGGACTCTGTTACCCACCATGAGTATCAGCGCAATGGCAACCTGAGTCCTGATGATGTTGCATTCCTCAGCAACTTTCCAGAGGACAAGAAGAAGAAAGCAGTCCGCAAAGTTGACGTGCGTACACTTTAGTTGCAACTCCCCCCTATGATACATCGTATTGGTGTTACGACATAATCTGACTTGCGTCTTCAATAGTACCGACTTATGCCGATGCTGATTCTGCTTTACCTCATGGCGTATCTCGACAAGACGAACATTGGAAACGCCAAGATCGAAGGGTTGTTGGGTAGTCTCCACATGACGGGCGTCGAGTACAATATTGCAGTTTCTGTCTTCTTCATCCCATTCGTCCTAGCCGAAGTCCCGAGCAACATGATTCTACACATGTTCAAGAGACCTTCGCTCTACATTGGTGCCATTGTCACATGCTGGGGCATCATCATGACCTGCAACGGCGTGGTTCAAAGCTATGGTGGTCTGATAGCTGTTCGAATATTCCTTGGCTTGTTTGAGTAAGCGATCACTCCTGACTAGTCGGAGAGACTACAACAGAGATTAACTTAGGGACAGAGCAGGCTTCCTTCCCGGCGCTATTTTGATCATCTCCAAGTGGTACCTCCCAAACGAGACGCAGACCAGGATAGCTCTTCTCTATACGTCTGCCGCATCTGGTGGAGGCGTCTCCGGCCTTCTAGCATTTGCCATCGCAAAGATGGATGGTGTCGGAGGGTATGAAGGTTGGCGATGGGTAAGTCTGTAAGCCGCTAGTCTTTTTGAATCTTTCTAACAACAATCTAGATATTCATACTCGAAGGTTTGGCTACAGTGGTCATTGGCACCATGTGCTTCTTCTTCCTGATCGACTCTCCCGCTCTGTCCAAGTGGCTAGACGCCGACGAAAAGCGCTATCTCGAATTACGACAAGAAGCCCGCCGGGTTCATCGACCAAGCGAGTTCCGAGAAAAACACTTTGATAAGCAGGCTTTGATGTCTGTCCTGACAGACTGGAAGATCTATCTCTTGATCTTTGCAAACTGGTCGAACGCGGTCCCAAACTACGCCATGAAGTTTACGATGCCGCAGATTATCAAGAACATGGGCTATACCTCGGCCAACGCGCAGCTTTTGACGATGCCCCCGTATGCGGTCGGCGCTATTTCGGCTTCCATATTTTCAGTCTTTGCTGATAGGTATTCGTGGCGAATGCCGTTCATCATTGGCCCTCAGCTCTGCCTCGTGGTCGCATTTAGTATCTTGTTCACAAAGAGTGCCAATATCAAAGACAACATTGCATTGTGTTATTTCGCCGTGTGCCTGGCCTGTTTCGGGTAAGTCTCTCTCATCTCGGTACACCTGTCGGTCTCATATAGAAACTTGAATATTGGGGAACTAATCCATGATCGCCAGAATGTATCCGATCCTTCCAGGAGTCAATGCCTGGAACGTATCAAATACGCCGAGCCCAGAGAAACGAGCAATCAGCATCGGCTTCTTGGTCTGTGTCGGAAATATTGGTGGTTTGATCGGCAGCTATATCTACCTCGACAAGGAAGCGCCAACATATCCTACGGGCTTTGGTACATCTTTTGGATTCGCATCAGCCGGTATCATTGCTGTTATTGCGCTTGAAATCCTTTTGAAGAGGCTCAATGAGAAGAAGGCGCTACAGACTGAAGACGAAGTGAGGGAGAGATACACTGAAGAAGAGCTTGGCCGCATGGGGGAGAAGAGCCCTCTGTTTAAATATGCTCTTTGAAAGAAACTTCAGCCCTCCCAGATACACTTATACTCAGTTCAACACTGTGAAGTTTCCCATATACGCGGTTGTAAGTTGCCATATCCATGCATTGTATATCATTGTCGGACAAGAGACTCTCCTGCGCGTCTCAGAACTACTAGCCAAACTGGGATAGAGAACTAATTACTGAAGAGCGTCTGGTTTACCAAGTTCCCGTGTCCCATTCCCAATCATCTGACAGGGGCCACTTCACAAGAGACCGGAAGTTTCCAATTTCGGAGCCTCTTCGTGACGCCAACTCGTCACCCACCACGTCGCCCTCCCGTCGCCCTCAACCTCGACTTCTCAAATTCCCTGAGACCGTGGACCAGCAGCATCCACCGCAGTGGATCATCAACTCGATTATCACGGCCGGTTGGCCCAATGGCAAGGCGTCTGACTACGGTTCATCATGTTATCAGGAGATTCTGGGTTCGACCCCCAGGCTGGTCAATTGAGTATCCTTTTGCCCTTCTCGAAGGGTTACCTAGCTTGTTGCAGGAAAATGTCCTTTTTGGTTAAATAATTCGATACTATGAGTTATTTCTGATGTTGAGATTCATTGAGTTGTATTGCCTTATGTTATTGATCTTTCATGAGTCGTGAGTAGAGTATCTGTCGTAGACTGCTTGGATTCCCTAGTATCCCAAGGACTCGTAGATGGCACCAAATCCCTTGAATTGCTTGAAAGCCTTAACCTTGGGCCCGTTCATAGGCTCCATGCCCTTGTCGCCCTTCTCCAGCGCCTTGCGATACGCGGGGCGCTCGGCAACATCCTTCAGATAAGTCAAACCCCCCACTTCCCGGCACCCCCCTGTTTCTGGCACCCACAAAAACGCGAAAATCCACCACAACGCAATGCCCACCCCCAACCTCCTTTTATCACAACATTTTCAATTCGAGTCCAAATGGGCTCATTTTTTGCACATACCTTCTTCTATATCTAATGCCTCAATATACCGAAGATCAGCTTCGTCAGGCTCTCGAGGACATCTCAAACGGCAAGAGTCAAAAGAGAGCCTCATTGGAGTATGGGATACCACGATCAACCCTCCAACTACGTCTCCAAGGTGGTCAGACTAGGAAAGTGGCTTTTGCTGACTGGCAGAGGCTGTCTCCTGACCAGGAGAGTAAGCTGGCACAATGGGTTCGCATTCAGGCTTCGCTGGGCCTCGCACCAACGCACCAACAGGTGAAGGAATTCGCAGAGCGAGTTCTGGCTGCTGCTGGGGATACCAAACCATTAGGAAAAGGCTGGATCTATGCCTTCGTGAGAAGGAACCCTATCATTAAGGTTCAGAGAAGTCGTTCCATCGATTCTAGACGCGTTAATGGGGCATCTACTGAGGTCATTAGGAACTGGTTTAAGTTCCTTGCTATCCCTGAGATCAAGGACATCAAACCAGCCAACAGATATAATATGGATGAGACTGGCATCCTCGAGGGTCAGGGAGCTAATGGGTTAGTGCTGGGCATGGCTGAGACGACGTCTGTTCGCAAGAAACAACCTGGGTCGAGGGCATGGGTCTCTATCATTGAGTGTATCTCAGCCTTGGGTAGGGCACTTCGTCCTCTTATCATTTTCAAGGGAAGACGGTCCAACAACAGTGGTTTCCATTACATCTGGTTCCATACGATGGGTGGAGTTTACAGCAACAGATAATGGCTGGACTACAGACTTAACTGCCATTGAATGGTTAGAGAAGGTGTTTATCCCACAGACTATGCCCGAGGCTGAGGGCGAGGCTCGACTGTTGATTGTGGATGGGCATGGGAGTCATACGACGACAGACTTCATGTGGAATTGCTATATTAACAATATCCATTTACTGTTCTTACCACCACACTCCTCTCATGTCCTCCAGCCACTTGACCAGTCTGTCTTCAGCCCTGTTAAGTCAGCCTATCGGAAGGAGCTCGGTTACTTGTCTCAATGGAACGACTCTACCATTATAGGTAAAAGGAACTTCCTGGACTGTTACCAGAAGGCTCGACTTGCTGGTCTATCAGTCTCGAACATCAGAAGTGGTTGGAAGTGGACTGGTCTACACCCTGTAGCGATGGTTAAGCCCTGATGAACCCTATGGTATTACCTGAGCCTTCTGCTAAGCCCACCACACCCAAACCAACCAGTCGGGGCAAAAGCGATGCCATAATGGTCAACAAACTACCCTGTTGAGCCATGGGATTCTGCTTCCTCTGCAGTGGTCTGGTCGACACCCAGGAAGCTGGCAGAGCTCAGCGGTCAACTGCACTTATACACCCAACTCGACAATGATACCAGCACTCAACGGCTGCTGTTCAGGAAGGTGAAAAAGGCTTCACAGAGCAGGCCTGGCAACTGGCAGTTGCCCAGCAGCAGCTGGCTCACCTGAGGGCCAAGTTACCAACGCTGCAGTTAGGAAGAGGAAGACTGTTCAGATCGATCCCAACACGAAGTTTGCGAACATCAGGGATGAAGCGGGTGAAAAGGAGGTTATTACGGCTGAATCCAGCGACTCTGAATGCCCTAGTGAGGCTGGCAGTTGTATTGTAGTGGGTGTGGTTGAGGATCAATAGTTAATAGTAATGAGGAGGTTGGGTTGTGATCCCATCGTTTTTGTGGGTGCCAGAAACAGGGGGGTGCCAGGAAGTGGGGGGTTTGACTTACCGCAGAATGTTCTTGTGCTCTGACAAGTCCAGGAGAGGATAGAAACCGCGCATGGTGGTCAGGGTGAAGACCGTCATGATATCCGCAGCGCTCAGGTTCTCACCGGCAAGCCACTTGTTGTTGGCCAAGCGGTTGTCAATCAGCTTGAGGGCCTGATGGGACTTTTCTTCCATCCGCTTGCCAAAGTCACTTTGCGAAGCGCCCGCAAACAACAGTGTCATAGCGCGGCCGAGAGTGGGCTGAAGAGTGCCGTTTGCGAAATGGAACCACTCGAGGTAGGCGGCGTAATCGGCGTCATCGGGGGTACGAAGGAGTCTCGGGGCACCGGAGCCAGCCTTGCTGCCGTGGACGTTGAGAATATACTCTACAGTTGCGCCTGACTCTCCGAGCTCGATTGGCGGGGAAACAGTGCTGTCGCGGAAATACGGTGCGGTTCCGGCGGGGTTCTGACTCGTTCAGCTGTCTATCCACTATTCACAAACTCCGCCGAAAAAGACTCACGATCTCCTTGATTTCCTTGGGCGCGAGTCCTGTGATGGGATCTCTTTGGAAGACGTGCAAATCGTACGGTACTTGGAGTTCCTAGTGGAGTCTTAGCAATTGCTGACCTAGATGACGGTTTGCGAGATACCAACCTCCAAAAGCCATACAATTCTCTCTGATTGAGAAAGCCCAAGATGGTAAACTTCGATGGACATGTTGATTGATTGTTTCGATACGGCTCAGATAGAGATAGATGCTTGAGATGGTTGATTCTGTCTGCCCCGAGGCAATACAGTTGAGGGGTCGGCCCGCATGATATAAAGTAACGAGTCCGCTAGGGGATCGGCTGGTCTAGAGTCTCGAGTGCCACCATGTTGACGTCAGGGGTCCAGGAGCAGAGTTCACGCGCGCAGCAAGCTGCGACGAAGCGAACGGTGCCGCGGTCGGTGGGTCGAAATTCTGGAGAGCCGGTGCAACTCTGGAAGCCGCCGTCCGCCTCATAGGGGCAGCGGACAGGGACCGGCTCGGGTTGTCCGGAGTAGAGCGGGGGATGGCGGGGCAGACGACCGGATTTAGGGAGGATTCTGGTGGGGGTGGATGGACTGACCGTCCGATCGTCCGATAGACAGCCTCCTAGATCTCATCCACATCGGTGCCGAGCTACCTCGAAGAGATGATAGTAAGAGGCCGTGAGCTATAGGCTGCTGTCTACTCGGATGATGGTTGCTCCAGTGCTCAACTTATCCCCGCGCCACGGTTTCTGAAGATTTCAGCTGCATCGTTTCTGCAGCGCTGGAGTCAATAATGATTTGCAGCAGGGATCAAAGCTCGGGAGTTGGCATACGGCGTATTTGTCATTCCATTGAGAGGGGTCACTAAGGCCGATTTGGGCCACAAATCCGACTCTTTGTGCAAGTACTGTGGTATTTAGCTCATGAATGATATCATTGCATAATTATTTATCCATACGTCTCTTGCGAGTTTCCCGTGGGCAGAGGAAAACCCAGGCTGTACTATCTGCCGGCTCGTCAAAGCAGTTTGATCCATAGGCCAGATCGAGTATACTGGACGAAGTTACAAACTTACACAATCTGATTGTAAGCACAGCAACACGTGGCCAACACATGTAGTGATTGCTCGGCAACAATCCCCATTGGACAAGCTCCTCGTCGAGAGATATTATCCTTTATCAACAGCATGTGAAGCGAGGGGGCATCTTGGAAACAGACTCTGGGAACAGTGAGCCCGGACTTGTGGAGGGTAAGAAGGTTTCGATCCAACCGATTTGCTCATCCTTGCCCCGCATTTCAGCCGAGCTTTGAGCGCCGGCAAGGGGGCCATTTGTTGGCTGTGTGTTGTGGCCGGTTTGTTTGCTCCCCTTAATAATCAGCTGGCCCCTGACTTTGGCTTTTCCGGACCGCTTTCTATGCACAAACTCCCAGCCAGATCTGCGTGCCACACCACGCGAGAGGCGTCAAGTACTTTTTTCGATTTGTTCCGGTACGAGATATCCTCCGTTATGACCCACCTACGGATTCACCATATGCCGTAGTAAGACGAAGCGCATACACTCGGAGCGCTGAACCCGGTGTAGGAGCCGTTGTGGGTGCTGGAACCGACGTGGTAGTCCGGAGGATCGGACTTGAGTCAGTGGAGACCATCAGCAAACGCATCGGAGGGTCGGATATTCACGGCTGGTGGTAGGATGGCCGACACACCAGCGGAAACAACGGCGAGCACCGACACTGGTATCCGCGATGATGTCCCTGTAGCGACATCCGCCCCGACACCTTCATCAAACATATCACAGCCGTCCCCGTCAAGTCTGCCGCCGATTATAACCGATCGGAGGAAACGCAGCTTGCCCGAGGGTTCGCCCGAGGGCCCCGAAGAGGGCCGTTCGTCATCGGCTGCTGCTGCCGCCGCCGCTGCTGCCGCTAATCGGCGAAGAAGTCACAAAGTCAGTCGCGCATGCGACTTTTGCAAATCCAAGAAGCTGAAATGCTCCGGAACGATCCCCTGCGACGTCTGCACCCGAAAACGTCTCTCCTGCATCTACGACGCTACCTACCGCCGAGGTAGACCGCCGACACCTCCGCCAGCATCCAGTTCTGCCCCCGGGTTATTTGAATCCCGACTGGTCCCCTCACTTTCCCTAGAGGTGCATAGGTATGTCATTGTAAGAACAAGTAATGTTCGATGATGGTTAGAGTGGTGGTTAACCGTTCACAGAAGACCACTTCCCTCGGCGGCGCCTCTCCCATCCCTAGCACCGCGTGAACCCCGTCTTCCCCGCCGGAGCGCGGCTCGGTCGAGAAGCCGTGATCATGTGGCCGACGAGGCAGAGGCTGCAGAGCGCAGCCGGCGCAGCGTTCTGCCAGGCTCGCGCGCCTCGCCAGAAGTCGAGATTGCCGAGATCGAAGGGCAGTATGTTGACACCACTTCGAGTCTAACATTCCTGCACCGAGCATGGAAGCGCCTTTCGTCGCAGAGATCTAATACTACTGACGTTCCCGGTAACGCACCGAGCGGCGCCGAACAGCACCAGAGGCTGACGAGGGCAGGAGACAAGCCTTTCGATTCGCAGCCGTTGGACGTGTCGACTCTTCCTGACCGGTTAGCTGGCTTAGACATGCTGGATTTCTACTTTGATGTTTGCGTAGTAACCTATCGATGCCTTCATCAAGGCTACGTCGCCCAGTGGTTCGAGGTTCTGCTCGCAAATGCAAAAGACAGCCGTCCGCTGTACCACGAAATTGGCCACGCCAAAGCCTCTATCGTTTTGACCATTCTAGCTATCGTCACCCTCCGACAAAGCAAGGTCCGAAATGTCGACGAAGAAAAGTTCTCCCACCTTCTGCGCAGCGACGCTCTCTTCTCTCAGGCTTTGAGTTTAACGGATGCGGAGATCGGATTGCCGAAGCTAGAGTCCTCGCAGGCACGCCTCTTGCAGGTGTTGTATCTCCTCCAAACATGTCGCATGAATCAAGCATGGTATGTCTTTGGGAGCATTCTTCCCATCATCTCAGCTTTGGGTCTGCATCGAAAATCCGGACGCAACAGGGCCAGCAGCGACAAGGACTACATACTGTCGCAGTGTCGGAAGAGGACTTTCTGGGTGGCATACACCATCGACAAGTATCTATCTGTTGTATTTGGTCGACCGAGGATGTACCGCGACGACGATATCGATCAGGACTTCCCTGACTGCGTCAACGATGAGGATATGACACCCCAAGGAAGATCAAGTGACGAGCCAGAGATGGATTGCCATGTTGAGAGCCTCATCTTTCACGCCAAACTCGCTCAAATCATTGACGGTATTTCTCGCGAGGTGTACTCGATCAAGCCTGTTCATAAAGATGACCGTCTCATGATTGCACATCGATACGGCAAGGCTCTACACCGGTGGCGCGAGTCCTTGCCACACCATTTGGGTACCGTTCGACCCATGTCCTTGATTCCGTCATTCAGAAGACAGAACACAGCCCTCAAGCTGGCATATTGCCATGCCATCATGCACGCCAACCGACCCTTTCTTCTTGGAACGGGTGGCTCGAGAGGTGGACAGCGATCGCCTCTAGAAGACAGTATTGATGAATGCATCACTGCAGCCAAGGCCGCACTTGAGACGGTCGACGGCATGGCTAGTGACGGGACGTTGTTCCACGCTTTCTGGTGGACGCCGTACGTCACCTTTTGTGCACTCGCGGTGGTATACGTCTATGAAATTCAAAGAGGGAGACAGGACCCGGAAAGGGGCCTCTTTGAGCTGGCGGATCGCTGCCAGAATCACCTGGCGAAAGCAACGACTGCTGAGAGCCCAAGCCGCAGGTACTCTGTCATCCTCGAAGAGCTTCGGCAAGAGGCTAGTTCACATTCCGAAGGACCTTCAGGCCGTGAGAAGAAGCCGACCATTGAGCGTGGTGAGCATGGAGGTGCGGAGCCGATGCAATTGGACGAGGTTTCGGGCGCTCCAGCACCGCCGGCCGATATGGGTGAAGTGTTCCAGCAGCATGGGTTCGAAGGGATGACGAACCTCCTCAGTGGTTGGGAGACGACGGATTGGCTGGACTTGGACTCTTCGGTACACGATTTCCTCCAGAGTTTTCAACTAGGATGTTGAGCTGATTGTCTTCAGGCCTTTGCTACGTTTCCCAACTTTGAAGGATCGCCAGTCTACTGGATGCCGGATGTTCAGTGATCGCGCATGGAATGAGAGGATCGTGTCGACTGACGAGGATGTAGCGACGGTGTACTATGATGAAGATACCAGGTAACAAAAGCTATTCGCTGTACAAAATAGTTTGTAGAAAGACAAACCATTCAACCCGGGTACGAGTTGTCGGGAGAAAGGGAAACAACCAAAGCCTCGATCGGCAACGCGGCAGCCCTGATTGTCCGAAACAACGATTCGCCGGAATTAACGGGATAATAACACTGCTTCTTCATCCAGATTGCGGTGAGGTTATCTTGCGCTGTGGGGATGAAGCGGCCTGTCAAGCCGAGCCCCTTCTTTCAAGCTTCGTCCAAACTCCACCAACACTGTCCATCGCCAACTGCTTCGACGTGGGATCCTAGCTTGTTCGGCAACTGAACAGGAACCTGCAGATGCTAAGTCGCGGGAGTATCACCCGTGCCCGGCATGACCGGTAGAAATACCCTGTCGAATTACCCGCACAGATCAGCAACGCGGCATGACACCTCCTCCAAAGGCTCATCAGCCTCCGCGCTGCAAGGCACCCCCTTCGGGAAGGCCAATGCAAGAGCCACTTTGGATAACGGATACCGGCACCCATACTTTTCCAAAAGAGCCGGGTTTCCCTTTCGCAAGCCATGGCAAGTGCCGAATAAAAGCTTTTTAGACAACTCCAGATGAACCAGTTTCCTTTCGCTTTCGGATGAGACATGGATCTAGCACGGCCCCCAGCCAACCGGCTAAATTGACGATGATGGCCCCCTTTTCAACACTACCCTACATGTGGGGTAACGAGATCACCGGGTTTTACACATAGTGCATGCGGCCCCTTGGGTGCTATGCACGAGCGGCTGAAGGGAAGTCTACAAAAGTTGCCAGATGCGTCACAGGGAGCTCTGTCGACAGCTTCGTTCGTTCGCCTCCATCACTCAGGACTATAAGTAGTTGCTCAAGAACGAGCCCAAGATCGTCTTCGAGAGACTGAATCAGCATCGCACTTGGTTGTCGCAAGTCCATCGCAGCTATGAAGTTCAGCACGATTCTCTCCGCCCTTGGCCTGGTCGCCTCTGCCAGCGCCGCTTCGCTGCAGCAAGTCACCAGCTTTGGCTCAAATTCCAGCGGCGTCAAGATGTACATCTATGTTCCCGACAAGCTGGCGACGAACCCTCCCGTGGTTGTGGCCATCCACTACTGCACCGGCACGGCTCAAGCCTACTACAACAACAGCCCCTACAAGACACTCGCAGATCAGAAGGGCTTCATCGTCATTTACCCCGAGTCACCATACTCAGGAACCTGTTGGGATGTCTCCTCCAAGGCAACCCTCACTCACAACGGAGGAGCCAATAGCAACTCCATCGCCAACATGGTCTCATACACTCTCAACAAGTACAACGGCAACAAGTCCAAGGTGTTTGTCACCGGCTCTTCCTCCGGCGCCATGATGACTGTAAGTCAACGTCCATAACTCAACGAGACAATGCTCGAGTGACTAATCGCGCAACAGAACGTCCTGGCCGCGACGTACCCCGACGTCTTCGCCGCTGGCATCGTCTACAACGGCGTCCCGGCCGGTTGCTTCTACACCGGTACGGTCAACGGCTGGAACAGTACCTGCTCTTCAGGCCAATCGATTGCCACGCCGGCACGCTGGGCCCAATGGGTCTACGACGCCTACCCCGGCTACACGGGGTCCCGCCCCCGCATGCAGATCTACCACGGCAGCACCGACACCACGCTCAACTACGCCAACTACCAGGAGACCATCAAGCAGTGGTCTGGCGTTTTTGGATACAATCCGGACAAGCCTGTCACATCCTCTCAGAACACCCCTATTGCCAACTATCGCACTGATGTGTTTGGTGATCACCTCACGGGTGTTTGGGCTGTTGGCGTTGGACACACTGTGCCCATTCGGGGTGACGATGACATGAAGTTTTTCGGCCTGTAATCGTTCTCAACACGTACGAGTATTCTTGTATATAGTTTGAAGGAAACTTCAGCCGCCACTATGGTAGTAAATAACTAGCGTGTATTGTTATTATACTTCTTCGGTTTTGACGTACATTGTCGCCGATATAGAAACCTTGGAAGCTCTTTTATAAAGTTTCCCGCGGAGAAACGTAGTCCGCGGAGACAATCTATCCCCCTTTGACGGACCGGAAGCATGATTCAGAACCGGGCCGGTATTGATAAACGATCCCAGACCCGCCGGATACAAGGCCGGTTCTCTGAAGGAAACCAGCGGCCGTGATCACTCAATGATGCGTGGCGGAAAAGCCAACACGGATGTTGCGGTTTACTCGTAGATGGCCAAGTTGCATATCCGCTACTTTCCCGTCCAGGAAGTGGACGGTGTCCCGCTTGACGTATCGCGCGTTGATCCAGACCGAAGAGCTGTAGGAGAAACTTTCACTAAATTCCACGACGTAGCAGTCCTTCTCGTGCTTTCAAGACCTCTTTCAGCTTGTCGGCAAATCGCGACACGTTGATCTTGTCCAACATGGAGTAATGTTCACCCGGCACATCATAAAACTGCACATCGCTCACAAACTCTCGCCACCGGCTGAGCTTATTCTGAACCCAATCGTCACGGTCAACAGCTACCTCCTTGAGAGGATCTGCGACAAATACATCCATGCTGCGTATTGTTCCCCGTGGTTCGTAGTCTCGAGCCAGATACTGGAGCGAAGATGCCAAATCTGTCCACTTGACCAACTCCTCTTCGCCGAGGCCTAACTCGAGCCAACGATCCGAGTCGCTGAGGGCTCGGAGGTGGGCGACTGCTTCTTGCTTTGAGAATGTGCGCAATATGCAGATCTGATGTATAGCTTGATCCTGTCCCATGAGCTTCGTGAAGTGGAATAAGTTGGCGAGACACTCTACCCAGCCGAGCTGTCTCATGCGGTGCTTTATATGCGGCGGAAGGTTCCAGCAACCGCAGTAGAGAACCTCGTCCCCTCCTGCCTCTAGTCTCTTGCATAGTTCGAAAGCAATCATTGAGCCGAACGAATAGCCTGCGATAGCATACGGCCCCTCCCCTTGGACAGCTTTGAGGTGCTTAAGATAGTAATCCAGCAACGCATCCAAGGAAGCAAAAGGCGAAACACCGCTATCGAGACCCTCCGCACGGAATGCATAGACTGGCCGGTCGTCGATGAGCTTCACGAGGTTCATGAAGACCAGGATTTCTCCGACACCGGGATGTACGAGCCACAGCGGCGTCTTTCTGCCCTCTGACCGGAGAGTAACGACCGGACTGCCGACTCCATCTTTCCCCTCAGATCCCTCAATCACCAAAGCTAGCCGCCGAGGCGTCGAATTTCTCAGGACTTGACTAAGCGTGAGTCTTTCTCGTAATTGAAGCCGGTCCGAGATCAGACGCACTATCTTGATGAGGTCCATTGACGTAGCGCCGAGCAAGAATACCGATCTTTCAAGGCTGAGAGATAGCCCCTTGAATTGGAAATACTCCTGTATTTCGTGGCGAATAAGTGCCTCAAGAGGAGAAACTGTCACCTCTGCAACGTCATGTTCTACTCTGTTGGCTTCGCTCGCTTTGCGCAGATGCAGGGTGTACGCGCCCTTCTCGAAAGCCGACTTGATCGCACCCCTGGGCAGATTTCCTAGTGCCGATGGCTTGAGATCAATGGCTGTCAGGGGTAGAACTATGGCAGATGAAGACGTATGGAAGCCAATAATATCGACTATCCTATTGTGAGTCTTGATCCGGGCTCGTGTATCATTCTCCTCGACCGATGGCGAGTAAGCAACCACGACTTTTTCTGTGTCGGATGACTGTGGCAAAGTTGAGAAGCAACAGAAAGAGCCCGGGACTGCTTCTTGGATCAACTCTTTCTCGAGATGGTGTTCTAGTTCGTCTGGAGCGTATTTCACCCCATTAATATTGATCGTATCTTTGGAGCGGCCTTGTAGGACTAGTTGACCGTCGTGGTTGACACAAGCGAGGTCGCCAGTAATGAACCAGCCATCGTCTGTGAACGCGGCCGCAGTAGAGTCGCGATCGTTGAAATACCCATCAAATACCACGTCGCCGCAGAGTTCCAAGTGCCCTGACTGGCCAGCGTCTGCAAATGCAGATGGAGATTTGCCATCTGAGAGTCTCACTCGCAGCTGTAGTCCAGAGATACCTTTGCCAACGGTAACGTGTTGGGAGTTTTGTCCTCGATCATACGTCGGGCAGTTGGTGTTGTAGATGCACCCAGCACAGGTTTCCGTCATTCCTAAACCCGGGACGATGATGTCTTTGCGTACACCATACTTCTCAAGTTGGGTCTGGAGTGCCTCGCAGACATCCACCGTGTTTGCCTCTCCACCCGAGCCAAGCCATTGCAGACATCCAAGGTCTAGATCTCCATCCAACGACGATGTTTGTTCCAACACGAGCTCCCTGGACAACTTGGCCAAGAAAGAATGAGGGGCAAAGGTTCGCGAAACCCGGTGGCGGCTGACCATGTTCAGCAGCTGCACAGGGTTGGACAGCACTTCGTTCGCGGGGAGATGCACTTGAGAGAGACCCATGTATATAGCGAGGAGATGAATCTCGGTCAGGCACGCTACGTGGTCCATGCCGATCCAGTTGAGAAAGGGACCGCCGCTGTGTGGTCTTGCAGAATTGGCTTTGCCTTCTAGCGAAGCCAGTATCTGAGCATGGTTGAGTTGCACCGCCTTGGCTCTTCCAGTCGTACCTGGTGTCAGCATCAGAACCGCCGGGTCGGAATCAGAAGGAGGGTCAAATAAAGGTAGCAGCGACATCGATCGACTCATCGTAGCAAGACTTTGAGAAGTTGTCTCTGCAACCGGTAACTTCTTGGCAAAGTCTTGCAAACAGTATGAGCCTGAAAGCGACTGAGGTACTATGCATGATGGATCCTTCAACAAGATGCGTAGATGCGAGAGGTGCTCTGATCGACCAGGCTCAAGAATCGATGTGTTTGAAATTGCCGGCAATAGCCCCGCGATCACAGTCGACCAAAACCAGATGATTGTGTCCAGGGTGTCGTCGAGACACAGCAGAACGACATGGCGTTTTCCGCCGATGCCGTCAGATGGCGGGCACAGCCGTTGGAGAACCTGAGCATTTGTTCGAGCCAGACAGAGCAAGTCTGAATATGACACGACTGTTGGCGCGAGATCTCCAACTGTCCCGTCTACTTTGTAGGCTATGATTGAGTGAGATGTAGACTCGGCGGCATTCCGAGTGAGGTCGATGAGGGTTGGTCCTTGTCCATCCCTTTTGGCCGGATTCAGGGGCTCCATTGCTTCGAGAAATATGGCAAGAAGCTCATAGGTAGAGGCTCAGATAGGCAAGAATTGTGCGGAGCAAATGGCTATCACTCTCAATCTACACCGTCACGTAACGATCCTGTATGCGATGTTCCAGTCGTCAGCATTCGAAAGCATCAAGGCCAGCTTAAAGGGGGAGAGACTTGAACAAGAATAGGAGCAAAAAACACTTTGGACGCTCTCGGGATCGTTTACCCGAGCCTATCTGTCATCGATGAATCTCAAAAGATTTGTTTGGCAATTCTGTGTGGGTGACCACCTGTGAATACCCAGCAAACTGCGCGGGGTGGGTGCAATATTACGCCACCATGCATTCAGCACAAACAATTTCAAGGTTGATAAACGTTGAGAGAGTCTTGATTGGATGGCCTGGCATACCAACATTCCTCACCAAGCTGATCTCTTGCAACACAGCAGGATGACTAGTCACTTCCCAAGCAAAGATCGAAGCTGTTCATAACAGAGTCCTATATACGGCACAGTTGCCAAAAGTTCCAATTTGTACATGAAGACAGAAACCGTATAGGTCACCGAGAAGCACCCGAGCCCCCCTTCACATCAAGGAAGAAGACCTACTGCAAAGCAGTAACGACCGCGTTATAAGCCGCCTTGGGGTTATAGTTGGCATCAAACAAGAGCGGGTTGTTCTGCGCTCTCCAGCTATCGGGGTCCCGCACGCCCCAGACCGTGATACCAACGCACTGCGGAACCTGCAGACAGGCCTTTGTCACAGCAGTGTAGTCAGCCGCGCTGGCGCCGACAATGTCCAGCTCCGTAATGGCGACCTCCTTGACGCCACTGCCGGCGAGGGTCTGCAGAGCGCCGAGGGCGTTGCCGCCTTGGTTAGCTTGGAGATGGGCTTGGGAGCCTGGCGAGCAATCCGTTAGTATTCATGCATGGTGACCAAGTAAGAGTGTGTTGGACTGGCTTCAGCACGTACCGATACCATCAATGGGGATGCCCTTGCCGATCCACTCCTTGACCTTGCGAGCCATCGCCTGCGTCTTGGCGTAGCTGGCTTGGTCGAGGTTGTAGTCGTTGATGTACAGCTTGGCGTTGGGGTCCGCGGCCCTGGCGGCGCGGAAAGCGATGCCGACAAAGTCCTCGCCGAGGACCTGCGAGAAGACGGAGGAACGGAGGGAGCCGTCCTCGTTGAAGATCTCATTGACAACGTCCTAACCGCACAAGTTTCAGTAAAGTTGGTTTCCTAGAGAGAAGAAGAAGAAGGTGGGCGTAGACCCACCCAGTGGTAGATCTTGCCCTTGTACCGGCCAACAACTGCCTTGATATGGTCCTCAATGACGGTCGTCAATCCAGCCTTGTCACGAACGTTATTCACCCAGCCCGCAAGCTGGGAGTGCCAGACAAGAGTATGCCCGCGGACAAGCTTGCCGTTCTGTTGCGCAAAGTTGACGAGGTAGTCGGGCGTCGCCCAGTTGAACTGGCCGCGGTTGGGCTCGATCTGGTCCCACTTCATCGAGTTCTCCGGCGTGACCTGACCAAAATTGGCCTTGATGATGTCGGCGTTCTTGCCGGCAGTCAGGCGGTTCTGGTCGGTGCAGGTGCCAAAGTAGTGCTTGCCCTTGGCCTTGATCAGCTTGTCGATGGACTGCGAGGCCTGCCTCTCCTCGAGGGGAGCGGCGAGGACGGTGATGGGTGCCAGGAGGCAGACGAGGCTCGAGGAGAACTTCATTGTGAGCGATGAGGTGGGAAAGAGTGGACTTCGTTGCTGTGAAGGGTATATTCCATTGTCTTAGCTGGTCGCCTTTATAGAGTTGGCGATTGTGCTTTCGGATAGATGGAGGCTCTCTAGCCAACACATTTGGCTTGACCTTAGATGAAGGACCACTCATTTGCTTAAAGTGCTACTATACAATAACCATAATCCGAATTGCTTATTTGGGCACGAACCAAGGCCAAACGAAGGACTCGCAAATGCAAAGACAAGGATCTCGGCCCCTTCTGGAAAGCCAAGTTCGGTGGTAACAAGCCGTAATGACACGTAAGGTGTTGTTCATCGTGTAAGAAGCGGATACCAGCCGGCCTGGAAAAAAGGCACTTCCCCTAGTAATGCGGGGAATAAGCATGGTTGATGGCGGCTGAATGTGTTAGTCCCTTGGGGGCATCCGGCAGTGACATTACCCAAGGGGACTAGTCATGGATTGGACATCGCAGGACGCACTCAGCGGCAACGAGCTGGTCATGCAGTGGCCTCGTGCTCTTCAGATAGATTGCTAGCTATTGCTAAGGGCGGCTGAAATGAGGCGCCTAGGTAGCATCCGAACTTCGCGAGATCCGAGTTTGGCGAGCCTCGGTAGCTGCAAGAGGCCACCCTTGTTCGATGCGTACCGAGTGAAACCCTAGGGGCTTGGCCACCACTGCTGCCGCTTATGAGGGGCCTTCCACCATTCCTCCGGGCTACTTGATATGCCAAGTAGCGTTTCGGATGACGGGTATACGCCATAGAGCCGGGGAATTATTCTAGATTGATGTAAATTGCTCTTATTTCACGGAAGGGGCACATGATTGCCCGTCCTGACGATCTCATCCCTGGAGGGTCGAAGGGTGTAAGGATTATCTTACGTCCGCTCTGACGGAGTGGAAGTCATAGTCGTGGCTCTGAATTAAACTCCTCAGTCGAAGTTCGTCCAGCGGACTGCTCTCAAGTGGATGGGAGGAGAACTGATGCAGCAATAAGATTGCTGGCCTTGTTTATAGTTGTACCTGATTTGACGAGGCCTCGATGAATCAGGAGTTGGCACTGGCAATGAGGTCGCTGATTAGATTTTTGATCGGTTCAAAAACCTCTTCATCATCGCCAGGTGGCACAAAAACCTTGATGCGCCCCTCTGAGAGCACGAACCCGCCGCAAGCAATCTTGGTGACCCTCACGCCGGGATGGAAGAGATTCAGGGCGAGATGCTTCTCCAAGTAGGCCCCCAAGGCATGCAAGAAGGCTTCTTGCTGCTCTTCTTGGCCGTCAACCCATCCCCATCCTTCGTCCGCCTTGCCGCCCGCGAGCTTTTTTCTCTTTCTAGGATCGTCTTGGTAGCCTTGAGTGAGCCCTGCGTTGTTGATAATCGTCGGTTTCGTGAGCGTTCTCCCTTCCTTTGTAAACCGCTTGAGTTCCTCAGCCGGTATGATGATGTCGATGGACTTGATTCCGAGCCCGTCTGGGGGTTGTTCGTCAGTGCCATCTGAGGTCACTGCGGGTGGTATGTAGAAGCCCAGGGTCAAGACCATGTCTTTTGCTAGAGGGCCTTGTGAGGGGAGACCGGCATCTTCGATCCACCGTTCCCATGCGGTAGTCAGGCCTTTCGTACCCAGGCGTAATGAACTGATCCGGCAGTCGAATGTGCTTGACAGAAAGTCAACGATGACTGATTTCAAAGGTGCAGGCATGCGAAGGAGAAGCAGAGGTAGATGCAAAAAGTGCCTGTCATCTTTTGTGCCGCTGCTGGTGAGCAACCCAGGCACACCGAGGCTATTGGCCGATTGCAGTCCGGCGGTAGGCTCTTCCGTGATCTTGTCAGAAAGCGATGGTAGCAGCACAGCCGTGCACAGCGCGTTCTCGTATCTCATCTCGAATACAAGGCATCTCTTCTTGCGGACGGTATCGTCGGTCTCGACAGCATCGCTGCTAAGATCTCTGCTCAGATCGGGGTCTGTATCATCCGCGCCGCCTAGTAGAGCTTCCACGCCAACCCATCGAATGCCAACTTTTTCCAGCGGACCGGCGCGTCCTAGAGAGCTGTCGCTGCCTTCCAGCCCAACCTGTACACCTCTCACGACATCTCCCACGAGAGTGTCGCGCAAGCGCTGGGAAAGTGCCTGTAATCGCGGAAAGCTCAAAGTATTGGCGCCGACGTAGAGCGGCGATGCGCGGTGGGTGGAAAAGGTGGTGTTGAAGAAGGGCGGAGGCGGTTCGCGCTCCTCGAGGGACGACGGAGATGGTCTGTCGGGAAGCACTTCGGAATCGAATTCGGCCGCGGCCGCACGAGGGCGACCACGAGGAGGCATTGCGATGAGCCGGCGAAGGTGCTGGCGACTCGGGGAATGGGTGCGGAAGCGGCGATGTCTTGAATTGGTACTTGGTCTAACGATGACGCGTTGGTACTGGCTGAGTCTGCGGCTTTATCGATTGACACCAGGTTCGTAGCAATCGCCTAAGTTGAATACGCGTCGGTCAGCGATTTCTCTCGGTATTGTTGATTGTAGGTTTCGCCGAAGCACGCAGATGCTGTGTGTGAGGTAGCTGTGATGCGTAGAAGGTAAGGAAGATGGCCTGCTGAGCTAACGTGGGGCCAATTGGCGATGGCACTCAGGCATGGGCAGATAAAATATTGATGCCTGCAATGATGATAGAGACGAATGTCTGTAGGTAGATGTTCCGAAGTAGAATGAATACACTATGTATAGTAACAGAGGAACCTCGCCTAGGGTCATGGTGTGTAAGGTAGAATTGAAATGCAGATTCTCCGGGCAAGAGGCACAGCGGCGAAAGGTACCCGGAGGCAGGTACCTCACAGAGCACCTGCACGCCGTGCCGATTTTGTGGATCCATCGGCGCCAGCTCCGGAATTTGCGCCCCGGACGGGTTTGGAATGGAAACACCCAGGATGGTCCAATCAAGATCACTTCTCGTAGAGTCTCACAATTGTTCAATTTCGGATTGTACTCAGACTGACTTGAAGGTTACTCACCAAGCTGGACACAAACGAGCCTACTCACGTTCTAAAGTGAGCGGAGGCTACAGTATTCAATACCACCAGGCTAGGCGCTTCCACAGTTAAACGTCTTCATAACAAATTCCAGCATAATGCTTAGGCCAAAATATCGTATGGGCCTTGAGATGAACAATGCATGCTACATTTCGAATTCAACCTCAGCAAATCTTGCTAGACCACATTCGCCAAGTACAACATATCTCCCCAAGCTCTTATTTCAGTCCAAAGGTATGAAGTCAAGATGCAGGCTCGATAACGCGCCTTCTGGTCTTCTGTTCGCATAGTAGTACACTGCTCCAAACCAACGATTCTACGCCAGTCATGCCATATTGCGCCTGGCCCTTTTTTAGTTCCGAAACCCTTTTCATGTCGTGAGATGTCGCCGATGAAGCACTCTAGATAACTCCAATGAAATGACGCCCAATATCGCTCAAACACCCATATCCAGTATGTATGTACACAAGGTATGTACATGTCTTTGGTATGTATCACGCGCCTACGGAAAAACCAAAGGACCCGTCAAACACGTCCATCTTGTTGAAGCCAGGGTTTTCTCTCATGGCCAAGAGATCGTCAATGGTAGGGACCTCGTTTGTCGCATAAAATCTGAGAAGGTTTTCCATGTCCTCGTCGGTGAGATCGCAAATCTCTTCCCAGTCGAACTTGTTGCTGACTTTGATCATCCTGTTGTTCAATGGTGAATATCTCTTATAGTGAGTTAGAACACACCAGACAAGGGTTCAGACGTACCAGCCCATGCGCTTAGGGCTTTCCTCCGAGTTCGGAGCCATTTTGCGCAGCTTCGCTCTGAGAGTACCAATGGCCTCGATGGCGTTGCCGGCATTCTTGGGAAGCGACTTTGCGATATGCCGCCGGATGATGGCAGCCAGTCTGGGGCCCTTGCCATTGGTGCTGACCATGATCTGAAGGGGGCCGTCACGGTGGACACTGCCAAAGTAGAAATCGCATTCCGGTGGTACGTCGGCGATGTTGGCGGGCACTTTGCGTTCCTTGCAAAGCTTCCAGATTACAGTAGAGGCGACCGGGTCGTCAATGGCAACAAGAACCATGGCTGCGCCATCTAGGTCGGAGGGTTCGAAGAGACGATCGACGTGGGTAACTTGGGCTTGTTCAACACGGTGGGCTACTTCGGGATTGAGGCCAGAGGCGGGGCAGACAACGGTGACATTGGCATCGGCATCGAGGCAGTTGAGAATCCGACCTGCGGCAACCTATTCCAGGCAGACAATCAGCATTCAACAATATGATCCGACAGCAATGGAATGGCACGAGGGAAGAGTCATTTCTGGTGCAAGAGAGAGCTCTAGCTACGCCGCGGAGATGCAGCAGCAGTAGGCTGTGCAACATAACATACCTCGCCTCCTCCAACAACCAGAACCTTCTTTCCCTTGATCTGCCATGCCAGAATCAGGCTCCCGCCGCCCTTGACTTCGGGGAACTTCTTCGTTGATTTGGCGGCCATATTGTACAAGTGTGTGCGTGGTGAAGGTGGTGGTTTATGGGACGAGATTTGACTCTTTGGTGCTCGATGACGAAGGCAACTTTTTGGGCAGCATTTTTGGAGAGATGCAGCTGCCAGGTCGGGGGCGATAAGGCGCAAAGGCCGTCGATAAGGCTGGCGTCCCCACACCGAGGGACGCAATGGCGGTCTGCACGATAGATGTATACCTCGTCCAGAGCTCACCATGTGTGTTGATAGAAGTACCTCTGTATCAGTCGGCACACAGCTGCCCCGCCTTCCCCCTGTCTGTGGGCCCTGGTCAGCGCGTGTGTCCACTAGCGCAGCCTTTAGCGCATGTCTCTAGCGTCCCGGTCTCCAAATCCCGCCGAATGCGTTGCTCCCCAACCCCTGTCGTCCTCCTCCTACCGCCCTGCCATTGCCTGCCATTGCCTCTCCCGCCCGCCGTCCGCCTGCCGTCCGCCCACCGCTTGCTGCTGATTCTCTCCAATCCCTGGCAGGGAAGAGGCCTGACGGGCTGCGCGGGAACCTGCAACTTGGAACTGCAACTGGAACTGGAACCAACCTGCCCTCCGCTAAGGTGCCCGTGAGCTGAGGTGACGGCGCCGTCACCCGTGAAGACGAACCACCGCCACGAACCACTTGCACTTGCACTTGCGACCTGCGTCTGTCATCTGCCATCTGCCATCTACACCATCAAAACCCCCCCGCCCTTCCGACACGCTCAAATCCCGATCCCGCCGAGACGACCCGAGCAAACGAACATCGACGTCCCCTCCTTTCCACCTCCGATTCATGGTCTCGTAGCTATCGTCCTCCCGTCTTCCACGATGTCCGGCCGCAAGCTGGGAGGCGGCCGCATCTTGGGCAGCGGCAAAGGCCTCGCCCCTCCCACGCCTCCCGCCATCAACGGCCACCAACGCACACCTAGCCCCTTTGCTCCCTCAGAAAGCACTCTGTCGCTCAACTCCTCCTCGGCCTCGCCTCCAGTCTCGAGCCCTTTACCCGACTTTGCCCAAGATCTTGGTTCCAACATTAGTGTTGGAGGCCCCTCTCGAGCTGCTACTTCCAGTTCCAAACTAGTCTGCCCAATATGTGAAGAGGAAATGGTCCGTTCAACCATGTGTCGTGTATGAGAGAGAAGCTTGCTAACAGCGAACCACAGTTGACCCTGCTTCAACTCAACAGGTGAATTTGGCTTTGCGTCCTTTGCGACAATGAACTCTAGTCTCTGACCCTCCCTCCTCAGACACATCGACGATAACCACCAAGAACTTCCCGAAGTCGAACAAGATGAGGTCCGCACCTGGTTCGACAAGCAGGTGCTCAAGGCCAAACGGTTCCAACCACTTTCTATAATCAACCAAAAATTGCGAGGTCTCGATGTCTTCGAATCCAACGAGTCCCTGCCCATTGCCCCGCCTACGACTGCGAAGCTCATTGAGGGACCGATAGATCCGGACGAGCTCATTACACGATCGCATTGGCAACGACAAACGAGCAACGACCGATGCACCGACCCAACGTGCGGAAAAGGCCTTGGAGCTGTCAATGGAAGCATCAACTGTAGGAATTGCGGCAGGTTATTCTGTGAGGAGCACACCATGTACCAGATGAAGCTGTCGAGGTCTGCCCACCACGACCCCGTGCGGGGATACTGGGTCCGAGTCTGCGAGACGTGTTACAAGTCGAGAGATGGCTACAACGACCACAACGGTGTCCTGATTGACCACACCTCGACATTTGCGGAGATGCGACGGAAGAGGGTGGAGAGGCAGAATCTCGAAGTGGCTAGGCTGGAAAAGCGTTTGACCAAGCTGACGCAATTGCTTGCGAATGCGCCCGAAGGTGTCACGACAAATGGAGGAAGTCTGCTGTCACCTGTCGCCGCCCTCGCGGGTCAGAAGAACCAGAGGAAACTGATTGAGCAGTCGGTCGTTACTTGGGAAGATGACGCCTCCGTCACGCAATGTCCATATTGCCAACAAGAGTTTGGATCTTGGACGTTTAGAAGGCACCACTGCCGGATATGTGGCAGGGTGGTCTGCGCCGATCCACTTACAGGCTGCTCGAGTGAAGTGGGCTTGAGCATTGCCAGTCGTGAGTCTCAATCCACAACATCATTATCACGCGTAGCACGCCTAACAGTCTCAGCTACGAGCCCTGCGACGGAGAAGCCCCCGACGGCGGCACAGCCTGGCCAACTCAGCATCGACGTTCGCATGTGCCGCGAATGCAATCACACAATCTTTGCGAAGCGTGACTTTGCGTCAACCATCTCCCACAAGCCAGCTGACCAGCGAGCATACGAGACATTGCGCCAGTTCGAACGCGGTATTCGCCAGCTTATGCCCATCTTCCAACGAACATTACTCGCTCTCCAGCCAGAGGGGGACGATGGGGTCGAATCATCAAAACCACCTCCCACACATGCCCAGATTCAGGAGGCTTCAAAGATCAGGAAACGTCTTACCGATGCATTTACCAAATACGATACGGCCGCCCGTCGACTCCGCGATATGAAAACTACCTCCAAGACACAGCTTCGCCTACAGCAAGCCGTCTACGCCGCCGCCTCTACATTCCTACATACCCATATGTTGACCCTGAAGTCGGTACCTCAAATCCTACGCTCTCGTTCATCACAGGCTTCTCGCCTCCGAGCCCTGCAGTCTGGCAACGTGAATGGGTCCTCGTCGTCCCTACACCTCTCGCCCCTCCGTAACCAAGAGCTCGCCGAATCCGAAACAGCAAGCCAGGCAAGCGAGACCAGCACAGCCGTATCAGCGCTCGAGACGGAAGAGAAGGAGGCTCGTGAGCGTTTGGTGGTCCTGGAGGAGCAGCGCTTCATGGTACAGCAAATGGTGGACTCTGCTCGGGATGCGAGACGGTTTGAGGAGGTTAGTGCGCTTACGCGCAATGTGGAGGAACTGGACAGGGAGATTGAGAGGGCCAAGAAGTTGGTGGGTGGTGTTGAGGAACGATGGGAGGGCCTTTATGCGTCTGGCCTGGCGAGGTGAGAAATCTCACGAAAATGACAAAGCAGGGAAGAAAGGAAAGAGGGGATGAAGGTTTAGCGATTCAGTGTTTTCATGTTCAGAATTTCACAGCAGCATTGCAAGGCGTTTTGGGGAGGGAACAAACAAAGTCGAGAAGCTTGGTACCACCACCACCCCTGGGATATTTCATAGGTGGGCAAAGCATTCATAAGATAGCCTAGGCATGAATGAGGACGCTTTGGGATACCTCAACAAGTCTGAAGATCGAAAAGACTTGTAATTGTTGAAAGCCTCGTCTTGTATGATGAAGACGAATAAATAATATCATGATATTCTGAGCTGAGCCTCGCGCGCGCATCTCCTGATTTGCCTCCCTCACTCCCCTCAAACGCCATCGAGTAAAATAAAACCAGGCAAAAGACCACCGCTCCTCTCTTCGAACATATGAATACTTGCCAAAACGGTCGGATTGGCGTGAGTAAAAAAAGGATGCTTCTCCAACATAGGGGTATGACAATATCCACACAAAATAGCTCTTTCTCCTGAGAGCACTTCTTCTTTCTCCCTCGAGACGCGACACCACCAACTATGGTATGTTAGTGCACCACACCCTCGACGCCGCCGAGGAACCGCCTCACACGCTCCACTTCCAACTCGCCCTTTTCACTCTCCACCGCCCTCAACAGACCATCAACGACAGCATCGACCTGGTCCTCGGGCTCCCCCGTACACATGGCCACCACGCGCCGGTACTTGACCTCGAGGTCCTTGCTCCTCCCCTTGAGCGCGCCCGCCATCTTGCGCGTGACGTCTCGTCTCGCTGACACGGCGCTTAACCTCGCCTTGAGGGTCGCCGCCGAGGGCAAAAGGCCGCCCTCGCCATTCGTGCCGGCCGTCTCGAGCGCCGCGCTGAGTTCCGTCTCCCATGACGATGAGAGGGCATTCGTTCGTCCCGCCCGGTTCTGATCCTGCGTGAGGCGCACTTGTTCTTCCTCGCGAGCGTGGCTCAGGTTTGAGACTTTTTGCCGCGCGAGTTGCTGTTTGCGTAGAGTTGCCTGCATGGCCTCGAGGTTTCTCTTGGCCTCACCTAGTTGGGCTGATGTTGTGCGGAGGGTGGTGTGGAGAGACTCGATGACGGCCTGTTTTGACTTCACTTCGCTTTGGAAAGTCGAGCTTGCTTCGGTAAGGAGATGTGTAATCGCTGATGGAATGTCAGTTTGGTGATGTGGTAAAAGGGGAACACTAGACTTACATGAAATAATATCATCACTGCTTTCCTTTGTCGGTTCACTGCTGACGAGTCCGTTCTTCTCGACATCTCCGTTTGTTGCGTTGCCATTGGCTCCGTTGATGATCTTGGAAGCTTCATCTGCAGGTTCACCCCCAATGCCAAAGTCTACGGGCCGCAGACCAGCGCGGTTGGCAATTTCGCCATCAGCGCCGACCTCTAGCAGTTGTGAGATGATGCTTCGGTTGCCTATCCGTGCTGCGATGTTCAAGGCCGTGTCGCCGGCATGATCTTGGGCATTGACAATCTCCGACATGAAGCGAGCGATACCCATTTTGGGCTGTGATGATGGCTGGGATTGTGAGCTGGCTGGCGCACTCTCTCCCTTGCCGTTGGCAGCGAGTTGTCCGTTAGGATTGCTGCCTTGCCGCACGACCCATTCCAGGAGACTTTCTAGGTAATACCGGCTTGCTGCATTTCTGCCCTTAACAGCGCTCGTCATAGCAATATGGTGCAGAACGGTCCGTCCCTTGCTGTCGCGAACCTCGATAGTGCTTCCGAGAACATCGAGGAGATCGGGGAACTGTCCCAGGTCCATAGAGTTCGTCACAACACATGCCCTAACCAGAGCGGTCTCTCCAGAGGCATTGACTCGAAAAGGACTGGCTCCTGCTGCAATGAGTGCCCGCAAGAGAGACATGCGTGATAATGTAGCCGCCCAGTGTAGGGCAGTGTGACTTTGCTGGTCGATAGGCATGTCCAGCTCAATGGGGGCTAATGTTCGCAGCATCTCATGCTTTGACTGATCCGAGGTTGCTGAGTCCATGAAAAGGCTCATGAGCATGCTACGCTTCGCTTCCGCATCGGGAGACATTTCGAATGGTAGAGGGCTCAGAGGGCTGTGGCCGTCGTGTGGCGGAGCGTTAGCTTGAGAGTAGATGAAAGATTCGTTGGGTTCTGTGGGCGATCCGGGAAACTGGTTCTGGTACATCTCCATAGAGTTGTTGTTATATCCAAAGCTGTCTTGCGGCGTCATGGTTACCCGCTGTCGCTTCCTAGGCGGCTCTGGGCCATCAAACTGCTGACTTGTTTGTTGGGTCGAATAGGCCGAGTCGTTCTGGTTACCGTAGTCGGAAGCGAAGCTTTGCTGTGAGTTGCCCGGGAAGTCATCGCCATTCTGCATAGAGCTCTGGCGGCTGAAGCTGGGCGCCTTGGTCGGTCCGTTACGGCTTCTCGGGCCGGGTGAGTCGAATCGCGCCTTGCTGATAGCAGCGACAGCGTGCGACGCAGTGGTTGAAATATTCTTAAAAAAGGTGCCGTTGAGACCGGCCATGGCGTTCGTCCTTGCCTCGTTCCCGGCATTGTACATTCGTTTCCTCTGCGCAGCCATGGCCTGCTCCTTGGTCGGGGTGTTGAAGTCTCCTCGGCCTGCAACTCCTCCATCCTGACCCATATCGTACGTCAGCAAGGGGCGCAAGACCTCTTCTACGCCGTATTGACGGCAGACTTCGACGCCTCGGTCGAACTTGATCCAGGTGCCCTGATATTTTCCGTATCCTCCCTGGACCTTTTCGTGCTCGCCAGTCTGGATCTCTTTTTCGAGTATCTTTGTGCGCTTTCCCTTGTCGACACCGGCCACCTTGAGGATTTGTGTGGCATTGAGCCAGCTGTCTTGCCGCCTGCGCATAACGGCGACACCATTGACTTCCATCTCGTAGACGTCAACACCGGAATAGACGGCCTAGTTGCGCTTGTCAGTGCGACTGTCCAGTATGGCGAACTGCGACATTGGGGTAGCGCGACCACAAGCAGGGCCGGTACTTACGCTGTAAATCTGCGGGGCCTCATTGGCGAGCCTCGAGTCCCCTCCATAGGCTCGATAGCCGCCCTGAGATTGCTGGCTCATTGTGAAGGACTGTTGGGATGATGGCTGTGATTGCGATGCGGAAGGCATCACTGCTGTGGAAGCGGGATTCCCGCGATTATCGTGGTGTCGGGCGGTGGACAAGGAGGATTTGCGGCGGGAATTGAGGGAGTGGGAGGGTTGGCTAGTTGTGAGGGTGGTCGAAGACATGTGCCAGCGCTAGCACATTGGAAGCGAGCAACCGATGGTAAGGCGATGTGATCGGTAGGCGGAGAGGAGGCGAGAGGGGTTGTAGAGGAACAGAGCTCTAGATAAGTGAGGCGATCAATCGACGTTGAGAAGTATGGCTTGGTCTTGTCGTTGTAGAGGCCGAGAAGATGAAGAGGGTATAGAGTGGATTCGGGGGTTGCGCTGATTCGAAATGCGAAATGCGAAATGCGTGCACCCGCGGCCGTCTTGTTCCCTTTGGTCTTTGGTTGGGGGCTCGTTGTGCGGTGCGTTGCTTTGCGGTGCTTTGCGTTGCGCCACCTTTGACCGGGTGCTTTGTGTGCCTTGTGCTGGGTACCTTACTATACTAGGTATGCGGATGCAGTAGCTATACCATAGGTAGCAGTAACGACGGAAGATGGAAGATCAAAGCAGGGCAGCTGGAGGGACCAGCAGCAGCAGAGTAGAGTCGTGGGTTGTGAGTGGAAGGCTGCAAAGGCGAGGTTTGGGTGGTAGGCGGCTATTCTCCAAGGGAGAGAGAGAGAGAGAGAGAGGTGTCTTTCGGGTTCGAGCCAAGAGCAGAAAGAGGCGGTGGATTTGAGGTTCAGACAGGCGCAAAAAAGTGCCACCAAAGGAAGAAGGATGAGGTTGAGATTGGAGCGTCCAGACAACGGCAGACTGGAGAGCAAGTGGATATCTGACAGAGTTCACAACTGCGAGTATTCGTCGCTTTGGTTGCCGGGTCCGAAAATGAAAAAGGGCCCGCGGCACTGGGCCCGAAATGGGAATTTCAATTAACGGTGTTGGGGACGTGTCTGTTTCGCGAGGGCGTGTCTTGCGATGTGAGCGTGTCGCGCGTCTCAATTTACGCACCTGTGCTGGGAACCTGGAAGTGGTGGAAGGGTGCGGGAGACGGCTGACTCAAGGGCGGGAACTTGGGAAGGGAGGCACAGGGGAGGAGGGGGAGAATTGGTGCTTTCCCATTCGTTAAGCGAGAAGCACAGGCCACCATTCCTCCGTTCAGCGATGTATCACCTATTACCTAAGCTGCGAAGATGGGGTATCTTAGGAACGTATCTTTCTGACTGTGCGCCGGGCTCCAGGATGCGGAAGGTTCCCCCTAGGCCTCTGCTCCCCTTCAACGCGTTCTTGACAGTGGAAGGAAAGGGCGTGACGCGTCTCACTGTGCTGCTTCCCTTCACGGCCACACTTATCAGACCTCTTATCGCGTCTCTGCCACCTCCCCCCGCCCCGAGGGGTCATGGAATGGAACTCAAGCATGATTCTCATGGCAGAAGGAGGGGCAGTCAATACGCTCATGTCAAGTCTCCCACTCATCCAATCACCCGTCACTTCATGAGGCAAGGTACGTACGGAGTACCATACAACATGTGCAATGCTCTCAGTCACGGATAATCAAGTGACAGCTCACCTTCCCTATTGTTCTCATCAGTCTCTGAGTAGGAACTTAATCTTGCACTTGGCGTAGGAAGTACGACAGCGCCTTGGGTTTTGGCTTTTAGACAAAAGTCATGTCACTATTCCTACATCTACTCCGTCTCTTCTCACTCGTCTTTGTGAATTCTCATTTTCAAAGTGAGGGAAGCCGAGCAACAACCGGGTAAAAAGGCCCCACCTCCGGAGCTTGGGCCAGTCGGACTCAGCCCAGCCGAACCAACGAACCAACGGGCAGCAGCGGCGCAAGAGGACGGTGCAGGTCCTGTCAGGGCAGTTTCTCGTAAGGTACGGATAGCTTGATGCTCCCATCCTCTGCATTGTCATCTGCATGCATCCTGCTCGACATCGCACATGCGTCTCTGCCCGACCTGCCAACAACCATGATGAAGAAAAGACCGATCTCGCCCTAACCTCCTCACCCTCCGATTGACCTTTCCTCCCTCTTTCGCCTTCCCGTCCGTCCGTCCTTTGCGACGAGGACCTTCACCGATACTGCCACAATGCAGACTCGAATACCTCTGCCACGGCCAGCGCAGCCGTTGCATGTCTACCGTCACCTGCTGCGCTCTGCCACCTACTTTCCTCCCTCAATACGACCGTTCCTCGACCATCGCATACGGACTGCTTTTCGAGACGAGCGAGACAGAATGGCTGAAAGCGAGCTCAACATTCCCGAATCCCTCAACCCAGCAGAAGCTCGAGAAAGGGAAGAGGACCGGCGAAAAAAGGTCCTTGCCGACGCAAAACACAAGCTTCCTGTGCTCCAGGCTGCCCTTGAAGGCGATCAAGCCCGTCTACGACGTGTCATGTGGCATGCCTTCGGCCGACTTGGCAAATCCCGCCGCGAGCTTATGGCCTCATTTGTCCAAAAGGCGCCGGACCCCAAGGCCGACCCTGCCAAGCTAGAAGAGCTCGCAAAGAAAAAGGAACAGCACAAAAAGATGATGGAAAAGCGCGCCAAAATCCATCCTTGGAACCGCGAATACACCTGGGACGAGCCCACGCCCTGGCTTCGGCAACATCTCAGTCCCATGGAGGAAAATTGGGACCTCCCCAAGCTGGATCGATACCTCAGGGCGCAAAAGAGTCACCAGCGCAACACCACGGGCGCCGCCTTTCCTAGAGGCACAATCGGCGATCTTGATCCAGAGAAAGATGTACCCGAGAAGGACGGCTGGGGCCGTCCAGTCGCATTACGGAGAGTGACGAAACTCACAAGAAAGTTCTGGAAGGCCCAGGCCGACAAAATCATGCCTCCGGTATCGCAAGCAGATTGGGAGTCTTTACAGCAGCTCGCATCTGGAGAGGCGCCTCCTGAGATGTACAGGATGTTGCAACGACGGCCTATCGCCGGCGGCCCCGTCGAAGCGCCTCAAGATGCTATGACCAGCGAGCGGTCTTCGATACTCTCTGACAACGATGGAGACGAATGGGAATCGCGGGAATCGCGGGAACCGTGGGAGTGGCAATCTTCCGCCCACATCCCTGCTCGTGAGACTGAACGATCAACTCAACGAAAGCTCGAATTGCTCACCGGCGAGAAGGACCTTGGGCCATATTCGCAAGCACGTCGCCTCCGTCTTGAACACAATGAGAAGACGGATCGACTTCAAATTGAGAATGTCAAACGCAGCGCCTTCTCCAAGCGTGCTGTGCGGCGCGAATATCTCAAGATGTGGCAGGCAACCTCATACATGAAGGGGGCCGAAAGCAAAGCGGCAAGGCCTGTGTGGGGTCGTGTGGAACTAGAACTGCCCGTGGTCACTGCGACGCATCATCATTTCTTCGAAGGCGTCGATGCTCAAGGCCGCGTACCGAAGCCAGAGCGACACGAGTCTACAACGACGAGCAGCACTATGCCTGAGGATGAGAAAGCTCAGTCTAGAAGTGCAGAGCAAGTCAGTTCTGGTGGTGGAGCCGGTGCGACTGGCGAGCCTCGGTCTAAGTCGCCTGATCCCGACAAGCCCAGAACACCTGGAGACATTGAAGCAAGATCCCGTGACTTGAAGCATTCCAAGCCATCCAGACCTCCACGTCAAGTCGACAGCACGGCAGGTAGCTTTGGAAACTTCAAGTTCTCCAAGTCTAGAGATCATAGGCAGCGAGACACAAAAAACACCAATTCGAGTGACTCGAGGCGAGCATCTTTGACATCAACATAGGCGGACAAAGTCCTTGGTACGATAGACGTCACACCGCCTCTAACATATCCATCAATCCAAAGACGCCCTGGGAGGCTAGAACGACGACAGAATCAAGAGTCCGAATACCACAATGGCCGGATCATCCTAACAAGAGGTAAATGAATACCACAGATAGTGAGGCAGAGCATCTCAGAAAGGTGTCCTCTGGAGCAGCTGCGTTGCTGATCTTACACTTTAACGATGTATTATATGATTGTAACTATATCTTTTCTTTCGGTAGAGTCTGACTCTCTCACGAATCAAGCAAGCCAGCCAGCTTCGGCAAGGCGTCGCCATCGACGCGCATGCCAACCCAGTCGTTCATGGCCTTTGCGCCAATGGACTCGTAAAACTTGATACTCGGCTCATTCCACTTCAAGACGGACCACTCGAGCCGCCCGCCCTCCATGGCGACGACTTCCTTGGCCAGCTCGACGAGCAATCGCCTGCCGTAGCCCTTCTTGCGCTCCGACAGACGCACGTAGAGGTCCTCGAGGTAGACGCCCGGCTTGGCGCGCCAGGTGCTGTAGTTGTAAAAGTAGAGGGCCATGCCGACGCCCTCGCCGGCCTCGTTGAAGAGGAGGAGGCACCGCGCGGGCTTGGACGGTGATGTGGGCTCCGTTTGGGGTTTGCCTGGCGTGTAGGTCGTCGTCTGGGGCGACGAGGGCGCAAAGGCGATAGTGGCGCCGAGGGTCTCTTCTGTCGCGAGGACGCTGTCGAGCTCGTGCTCGTAGTCTGCGAGCTCTTTGATGAGGCTTAGGATGGTGGGGATATCTGGTGGGGTGTTAGTCCTTGGTCTCGTCTGCCCCGTCGTTCTGGGGATGGAGTGCCTTACCCTCCCGGCGGGCGTGTCGGACAGATGCCATCTTCAGGTGTACAAGATGGTTGCTATTGTAATTCTATGATGACCAAGACTACGATATGAAAGACTAGCAGAGCCTCAAATATCGTGATTGAGAGGCAGTATTTGTATCTCTACTATATTCTAAGATGTACTCATAAGATGTTGAGGAACGATCGTCAAGGGCGCGCCTCATGTCATGTGGTGGGGAAGCTTGTATGCAAGTCCCCCTCAGTTGTCCCGGCAGAATCGAGTCGTGGTTTTCACCGCCTGCTTGAATGTTTCATATAGCCTCTCATGGTCGTACTCATTGGGCTACACGAAGAGGAAGCCATTATGAGTCTTTATGAGTATCTATAACATCTCATTTGATCGATAAAGTGTCCTAAATGAAATCGCCAAGAGCATGGTTTGTGATTGTGGAGTTGAGCAGCCAAATCAGTCTTATCGTGAATTACAAAGCATCAACGTTTCATTCCGAAGACCCCGGTCGAATGACTTATAACACTGTCATAAGTCAAATCATTGATGCAGGTACTGCTAGATGAATGTGAGTTTTCCTCTCGTTCAAAACTCAATGGCGTCTTTAACCTCTTAAAATGCATAGGTCCGGCGTTTGGAACGGGAGTTGAGAGTGATGTCCGGCGGGAGAATAGACTCCAACACCATACCTCCCGCCCGTCGCCGACACCGGTCCGGGACGGATTGATAAGTTGATGCTAATACACCCAATGCCGCTTCACAATTGGACCAGGACTGTCCTTATCCTTGCCCAGTGATGATGACATGGACAATGTTCCCGCACGCCATTGACCGAGCCGTCTGAACCCCCAAGAGCGTCCTCTCACCCCACAGAGGTCTACAGTGAGAGTAGTAAGAATTAAGGTCCTCGGCTTGGTTCATTGGTGTCCCCCCACCCCGGCCATCGGTCGCATCGGCGGCTTTCCGACCTGCCTGTTGCGCAATTCGACCCTGCGATGCGCAAACCAGCTCCCCGCACCCCGACGAATCCCATAAAGATGCCGATGGTGGGATTGAAAATGCGACGGTTGGAGCTTTGAGAAGCTTGGCCTGCTTTGCTTTGCGATCATCAGCTGAAACGAAACCAAACCCCTCCCAATCCCGTCGGAGCTTCTCAGATTCTCAAACTCACACAAACGGCTTTCATCTCATCCCGAGTTTACCTCAGCTTTTGCTTTATAAGCTATAAAACCAAGCTTATCGCCCAACCTCTTCTCTCACTCCTGAGATTCTCCCACTGAGGCGTCCCTCATAAAACAACCCACCACACCAATGATCATGCTCCTCCCGCCACCGAACAAGACCCTCAAGGGCCACAAGCTGCTTGTTCTCTCGCAGTTCCCGCTGCCGCAGGAATGGCTGGACAGGGTGCGCGCCGAGTTCCCCGACCTGAAGGTGGTGCATCACGAGCTAGGCTGGGCCGACAGGAAACCGAAAGACAGCTTCAACCATGACGAGTGGAAGGACGTGACGATCCTGCTGACTGGCAGCGCCCTGCCCGCCATTGAGGACGCGCCCAAGTTGCATTACGTCCAGCTCCAAAGCGCCGGCGCCAACCACATTCTCAAGGACCCGTTATTCAAGGATACGGATGTGAGCTTTTGCACGGCGAATGGTGTCCATGGGTGAGCTTTGTCTTTCAGATTTCTAGACATGAGCTTCATACTGACGTGAAGACTCTAGACCTCAGATTTCTGAATGGATTATAACGACATTCCTCTCGTTCCAGCATCAACGTAAGAGATACTTCATCGCAATCATAGATATTCCCGGCATCACTCATCTAACTTCAACGCCCAGTTCCTAAATACATCGACAACTACCGCTCCGGCCACTGGCAACGCGGCAACGATTTCGTAGAAGACGCAGTCGGCCGCACAATGTAAGCCCCTCACTCATACCCAAACCCCCCAGGGCCCATTTCTAACAAATCCACAGAGGCATCCTCGGCTACGGCAGCATCGGCAGACAAACCGCCCGCGTCGCTACCGCCCTCGGCTTCAAAGTCCACGCCTACACCCTCCACCCGCGCCCGACCCCCGAATCCAAGCGCGACGACTCCTACACGCCCCCCGGTCTCGGCGATCCAGAGGGCAAGTTCCCCTCCAAATGGTTCTCGGGCGCCTCCAAGGCCGACCTGCACGCCTTTTTGGGCTCCGGGCTCGATTTGCTGGTCGTCGCCACGCCGTTGACGGATAAGACGAGTCACTTGCTCTCAGCTGAGGAGTTTGGCATCCTGGCGGAGAAGAAGACGTTCATTTCAAATATCGCGCGTGGTCCGATTATCAATACGGATGATCTGATTACGGCGCTGGAGGAGGGGACGATTCGTGGCGCGGCGCTGGATGTTACGGATCCGGAGCCGTTGCCTGATGGCCACCCGCTTTGGAAGGCGAAGAATCTGTTGATTACGCCGCATATTAGCGGGTTGTCTACGAGTTACGGGGACAGGGTTTTGGGGATTTTGGAGTTGAATTTGAAGAGGTTGAGTGAGGGGAAGAAGCTGGCTAATCTTGTGAACAAGAGGGAGGGATATTAGGTCGCTTGTGAGAGGACGGGTTGCGGTAGAGGACTGTAATCTGCGATGAATTGATGAAAGCTAGAAGATATCACAAATTGACTTTGTTTTCAGGTCATGAGGCAGTATGCATGTTTAATGTGCAAGCTATCGATGTGGCCTCGTATCATTACCACCATCGTCCAAAGTCCTTTTCTCGCTCAGATTTCATGCCACATTAGGAAAAGGCGTCTAATTTGCTTTACTTGATTCGAAATGTTAATGTTATGCAACTATGGACATGAAGGGATCATTCTCATACAGGAATGCCATGAAGACGTCACTGTCGTTGCCACCTTCGTCGACGAGTACCAGCTTCCCATAAAGTACAACCTGCTAGTGATTAACTTCGTCTGCTCCTTTTCTTTGAGCTCATCATGACCGCACAATCAGACTGCCGCAACTACAGGCGTAGGCACCTTCTGTTCAGGCGTCTGGTAGGTCGTTGATGGCTGCTCGTCACCGGAAACCTCAGTACCATCACTGTTCTGAGCTTTGCGTATCCTCTTCTCCCTAGCACAAAGTTAGCTTTTGGCCTTCAACTGCTCATGATCAAGCGCGCTTACCCATGAGAACCTAGCAAAATCCTCACAACCTGCGTCATGATGACCAACAGCACAACCATGACGGCTGAGTACACATAGCCCTTGGGAAATCTTGGGGCTTCGACAGTTGGGTACACAAACAGCGGGATCCACGCGTTTGTGGATGTGGCGATGGCCGTCATGAGGATCAATGTCAAAGCCCGCTCCTCGATGTTGTGTTTGAGAATGATGTTGGCCCATCCGTACAGCACCGAGGAGACCGCCACCGCAGAGTACGTGGTGCTAAACGCATACCACTTTGCGGCTTCCGGCACGTTCCAGATCGCCAATATGACCAGTCCCGAAAAATTGACCGCTGACGCCAGAGTGATCGCAGCTGGTCGCCCAATCCACAGATCTGCGCTAAAATTGATGAACAGCACGAAGAAGATTCCCAGCCCGGGGCTGAGCGCGGCCAGGTTGTTCATCTGAGCGGTACTGTATCTGCCGAGACTCTTGATCCACAGCAAGAAGGCAGCGCTATTTGCACTAGTGTTGAAGAAGAGTATATCCCAGATGATCAAGACGTAAAACCGCCAGTTCGTAAAGACTCGTTTCAAAAGATTCAAGGAGAAGGGTGTGCTCTTGACTGATGCGCCGGCCTTTTCCAGACGCGAGCGTGCCAGCTCGAGTTCGGACTCCTTCATTAGTAGCTTGTTTGGCTTCGCAGGCGTTCCGGGCCAGACAAAGTATCCGATTACCGCGAGAGGTAGTGTGATGATTGCGTTGATGATGAAGAGCCAGCGCCAGCCGGCTAGGCCGTGGGTTCCGTCGAGGTATGTCACTGCTGCGGCTTGCAGTAAGGATGCTGTCAGGGTGCCCAGGGTCAAGCCGATGTAGAATATGCCGCCTCTTCGACCGATTTCGTCGCTTCGATACCATGAACCAAGAACGAAGTGGACGCCCGGGAAGTAAGAGGCCTATGTAATCTGTCAGCCTCCAGCCGAGACGGATGGGGTAGAGGAGAAGAACTCACTTCGAAGATGGCCACCATGAACCGATATGCCATGATTTCCGCGTAGCTCTGGGCGCGATACTGTAGCAGAGTAAACAGTCCCCAACCCAGATCTAGGGTCGGAACAAGCACATGCATCGGAACTCTTGGAAACAGGTAGATAAACGGCAAGAGACCGACTACGTTGCCCACCACAAAGATGGTCTGGAACTGGACAAGTTCATTGCCGTGGAAGCCGAGCTCATCGGCCATTCCAGAAACGTACGCATTGTCTATGTTGTTGTTAGCGGCAATTGGAACCCTTCAGAATTCGTCTTGAAGGATTCCCTACTGATGTTGATCTGGTCGATGTACTTGACCCAATAGATGATGCTGCGGATGTATTGTCAGTCTTGTCAAAAATAGCATGCAGAAAGATCGGGACATACAAAGCATAGGGCACGATGAGGAAGTCAAGTTTGAGGATCAACTTTCTTTCTTCAGGGCTGTCAGTCGGTGCGAACCAATGGTACCAACGGCGAATCGACGGAGTTGACATGGCGTATGTGAATGACGTCGTACTTGGACTTGCAACAGTCGCGGACGAAACTTCAGATTCCAAGACATCATCATCTTCTTTGGAAATCGATATTTATTATGGTGAACTTCGACGAAACCTCGGATAGTGCCTTGTTGAAGTCGTCAACGCCGGATCGGAGCACATCACCGGCAGGCGTGGGTCGGGCTTTCCCCGACAACGATCCAGACTCCCACACCCATGGCGAGAGGTTCGGCAATAGAACAGATGTAGTTATTTTCCCGATACCTTATCTCGACTTGACATCCATAAACCGTGGTTGGCTGGTGGTCTTTCCTCTGCATATCGTCTATACGTCTTACCGGGGGTGTTGAGAATGATGCCATCCCGTGGAACATTGCGCAAGCGGGTATGCGGCAGTTGTCATTTTTTTTCCGCGCAGAAACGTAACTCCTGGTTAGAAGAGACTCTACAGTGAGTTTAAGGCCTCGCATTCTGCAACCTAGGTCCCGAATATCTGCCCACTGTACCCATGCCAAGCTTATTGTGGATTACCAGTTGCCTTCCGGACCAAATACGGCCCATCCGGACACCTCTTTAAGTTTGGGTAGGGTTTACTAAGTACTTTGCTGTGGCCCAAAGAGGAAATAAGCAAGGTTGCAGAGGTTCACTTAAAGGCCAAGGGTAGCGCATCTTGGTAAGGATCTCTGAAGCTTATTATTAACTGCAAAACGCCCGGCCTCACATACCTGCTGTATGATTACTCTTGAAACGAACTCACAGAGACGAAAGATAGCACGACCCGGCAACGACAGGATTATAGGAGTCGCAGTTCTGGCAGTGAAGAGACAAGTGGCATGCGGAACACAAACTCAAGAGCTCCAAAAAGGCCCACAAACGCAGCTGCTGTTGTATGAGATATGACCCATTGATTCACGGAAACCTGGCAGCAGGTATAATGTAAGTTATCTAGTCTGAACTATAACTTTACACCAGAAAGCTCAAGCATAAGGTCGAGCTAGACTATAAAAGCCCCCTAGTCGCTACCATTGGCACCAGCAGCAATGCAGGCGTTAGAGAAGCCATTGCCGTCCATTTGCTTCCCGGGAGAGTTGCAGACACGGTGACCATCATCATCACCGAGCGTGCAGTCGGAGCAGAAGCCAGGGCAGACCTTGTTGGTCGCAGCATCGTTCTAATCCAGCATCAGTTTCTTTGTCTTTGTGCATCAAATCTTGAGATGGAAGTAAGAACTTACGGGAAAGGGGAAGATGAACTGTCCGCTGCCGGAGGCAGTGATGCAGTGAAGCTGAGTGTGATGCTTGGCAGTGACACTAATGAGTGGTTTGTTAGCCACAAAGTTCTAGAAACTACATGTCATGTGCCTCATCGTGATAATAAGTGCAGAAGGAAAGAGAGTACGGATAGGCAAAAGAGAATGGGCCTAGCCTACCCGGTCGCGGTAGCGAGGATGAAAGTCATCATGGCGGTAACGGTAGAGAACTGCATTTTGAGAACGAAGTAGGTAGTTTGATTGGAAAAGAGTTTGTTGAAGTGAGTGAGTGGTTGTTGAAGCGACTGTTTGACTGTTTGATCGAATTGTGAGTTGATAGAAGAAGTGTCGAAGAGAGGAATCTGTAGATCTTAAGTAGCCATTGCTTGACATGTCAGTAAGTCATCGCCGTAAGGTTGGACATAGTTGAAGCAATCGCCGGATTCAACCAGATCGGGTCTCCAGTGGAATCCGTTACTGCCGCAAGGCTGAGATGTGCGATGATCCTGTTCACGACTCAAGAGGATGGTGAACTGGAGACAAGGCGTGGCCTGAGCCACGGTAGGGAGCGAATGCGAGAGCGAAAGTGGGAACAAGAGGCAGCGAAACCCACGATTCGACGAAGAATTCTGCCGTTGCTTTACATCGCCCACAATTGAAGCTTTTGTCCGCGGAAATCGGAACCTGAAAAGCTTTGGTAATTTGGCCATGCTAACTGTTCATCTCATAGTTAACTACGGATATTGCCCGCCGCCGCGTACCTATCTCACCTTACCCAGCCCACTTAGTCAGGCAGAGGTCGAGGCATATGAGCTAGTTGTACTGGCTGAAGCTCTCAGGATCCATCATCCATGCACATGTAGTGGTTTCAGTTCAGATCGAATTAGGAAAGAATTCGCCTGTAGGATCGTTACTTGATGCAAAACGCTAATATTTCTTTATGGCCCCAGGCCGAAATGGTATTTACAGAGGAAAAATATACATGCATGGATCCGATGAATCCGAAATGATATTACAATGGGGGTGGTTATTGCCACATGATGCCGTTACCCGTGATCATGTGCACACCTACTCCCTTTCTCGCTTTTAGGGCTGTATCTGGCTGACTTTCTTCCATCAACTTAGACGCACTGAGAATACCAGTCGTTGACAAGCTGGCACTTGCCGGAGGCGCAGGTAGTGGCCCCGGAGTAGCCCTGTCCGCCGCACTGGCCGTAGAGGGCAACAGATCCAGAGGTCGCAGCCTGGGAGGCCTTGGGCGCAGCAGAGGTAGACGCAACAGGAGCGGACGAGGGAGTAGCCTCGACGGAATCGGCGGTCTCGGCAGCAGTCTCAGTTGTAGCATCGGAGGAAGATGAGGAAGAGCTGAGCTTGCCAATGCCGGCGTTGCTGGGGACACTGGCCTTGATCGCGCTACCAGCTGCGGCGCTGGCAATGGTGAGACCATCAAAGTCGCTGAAGAACGAAGTGTCGGTGTACTTGAACGCGTCGGTGGTGTCCTCGAAGACGTTGACTTCACAGGCTCTGCCCAGGGCAGTCTTGCACTCGGCAGCGGTGGTCGCATCAGGAGCGGTGAAGAGCTTGCCCTGGTAGTCGGAAACGAGCTGCTTGACGTTGATGAAGGCGTTACCCTCAAAGATACCACGAGCGGTGGCCTCACCACCCTCAATGGCGTGTCCCTTGGTGTCCTCCCAGACGTTGTTCACGGCGTGAAGCAGGGTGGAACCGCTCAGAGCGGGACCACGGCCGGCAGTCATGTACACGTAGTTGTTCTTCATGGTGATCTGATCGTCCTTGCCAACCATCTCGAAAGTCCAGTAGTGGTATCCATCGCAGCCGGTGGAGTAGGTCGAGTTTCCGTTGATGAAGTTGTTGGACAGGGTGATGCGCTTGCTAGCAGTGAAGCCGAACACGTAGTGCTGGCGGCCGGGACGGGTAGTCTTGATTCAAGTCAGCTTTGAATTACAAATACTTAGATTATGGCAGAAGTCTACTTACCGTGACGTGGTCGACCCAGACAAGGTCAGCGCCGGCGAAAGACAGAGCATCACCGCCCCAGACGTACTTGTGGTTCAGATCGGTAATCTCAATGTTTTGGATAATGACGTTGCTGCCCTGCATCCTCAAGCCCTTGCCCTTGATGACACCCTTGTTACCGACACCGATGATAGTCTTGTTAGACCCAACATCGATAGGCGTACGGGCGGCCTTGTACCAAGTGCCCGTCTCCTTAGTAGAGCTGCCGCAGTCGTCCTGGATGATTCTCTGGCAAGCGGAGCCGGTGCCCCAGCTGGCGCATGCCGTGCCGGTCTCCGTGCCCTCGGACTCGGTAAAATCATACTCTTGAGAAAGAGCAATGACACGGGGCTCGTCGTCGGTGAGGTACTTTGTCAGCTCATCGATGTCCTTGGGCGTGACGGCGGCAAGGCTTCCACCGCCGGTAACTCCGGCCGCGAAGCCCTCTGCCTTTCCGCTCACGGTCTGAGCGGAAGTCAAATTGGCAACGGCCGCCAAGACCGCCAAGATGGCTGAAGCCGACTTCATTGTGTCCGGAAGAAACGCGGAATCCGCGGAGGTTTTGGAACACGGAAAGTTTTTATAAAGACTGAGAAGAAAGGAATGTACGTAATAGTGAGTTCCAGAACTCAACGAATGGACAGACTCGAACAAGACAACTCGAGACAAGAAAAGTTAAAGAGAGACTTGAGGATGACCCAACAGCAAGAGAGAATGGATTGAGAAAAACTGAACCTCATCGAACCTATGGAAGAAGGCAGCCTCTGATAAAGCATCGATGGTAGCCATTTCTCATACGCGAATACGGCAAAGCTCGTCGGCTCACCAAGAGGAGTCTTTCTACCTGGAACAGACTACGCCTGTCACTTTAATTTAACTGACAGATCGAATAGGTGTAAGGCGCTCCCTGAGGCCCTTTTGATTGGTTAGTTAGAGTCTTGCTGCGGTGCGTGCGCCCTACGCGCCCCCCTGAATGGGACACAAAGTCTGCTCGATTGAGAGTAGTGACGTCTCCTCCACGGCCCCATATGCCAAAAGTAAGCAAATATCTACGGAACCTTCCAACTGTGTTCTACTTGGGCAAGTCGTTTGTGATGCCTGCGAATGAACCCGCCCGGATTTTCTCCGGCGCGGAAACTTTCTTCGACCAAAGGTAGCTCACAGCCGTCAAGTCCATCAAAGCAGGTTTCACATCGCATTTATCCGAGCAGGTGCAGGAACTGAGAAATTGGCTGATGCCGTAATACCGATTCAAAAGGATATTCCTCTGTGAGAGCACACTGAGGGTTGAGCCTTAAAGGGGCCGACAACAAGAGCCACTAAACTGGAGTTTTGACAGGGGCCACTCTCGCATTCGCGTTTCTTCGTGATAGAGGAGCTTCTGTCTTGCCAGTAGCCAACGCGTCGTCTTCGTCGATGGCTGAGAAGGCGGGCTGGACGTATAAAAATCGCCTTTTCGAGAATTCCTCTTGTTCGATTTCTTGTGTGCCCAGCTGTCTGATGGAATATAATTTCCGATGCTTTGCAGCCATCGTACTACTCTTATTCACTCGGAGAGTGTACCCCGCTTGCCCCAGACTCGGTGGGCCTCGCACAAACACCATTTAGCGGTCTCAAGTTACATTTAAGTTAAGACGGATAGTAATACAGCATGTCCTAGTCTTTTCCATACTGGGCGATGAATCAGACATCTTATAGGGAATACAGCGAGATCAAATTTCGAGCGGGCCCCCCAAAAAGAAGCAAGGAGTAGCGTAAGCAGACGAGGAGACGGGATGTGTCCAAATACATTGCAGAACGTTCTTGCACTGTACTCATAGACAGCGTGGTCAGAGCCATTGTCCGCGCTGGAATCTACTAGAGGATGCAACTTCCAAATCAAGTTAGGAGCTTTGTGACAATTGCTGGATAACTGCATATTGCGTACATCAGCCTGGTAGCACAAACACGCAAGCAGCGCGTGTTGATGAGGTCGAGCACTACTTACTTTTGCCGTCCTTAATCCTAATCACTCTTGGAGGGTCTTGGCATGAGCATTGAAGCGGATCTGCGACCGTGTGGCATTGAAGCTGTCGAGAGGCTTATTGTAACAGGTATCTTGATCATTTTCAGCCACGTCGTAATTTAGAGCTTTACATGTAGACTTGAACTTACGTTTAAACGATCAAAACTCAGCAAGTGGATAGAAACATCATTGGCTCTTTTCTGATTGAGATGTTGTTGCTGAACTTTGCCCTTATAAGATGAAAACACCATTCGTCCACGGCTTCATATCTCATTACCAAGTCACTTTTGTGGATTGAAGCTATATGTAGGCAATTACCAGTCATTTATTTCGATATCTGAAGGCTGTTTCTGCCAAAAACGTTCAATTCAAAGTCCTTTTTTCCCGTATAATTCTGATGGTGGTTTCACTTCGACAGATTACTTCGAAGAATCTCATCGGGGGTAACTTTTGCTTTTGCGTCGACTTGGTTGGACACCGTACCATGCGATTCGAGACGTTTAGTTTCGGCCCGGCCTAGAGATGATGCGGATCCATCATCCACGTGTTGCTGGGTGTACGGTACGGGAACTGCCGGGGCTGGAAGCACGAACACCATGTGGGATACCGGCGGGCAGTCCCTAGCGCCGGCCGTCATGCGGCACCATCTCTTGTGATCCCAAACGCTTTCTGTACAGTAGGTATCACCGCCTTTTTTTTTTTTTTTTTTTTTTCTTTCTTTCTTTTTATATAATGCTAGTGGCTTACCAAGTTTTGACTTGGGAGTCAACTCAGGGGTTGACTCTGCGTACACTTTTCCTCTCCTAGATGCCAAGTATAATCAGACTCGAAAGTCGCAGAAACCCCATCTTCCCATCTTCCCTTTCAAACGGTGCAGCGGTCCCTGTCTTTCAGCTAAGGTAGTTTCCTATATTGGGAAGCCTGTGAGACAATCGTGTTCTTGAACTCGCTCCTTTCACCTTTCCAGCAAAGAAGTGAGGAGTTGTGATAAAGGGCACAGAACAGAGCACACAGCACAAGGTAGCAGGGGCTGCATATCACAGTTTCTTGATATATTATAAATTGCAGCGTACTCCGGAAGCTTGCTTCTTGCGACTCCTTTTATTCTCAAATGTAGCTCTCACTGTGGTATCCCATCCAGCAGCTCTCTGCGCACAATAAGAACAGACCCGCTCCTAGCGAATCATTTCCAGCCTCCGAAAACTACGTGCTATCACTTCATCGCAGCAGTCGCCCCCAGCTCATTATCAAGCAGCCCTTTATGGCCTTTCTGAGACATGGTAAGTAGGTGACTATAAGATGCCGGATCAACCCATTCATAGCGGTAAAATAGGATGCGGCTTGCCGGTCTTGGGAGGTGGCGGTCCGAATATGCCGTTCTGGGTACCCATCTGATCGGGCAATCCTCACCCAGGCGTTTCGAATATGTGGATCAGCCCCAAATCTCTAATGCTCTTCTCCTAAGTCTCAGTATCATATGCATAGTCTCAGGCTCAAATAAAATGCAAATCATACAGTGATGGCCGTCCTTTGTGTCCGTCATGAGCATCACGTCCATCCATCCATGTATTTAGCCTTATTACCCGAAGTCTCAGTCCCTAAACTAGAAAGAGACTCACCCGGGGAAATCATGGTTGTGTATGTCATGCTCAAAACAATGCACGGAAATATGGAGATTCAAGCGAGGTTTGTTGCGCTGAAAGTCGCGCTGTCTCTTCAGATGAACTAACCCCAGCAACATGCCCCATAAGCTGACTTGATATCAACGTTGGCGCTTCCTTGTGCCGGGCTTTCTTCTCTCCGCCTGACGGGTAATGTCAATGAAGATGTTGACTCGATTCATCTCTCGAATAAGCACACCTCTAGTTCCACTCTGAACCACCCACTTGATCCAAGTCTCGGCATACCAAGTTGGGCTAAGCTGCTTTGTTACAATGATAGGACAAATCATTCGCTCTCCTAAAGTACACGGAAAGAAACACCGTCGGTTTCTGACTAATAGTAGGCACCCTGTAAGTGAAAAGTGTCATCTTATACTTACCGTATTGAATCAATACAGGTCCCACTTCCGATAGCAAGTCTTGCTGATACCCATCCTAGCTAGCTATGTGCAGTCGAGAAATGGAACATACTATACTTACCAATGACGCAATCCATGTGCAGATTTGCTTTTACTTCAGAATTCACCACGTCTATCCTCTTCTTCTTCCCAAATCTCAATTTTGGGTGGAATGGTTTCGCTACTTAGCACCCTATCCGCATGCATTGCAACTCGATGCACCCCATGCATTTGTCTCTTCTCAACACAGGATCGCAAGCCTGCAGCTTGCTACAGTAGGCAAGAGAATAAAGCCGGCGTAGGTCATAGGACCACTACTCGTTAAGTGTCCAATGGACTCTCGAAAGGGGCGGGACTGCATGCAGAGTGGAGTTCCAGACCGCATCGCTGCAGGATTCAAGACTCAAAGGCCGGCCATCCAGATGCATATCCTGTTGGCCAGTCCTCATTCTCCAATCGAGAGATCATGACAGATTGAGACTCCCTATCGTTAGTAGTTCATCGTCACGCCATGATTTGACCAGGGATGTTGAGAATTTGGGCCGATGTTGCTGGAGCCCAGTCCGATCTTGCTGGAGAATTACACACCAAGGCCCAGCCTTGTCATCACACCCTCCAAATTGTTAACGGAAATGGCTTAGCACACTGCTTCCTTGTATTCCAGCCTGTCTTAGAGAGATCCAAGGCTCCAAAGACGTCTTCATAAGCAGGCAATACCTGCTAGATTGGGAAAATCCAAGCAGGCCTCCGCGAGCCTTGTGAATAGTTCACCTCCACTTCCAAAAAAGAAAAGGGATTGCAATCGATATTTATCATTATATTTCCCATGTACCCAACATAATCAGATGGAATGACTTCGAGCAACTTTGTGATTCTCAAGATAGCCAATACTGCAAACCTCCTATTGATCTTCCGCATCGGCATCATCAATCATCAAGTATGGTGACTGAGCCCCCATAACCACTTCCGCCCCTTGCAGTCCTTCCTTTCGTGGCGTTCGCCGGCCCCCCCTTACCATCGCCCCCGCGGCCTTGGCCCCTGACATCCCCTCCTAATCCATCACCACCCACCACTCCAGACGCCGAGCCTGTGCCGCCGCCACCAATCCCGCCGTCAGCCTGTCCAGCAGTGGCGGAACCGCCTTCACCCGCGCCACCTGCAGCGGCTGACTTTTCGGTGTTATACACAACACGTATGGTATCTTTTGGTTTTATCTGCAGGTCGCGGAGCTTGTCGTTAGGGGCAATGAGCTCTTTCTTACCGTGCCAGAGCTTTACTTCGCCAGGGAGTTGATACTTGGTTACAACCCAGCCCCTGAACCCTTGAAGCATTTCGTCAGCATCTCTGGCGGCGTCGAACTTCTGCTCCTTTGCTTTATCTAATTTTCATGATCAGTAATGCGATCGTCAACCAAATTAATTGAGATGCGTACCAGCCAAGCCTTCAATTGCGCACTTGAACTCA